ACCTGAGCCGGCTCGGGCGGGAGCGCTAAACAGGCATATACACACAAACACACTGGATGGTTATACACACAATAAAACCGCAGTGCTGTATTGCACGACAAATATTTTGGATGTGACAAACATGATGATTTTCTCAACGTAACAAGGAAAACGGGCACAAAATTTGTCATCCCTTTGAGTCGCCACGATTGGCTTCAAACATGGGGCAGGCTTACCTTTTAAAACCGCGCTAACGCTCGAAGTGTCAACCCCAACAAATTGACAGGTTCTTAAGAAAGTATGCCTGCTGAACCGCGTCAATTTGCAAGTCAAGTGAAGTCGCAAGGGGAATTAGGGGTGTATTGGAAGCAGGTACGAACGACCCACAAGTACATTATGATATTACCCTCGTCACAACCAGACAAATCAAGGACTTAATGCAAAGGAAGAGTCGATTTACTAATCAAAAGGCTCAAGCTTAAAACAAAGACACCGCGTATACATCAGTCTAATTATATCACATCGTTAAGTCAGCGTGTCGGAGCGAGTCACGTCGGCCGGCCCAAGGGAGATTTGGACGGTATATCGTGTTTCGAGCGGCGCGCTCGTAACTCGGAGATATCGGTGTCGTATCGCGGACTTGTTACGCTCGTTGAGCCGTTAACGGGTTTTTTTAAAGTGATTAGCTTTGTTTAGTGTCTCTCATAAAATAGGCAGGGTGATTTGAGCTTGATTGATAACGCAGTGAATGAACTGACATGTTTTAAAAAACACCGCATTATGACTAGGAAAGACAAGTTTCGTAATTTGAGTCAAATGGGTTAAATTATTTATTCAATTTTCTGATAGCTTTTGAATGTCTTTGTCTGAGATACTCTGCTTTTATTCACGCCGCACCACTACTCCCGTATACCAGACTGTTGAGGGATATTTATCATTATAGGCACCATTACATTGTATTTGCAGACGTATATCGCTTGGGAAAGTTGCCGACTACCTCACCGTTTTGTGTGATATAACGTCACCATTTTGTGTTAACGTCACCATTTTGTGTGGGGACGTCACCATTTTGTGTGATTTTGCCCACCATTTTGTGTGGTGACGGCACCATTTTGTGTGATTATGCCCACCATTTTGTGTGGTGACGGCACCATTTTGTGTGATTATGTCCACCATTTTGTGTGGTGACGGCACCATTTTGTGTGATTATGCCCACCATTTTGTGTGGTGACGGCACCATTTTGTGTGATTATGCCCACCATTTTGTGTGGTGACGGCACCTTTTGGGACGTCACCATTTTGAGTCGCTACGTCACAATTTTGTGTGCTTTAGTCACAATTTTTGGCGATTATTTGGTATTTTGTGCGGTATAAGATATTAAATTGTGCGATGCAGATGTTGGCGTTGTGAGACCTCAAAAACCAGTTACATCGTCGGTAACATAATGCCAAATCGCATACGTCTTTCCTATTCGCTTTAATTCTATACAAAATGGTCCAAGTTCATGTGTCACCGCGGTGAGATGTGTCGGTGCCGCGGTGGTGGTATAGCGCATGGCGTTAAGGTTAGTGATTCAGTTGTGTGGTTTTGATCTTGTCATAAGAGTTTACCAAGTCCCAAACACTAAAAAGGCAAGGACGGAGACAGTGGTACCCCCCCCCCCCGAACCCATTTGATGTGCAGACTTACGGACCAAACAAAAACCCAATTGCGCTCACAGACTACTCAATCATTAAACAGACATAAAATGTCACAGCTGCGTTCAAACATTTAACATTTGACAATATCTTTTGCCCAGGGCAATGCAGGAAATATTATAAACATACGTAGGAAAAAAAATAACAATTGGTAAAAAATGACTTCTGTTTGAAAGCCGGGATAGACTCTTTCACGATCGATGCGATGGCTCCGTATCTAATCCGACTCGTTCCGCAACGACTACCACGCTTTCAATGCTTAGTTCCGTGTTCAGAGTCACAATGGTACCATCACACACGTATTTACATATCTTGTTCACTAAATCCACAGTAATAGGTATGCAATCTAAAAAAAAATCCCAGAAAAAAAAGTTCAGTTAATTATTTTTTTTTATAAGTATTTCTTCATGTTCTCTCTTATTTGAAAACGTGTGTGTTCTTAGTGGATTTGCGGGGGATTATCAGTTAGTTTGTGTCGTGTTTGAACCATTATTTATTTTAGTTTTCAAAAATGCTGATTGAAATACAAGCCGCGTAGAAAACTAAATTTCGGCATAAACGAACGCATGGTCACTTTTATTGCTCTCCTCCGTACTATTTACGACTTGACAGTTTCAGGTTACGAAATAATGAGGAAAAAAAATATAAGACTACAATAATATTTTATATCCAATCAATTTTTTTCCCAATCAAAATTGCATTACCAACAGGTACCATTACCACGTATACAACTCGCAATGCCTAATTTATAGACGTATTTTATACCTATATACACGCCTCCTTTCAGTTATTGGTCTTTACATCAGGCGTTAAGAACATGAATTGAGATGAAGGCAATAAATCATGATGGTGTTATGAGAGTCTTGAATTCGCGTCCGGCTGCAGGGGCTATAGTGCTGCCTGAAGAAGAAAAAACACAAAGATCGCGTAAATTCTCGGATTGAAATGGCTGAATTTGGCAGGTGAAGACGAAAACGTTGGCCCGAATTGCGGTAATCATTTAGTCCAAGGATCAGACATTAGTGCAGATAATGTCCTAACATGCAAATTTTATGCGACCTTAGACTTTAGAAACTGTGACGTCATTTTCGATCAGAAATGTGGACTAACTGTTGATTGGTCAATTTGGATGCTATGTTTTTTGTAATACAAGGGTAATACCGAATACCCGATGTATAGAAGGCGATCGCTGAATGGTCAGAATCTCGAGGTCAAGACGCATTCTTGTTTTGCATAATTAATCTAATAGATATTCCATAGACTTTGGTAAATCATGCAAACTGGGAAAATTGAACGGTTTAGTTGGCAGGGATGGCTGAGAACAAATCATTTAAGTCTTTGGTTTGACGATCGATTTCGTCATTTTGACTGATTGATAAAAAAAATAAGGATTTGAATAGCAGACTAGGAGGAGTCAATGTAAAAGTGAGAGGAGCTTTTGTCTTGTGTTTAGGCGGACCCAGGGTTGCAAAATGGGCGGTTCTAAGATGTTTAAGTAGGCGGATCTAGCTAGAGAGTGGGCAGGTCCATCGTGTTAAATGGGCGGTCCAGAGTGTTTAGTGGGCGGATCCAGAATGGTAGGCGAAGCCACAGTGTAAGTTCAATGGATCCCGGATCGTGCTATTAAACCGGGCTGGGAGCCTTATGGTAATAAAGTGGGCGGAGCAAATTTAAAGTAGGCGGCTTCAGTAATGGGAGGAGCCAGGGCTGATGGATTCTACGGTTCTACCGATAATTTGAATTACGGTACGAAACTGAACAGAACGATACATGAACCAATAGGCGTCTATGAAGGGGCGGGGCCACGTCCTTGAGATGAGAGGTTTTCAAACCTCGGTCTTGTGATGTCAGATCTAGCTTCAGGCTGTAATAATTAAGTTGGAGTTGAAGCCAAATAGTAGTAGAGGAAATAATTATTTGGGGAAATTGTGCCTTTAAATATATATTTGGGGATTTGGGGATTCAAAATGGCTGCCATTGCTTGTTCAAGATCTACCTATATTTTTTGTCAAAGGACAAAATCTGCAATGGTCCTATAGCCTAATATCTCTCTCATGACATACTTTAACTGTGTGCTAAATTCCATGCTTGTGTCATCAAAGGCACCATCCCATCACCTATCTGCCGAACTAAAACTGGAGACGATGCCGTGGTTTGTTCGGGTTTTTTTGAAATTAGGACAACACCACACGGTCGAGGCCCTCGAGTGAATAAGCCCGGGAAAGAAGGGGGAAGCGCGTTCATTGGAACGCGTCGCGCGTCGAACCCACGCGAGGGCGCGTGTGGCACACACGCGAGAGTCGAGCGATGCTGTAACATTGAAGTGGCTTTTATTCAATGTTTCGCCGGCTTTCCAAAAAGGTTAAAATTACCATTTTAACTTGCGCAATGAGCCGTGTTCAGCTAACAATTGCTGGTCTCGTGGCTGCTGACATTTGTAAACCACATGTTGCGAAAGGACACGGATCCGACTCCCGGATATTAGTTAAACGAATCAAATTTAGCCTGTTTAAATACATTTTTTTTCCGGGGGGTGAGGAGCGAGGATATGGGGGTGGTGTTGTTCTTACTTGTAAGATCTACACCTCTGCTATTAGTATTATAAAGAATTTCCTGGCAAAATTTTCATTCTCTATCCCTTGATAAAAAAAATCGATGAAAATAGCTAGAGGCCCTAATCGGAAAAAGGGGAAATCCTTAATTTCTCATTACCATTTGCGTAAGTAAGATAACATTATGCCAGTTTTGTTGATTTCTCAAATATCAGAGTCCTGATTTCTTGTAAGAACGCAAAATAAATACCATAATAGTTCGCCACTAAGGCCACAAAAGGACAGTTTGTGCGTAACAATGCAACTTCCGAAAAATAATAAATATCAATTGTTAGTATTAGTAGCAATTTCTCTGTGTAGGCCTACATTAAGAAAAAGATCGACAGCAATTTAAAGAATGATGGTTCGAAGTACTGAAAAATGCAGACCCCTTTTTATATAGTAGGCCTGTAATATTGGAAACTGACAATAATGTAATAATCACTTAAATAGAGTAGGGAAAATATTTTTTTTTCAAAAATCATATCAAATGCAGAAAGCCTGCCGACTTTTCAAACAAAACAAAATATTATGAGAGAAAATAATATTTTGCTAAAAACGTGTACCTAAAAAAAAAAATTATCGTAATTAAAACCAACAACTGCTTTTGATATGCCATAGGCAGATGGAGATGTTTTGGCGATAAAAACCCCGCAACTGCACTGTTGTCTTTGACGATTTAAAATAAGGATATTGGTTGAATTTATGAAGGAAGTACTCTATAAAACATACCTTGATACAGGTAGAGGTACGGGGACAGCAGACATCTTTTTTTGCCGGAGTTCAGCGCCAAAGAACTTCGCCAAAGAAATCCAATGTTCCCTCGAAACAATTTGGAGTGCCTTTCGTCGCTAGAGTCCTCTTCAAATTGCCGTGTTGTTCTCCTTTTTTTGCAAACTCTCCACCGGTTTTGACAAAGTATCCTATCAGTTATTGTATTTATGTTCGGGACCGTGGTGGCAAAAAAACACTGGCTTTAAAAAAAATAACACCCTTGTACATGTATACTATCGGTTGAAAGCTACACGCAACAGGTGATTAAAGCTTGCGATCAGCATACCAGCTCCGCCCCTTGGAAAGTTCAGCGTCATTCGGTTGGCTGCAGTGAGAGTGGAAATGCCAGGACGGTCGTGATTGGTTGGAAATTGTGTTTACGTCACGTCACGCGCGCGCGTCGCGGCCGCTGGCACAGTACAAGCAGACGACAGTTCCACGTTTTGCAACATCGGAGGATTATTTTTTAAAGTGCGTGCGAGCCCATGAAAGGCGGTACGACATCACACACGTACTGAGTGAGTTGTTCAAATTTACTCCGAAAACACTCCGCAGGATGAGGTTCAAGAGACAGAGAAGACATTCGTTTGATTCCAGCACGGAGCCGATGGTGACCGACTGCTGGCAACTCGGTCAACTTTCACGCAACATAATAGCCCGGTTGATCTGTTGTTGTCCGCCATTGTCCGCTATTGTCCGCGGCCTCTCGAAACGGATTTGTCGGAGATTACCATTTTAATTGGCCGGAATGGAATCCCTTTGTGCGGCGGCGCAGTAGCATCTTCTTAGTCACAGCATCTTTGCCAACGGATATTATGTCTCTAGTTCATTCGGTGTCCTGCGCTCATTGTTCGCTTATTGCCCAGTTAACGAGTTCTTTTGTCTCGAATTGTTCGGACGAGGGTAGGACTAATTAGTCGTGTTTGCTGACGGATTTGGGTAATTTTGGAAAGACGTGAGATTGTGAATTGCTTAAAGACATCGGTGTAGCAATGCGCTGAATGAATACGCACGTCCGTGTTAAGTTGATTTTTAGTTAAAAGAGAAAAAAAACGAGTGTTGCTCCAAAGACTTAACTTTCAATCAATGCCAGTCTTCAAAGATAACCGCCCTCTATTGTCAGAACGTGATTCAAAACAGAAAAAGGTGTCTTCACTATATTTTTTTCTGGTCATAGGCCTAGTGTTTGAGCAATTTATTTTGTCCATGAAAAGTATATTCAGTTACCGTTTTGGTTCTTTGGACTTGGAACAGGGTCGGTGTGTTTTCCGTGTGTAGCCATTTTTTCGCACAATTTTTTCGCTTGCAATTAATTTCCGTTTTTTTCATGTTAAAGGGCCTTCTCGATCAATCAATTTAATTAATTCAACTTAAATGTCCCTGTGTGCTTGCGAAATCGCTTTGGTTGAAAACGGTCGCAAACGGACAGCACTAAAATTACATCTAACTTTCACAAAACAATGCAAGAAAATGGTCAAAATCAAGCGGTTTTTTTTATCAAAAAGTACTAGAATTGTTTGACATTACACAATCATGAATTAATTAGCTCAACTGTGTAATAATTCAACCAATTAATTGAAAGGATCCGAACGGATGTTATTTTCATTTTACCAAAAGATAAATCGTAAAGTCCTTTTAAAGTTTCCAATTATTTATGAGAGGAATACCTTGATTAGAGTGGAATCCTGGATTGAATTATGGCGGCCTAAGTTGGGGAAAGTAGTCCGACTAGAACGGCGGCCTCGATCCCGCAGGAGCTATGGCGTGATGATATCGTTGGCACATCACCGTGCACCGTCCAGACGGCCACGGGTAGGGCACGGCATGGCACTCAGGAGGGCTGAGGGTCAGGCAGCACGGCTCTATCGTAGCAAGGGCGACTCGACCATGCATGCACACACCAGCAAACTGAAGCATAGAATCTGACAAAAGAAGAAATTCCGACGCTTCCTGGGGACATTTCGATGTCGATTCCTGTACTCTGGAAACCCTCCCGCCGGAACGATAAACATTCTTGACAACAAAAGCCAGGACCAAGTTGATTATTGCCGAAAGATTGGTCCTTATATAACATTACTATTATCATTGGCAAATTAAATGGCCAAATTTTTAATTATGCGTGGCATGAATTTCTAATTATGCGTGTTCGCCGTCAATCTCACTCAACCAACGGCCGATTCTTTTCAAACTTTAAATTTCTGAGGTTTGTTTATCGGTGCATATTCTGGCATGCCGCGCTCGTTTCTCACTTTTCCCTCCTTTATTCTAGGCTTGGAAAGAAAACACTCCCTTAGTAAAGGTATACAGATACGCTCACAATATTAAAAACGCGAATTATTACAATATGACCAAAACATTCGTTAGTACGTCTGCAACATGCAGTATAAGTCAAACAAACGAAATCAATAAACTAAGCAATGCCTTTGAACATGAATAACATTTGTCCGTGCAAACCGCATGAATTCCCTTATACATTGCTGCGAACGCGCATGATTGTTGGGCATTCAAATAACACATGTGCAAGGCACGCGACATTTAAACAAACCCTAGAAAAAAAGTAATGTCTCGAGTTTACACACAATTTCGCGTAAACTGACAGGGACCACGAAGTGGTCGATACAACAATCTTGTCAAATAAAACGACCCAAACTCGACTTTGAACGAGGTGTGTACACGAATTGACACAGACAAAAGAGGCGCGTACAGAAGTCAAACAAAATCGACCAGTCGAGTCCTTCCAATTAAACGCAATAAAACGATTATTCGGAGAAAGCAAACGGAATGAATATTCTGTGTGCCGTGTCTGTTTAACTTGTCCAATTTTATTACTGCAGTTGCTACACGCCTTTATGAAGAGTCATTTGTTCAAGCAAGATCGCAAATATTGACGCTCAAACGTCAGTTCTATCACATTTCGAAATCGTTTCTTTTGACGTTGTATGCGATTAATTTCACACGATAGATAGTAGTCGATACTGTATGTGCGCTTATGTGGCTTTTAATTATTCTTGTTAACAAATCAGCGACCATTGCACTAACAAAGAATTGGGTATGAGTTGGGCAATGTTGTTTGGTCAGTTTAAGTATAAAACTGCCTCAATATCTGGTTAATTCGGGTAAAATTTGACCAACTTTTGGACAGAATCTGCCCGATAGTGTAGGCCTATAGGCAGTTGGTATGTTGAGCTTGTTGAATAACATTGGGGAAAATACCTAAATGTCCAACTCTCATTTTGAGTGTGGCAGGTCTTTGGTAAAACGTTTTTTGTAATCTTAGCTTGATATACAAAAAAAATTTATAGGGCACATCATTGAAAGAGCATGACAAGACTGACAAAAATCATTTAGTCTTCTTGCTGCTAAAAAAAAGAATAAAAATCAGTCAACATTTCGGGTAAAAAAATGCATCTAATCGACTACACGTCCAGTCATTTCTATCGTTCACAAGCTGCGCAGATCCTTTGTCTCTGTGCTTTTCCTTCTGTTCAAATTTGAAGAACGTCTGACGAGTGAGAAAAATCATTCCTCCCCGTTTTGTGACCATAGACCCTACGGTCTAAGAACAAAAGAGAATCGCCAAATAAAAATACACCCGGACATGCAGTATTTTCCGACGACTCGCCGCATGTGCAGACAACAGAACCATTACACGGAATTGAAATCAATAACCTTTAATAACTTTGTTCCCCCCCCCCCCCCGAACCCCTTGGGTTAGTTTGCAATCCGCACACAAACACCATGTGTAACGGAGACGCATACCGCGCCAGCCCCACCAACCCCAGCGGCCGTGTCACGCTGCGCCGGGCGGGGCAGGACGCGCTTTCAAAGCCCGCTACGCACCTGACGGTAACTCGGCCACCGAACCCGAGCAATTCGTCCAAACCCGGATCTTACATATAATAGACTATAAAACACCCTTTTAATTATCAATCGGGAACAAAAATGAACGCGTTAATGTCGAGCACGTATTGTGTGCTGCGGGCCTTAGAAATCGATTTGTGTGGTTAGGTCCTGTTTGTATGGAAAGTGGTTCGACATTGCGGAGAAAAAAAACACACCCAGAGTTTTTGTACAAACAAAGCTAGTTTTAAAAGGGATAAAATATTATGATCATTGCCTGCTTGCATTCTTACTAGTTTATTTGTCGCGTTTTTATGATGTTTGTCGCATTGTTCTGCATGTACACGAAGGATTTAACTGAACTACAGGGCGAGTAAAAAAAAAAAAGAAACCCAAATGCCAGGACCGTTTTTTGAATGAAATTTGCCTGTAGCACTTTCAAAATCTATTATGAAAGCCCAGTCAATAGGCTTTGTTTTAGTACAAGAATCATTCAAATCGCTCATGTACTTTTCAAGTTACAGAATTTTGAACACAATCCCGGTGGACAGAACTTTAACGGTGGTTGTGTTCAAAATTCCGTAACTTGAAAAGTACATGTACATGAGCGATTTGAATGATTCTTGTACTAAAAGAAAGCTTAAGAATTGGGCTTTCATATCCTAGATTTTGAAAGTGCTACATACAAAACTGCATTCAACAATTGGTCCTGCCATTTGGATTTTTTTCAACTCATTTTTTTCCCTTCACAAAGGATGCTCCACTATAATTATTTCCAATTTAATTATTCATAAACGTTTGCACCCGTATTCTATGTACCAATTTATCATGATCATGTGCACATACTCAGTGTGCGCGCTCGATGCTGCAAAAAAAATAGTATTCATTAAATTTATTGATTCGCGATATGGAATTGGGAATGCAGACCTATTTTTTGTTTAATACCACGTTGGGTCGCGGGGGGGGGGGGGAGGGGGAAACGGTGCAAGACGGATGAGGTTGTTGAAGGAAAGGGGGGTGGATGTTTAGATTATGACACCGATAGATATAACAGCTGCAAAGCATGAACGTCATTGTGAAGTATGAGACATCACAACCTTGAGAACAAAGCGGCCGAATAAAAAATAAATATCGCGCCCAGCGCACAGTTTGACTCTTTGCACGCACAAAATCAGGCCCTATACTCATGATGGGTTTACGACATGTCGCCTAATTTCCTGGAAAGTTGACATGAAATTGCCAGACTCATTTCAACGATTGGAGATACTCGCCCGGTGGCACTTTACGGGTGGGGGGTCGACTTTCAAACAAATTGGCAATAAAATAACGGCTTAAAATAAATGCTGGTTTATTATAGGTTATGAAACTTTAGGACATCAGGGAAAACGGCGGGAAGTTTGGGCGGATATTTGACTTATTTCAATTTTAATAAGGATAAGGACAAGGTCGCTGAAGCGTTAGTATTTGATGCCAATAAGTCGTCGCTAAACACTCGATGTTTTCCCCCACAACATAGTGAAAGGGCGACATTTTTTTTCTTGGTGTTCCCGACTACCATGGGAAGTTTAGAACGCCACATCATGCCGCTAAAACAATTATGCTCACAATGGCAGATTTGAAACGAGTTCTGTTTGGATGCGAGACTTTAATCTGTTCTACAGAGTGAGTAAAAACAAAAATGAACCACCGTACTTTTTTCGCTTAGAAGGCAATTAAATTTGATACACCAAGAAGCATGTATTACACGAGACATGTTCTTCCACACTTGCAATAAGAAAATACTGAAATTGATCCATGCTATCAAAAGTTATGCGGGTTTTACTAAAAGAATTCACATTTTACAGCTGTCCATGGAATGCTAAATTCTTTGCAGGTAGCTAGCCGAGTGAGAACCCGAGATTACCCACGGGCATTCAAATGCAACTGAGATTTTAATAATTTTGAGTCAAGACTGAAACTTTATGTCAGATTTTTTGTTTTGAGTATATGAAGACCAAATCAAGTCTATTTCTGAAGTGATGGTCATTTTTTGCCTGTACGCTTTTCCTTCGCAAGTTTTCGTTCATTCAGGCATAGAAAACCTCCATGGTTCATATTTAAAAGGTTTCATCAATGCGTATCGATAAATAATCGGTGGTGGATAGCTGAATTCTGTGACTTTTCTATTACAATACAGAAATCTTATGCAAATCACGTGAAATGTTCAGTTACTAGTCAACAACACATACTTCATTCCTACGCTAGTTGTATTGAATGGACCGAACCACCTATTTTTTAAATATTCTTTTCTGAGTCACTTTCTTTTTTGACTCTCTGGATGTGTCAGTGGCATTGTGGATTACCTTTGGCAAGACTGACCAATCAAGACAGACCAGTGGTTATAAATTACATGACTTATCATGAATATGCATGAGCTAGCATAAATATGCATACGTGATTTAGCAATACTGACCAATCAAGACGGACCAGTGGTTATAAATTACATGACTTATCATGAATATGCATGAGCTAGCATAAATATGCATACATGACTTAGCAATACTGACCAATCAAGACGGACCAGTGGTTATAAATTACATGACTTGTCATGAATATGCATGAGCTAGCATAAATATGCATACATGATTTAGCAATACTGACCAATCAAGACGGACCAGTGGTTATAAATTACATGACTTATCATGAATATGCATGACTAGCATAAATTTCGTGATTTATGCATCGATTGGTAATAAATATTTAAATAAGTATACAAACGGCTAATTCAAACAAATACATCAACTCGTACACATTTCTAACCTTCGACCGAGAACATGTAATCCTCTTTATTTAAAAACCAAGCATACAGAAATGGATCATTTTCCGAGCAAAAATCAAAATTCAATTTAATTCTCACAAAACTGAAAACAGCACATTGAATTACAGGTTTTTTTTAATTTTAAACCACAGAGATTTTACTTTTTAATATACAGAGCACATCTCTACAGCAAACACAGTCTTTTACAAAACGCAAATTATCTTGTTAAAAAATTATTTACTAAACATTTACTTTGAACACCACCAGAAAATAATTAATGATTAACGCTTGCTTGCACAACTACACAGAATTTGTTAACCACATTCTCAGTCCACTTGTATGTGTTCTTGTACGAATCCAGTATTTTTTAAAACACCGATGAAAGTTGAAGAGTTTGACCTTAACAAAATTAAAAAAATTATAAAACTTAACTGCCCCCCCCCCCATTAACCCCTAAACACACCCATTTGACAAGCCAGGTTATTACAAATGTTAAAACTTGGACTCACAAATAATGTTTCACACCGAGTGGTGTTACAGAACAAATTGACCTCCAAGTACTTCGGTTATTTCACATTTTTTGGAGGAGGGGATACAACGGTGGATGGTGTTGCAGAAAACAATGATCCCCAGGATTTTGGGCCATTGCTTTGTTTTTCTGCCATGTAAGGGTGACGAATATTTTTTAGGGAGGGGGAGGAACATTTTGGGTGGGGGAGACGATAGAGGTGGGGTGGGGGTGGGGGTGGGGGAGGGTATGGGAGTAGGGATGGGGATGGGGGTTTTGGACAGTGTTGACCAGAGTCTTACTTGACTTTTAAAAGAAGTCGTCATCGTTTGGCGCATCAAGATCCCGGTAGTTCACGATGTGTCTTGGATCTCTGTAAATATAAGAAGGGAAAAAAAAATGAAGACGGACTAAATTTTTTTTGTTCAAAATGCTAGGTTCAATTCTTTCTCCTATTAAACCGCGGAACACTGTTAGACAATCTACAACCATGCTTACCTACTCAAAACCCAAATCATAGCAAATTATTACTTTTTTCTGATGTAACCAATAGGGTCTTTTCACAATCTCTCACAGGCTTCATGATTGGCTAAATGTAGCTGTCGGAAATGACACGTGCATTCTGATTGGCCATTTCCTAAAGGAGGATATAACGCCTAATGTGATTGGCAGGTAGCTTTCTGTGAACTTGGATATAACTGAGCAGTAGGCTGAGCCAATCTATGGATTGTGGGCAGCAAGCAGCCTGCATGGTCTAAGAAAAATGCAATTTCCACTGGGAATGAGTAATGTTCCATTAGGCCTGCCATAGCTTTAGACAATCAGGTGAGAGGTAACAAAAAATCTGCCATTTGTTTTTTTGCACTCCATCAGCCTCAACTCCATGGGCACGTGTGCGTTCCTTTACTAACCCCTGGCCATGAGAAATACGTAAACAATGCTGATTGAATATTCAGAGCATACTGCGCGCGTATTTCCAAGACTGCACGACTTATATCCTGCACATTACGTGTTACGTAAGATTTTTTTTCTTCAAAACAGCGCGATGCCTGTATGAAATGGATTCTGGATGCCTCGTTTTTTGCCCCCAAAAACTGTATCTTGCGTTGTAAAGGAAAGACAGAGCTACATACATTGAATATCAATTTTTATGAAATAATGCAATATCAAAATCTTATGTTTGAAAGGATTGATTCTACCCAAAAAAACTGTCAAAATTTGCAGCACCGCATCGCGCATTAAATACATCGACTGCAGTCCTAATTTAAATGTGCCGAATAGTGGGATATTTAAATTACACAATTCCAGGGGTTAAGATCGCGCAAGGCATGATGGGAACCAACATGGCGCAGCAAGATCGTACCCATGGAAACAAGGTCACACTCCATTAATTCTAACAATAGTCATTTAGTGTAAAATTTATGTCAAACCTCATGTTTTTTTAAGGGCCGGAAACTGCCATGGCAACACATAATTAATAATGCAAAAGTGACGCACGCGAACCGCAAATGAATGAATTTACAGACAAGAAACCCCCCCCCCCAAAAAAAATGTCCATGCTGGAAAAAAAGGAATCCGTGGGCAGTAGTCCATGTGATTAATATGTTCCTGTCGGTGGCCCTGCACTATGAATAATTAATCCAGGAATATCCAATGAGACAAAGGCAGTAACTCTTTTTTTAGGGTAACATATCTCTTTTTGGCTTCATATTGGAATGGTTCGGGAAGGGTTATAAACGCATCTCTTATTACAACAATGATTTTTTTTAATTTTTCAAATAGCCAGTTTCTGTAAAATATGAAGGGTCATTCTCTGCCTTTCTTGGAGCACGATTGCTTTTGTTTTGGAGTGATGTCAATTTTTTTTTTTAAACAGTGGTACCATAGATGGTAACTGCAAAAATATTTAGCGAAAGACTTCTGAATTGGACAAGAAACATTCCAAAATATCTAACTTTTTAATTTGTTTGTTTGTCTTGTTTCATTTTGTTTGTTTGTCTGTTTACTTTTAGGGGAAGGGAAGGTCGTACAACTGAATGCTACACTGAGCAGATGAAGCAAAACCCAGTACCGTCATTACAATATGGTCCTTATTCACAAGTCGGCCATATTGGCTTGAGAGCGAGGTAAAATCTTCATTTTTTGGAACTTGTGTGGAGAAATGAAAGCAATGACGTTACAAATTAATACCAGTCTGCTAATTAAACATACTCTAACGTTTAAAGCCACATTAAAAAAAAAATTAAAGTGGGGCTATAGTGAATAAATAGTCTGGCACCATCCCATTCAACAGTTCACAATTGATGAAATACATTCAGGGAACATGACAAAACTAGCCAACGTGTGCATAAGGCCCATACTGGACAAACTAACCATGCACAAAATGTGTGAAAAAAATTTAAAACAACTTTAATCTATAATTTATCCTTGGTTCAGCATTTTGCGGTTTGAGCATGCAATCAACTGTAACATTGCGTGCCTAGTCTGTATAAATTGTCGTGTGGCACTGCGTTAGAATATCCTGTGGATTTGTATCTCTCTTTGAGACTTGATTCTCTCTAAACTGACATTTTGGAAAATTTATGCTGCACACTGTGTCGTCTAACGTTCTTTGAAACTCCAAGATCACAAGAACCTGCTTTCCTCAAAAAGTGCTACCTAGAGCCGTTGTGCAGATTTGATCTTCCAAAGGAAAGGAGTCAAATTTCTCATCAATGTCCTACTCTTTTAAGATTTTTTTTTCTGACACACAGAATAAGGAATGTAACGTACTTTCTTGTCGACAGCTGATCCCCGCGTTTCGTAAATCTGAAAGTCAAAGGGGGAAAGTGCTGAGTGATGGAAGGTTTTGACAAAACCTTCTAGAAACTAAGCAGTTTCTAGAAGACAATATTTCGTACATTTTACGGAGCATGCTGTCGCCCACACAGCACTTAATTCAATGAGGGGTCACAAACAGAGTAGGTGGAAAATACAAATAATACAAGTAAATCACAAATAATAGGAGAATAATAATGTCTATCGCGTAAATAGCTTGAACGCTGACTCAAGTCTGAAAAACTTGCAATGGACTTGGGACTGACTTGTGACTGACTTGTGACTGGCTTGTGACTGACTTTTGACTGACTTGTGACTGACTTGTGACTGACTTGTGACTGACTTGTGACTGACTTGTGACTGACTTGTGACTGACTTGTGACTGACTTGTGACTGACTTGTGGCCGACTTGTGGCCGACTTGTGGCCGACTTGTGACCGGCTTGTGACTGAATTGTGATTGACTTGTGATTGGCTTGTGACTGGCTTGTGACTGACTTGTGACTGACTTGTGATTGACTTGTGATTGACTTGTGATTGACTTGTGACTGACTTGTGATTGACTTGTGATTGACTTGTGATTGACTTGTGACTGACTTGTGACTGACTTGTGACTGACTTGTGACTGACTTGTGACTGACTTGTGACTGACTTGTGACTGACTTGTGACTGACTTGTGGCCGACTTGTGGCCGACTTGTGACCGGCTTGTGACTGAATTGTGATTGACTTGTGATTGACTTGTGACTGGCTTGTGACTGACTTGTGACTGACTTGTGATTGACTTGTGATTGACTTGTGATTGACTTGTGACTGACTTGTGATTGACTTGTGATTGACTTGTGATTGACTTGTGACTGACTTGTGATTGACTTGTGACTGACTTGTGACTGACTTGTGACTGACTTGTGACTGACTTGTGACTGACTTGTGCCTGACATGTGACTGACTTGTGACTGACTTGTGACTGACTTGTGACTGGCTTGTGACTGACTTGTGACTGACTTGTGACTCACTTGTGACTGACTTGTGACTGACTTGTGACTGACTTGTGACTGACTTGTGACTGACTTGTGGCCGACTTGTGGCCGACTTGTGACCGGCTTGTGACTGAATTGTGATTGACTTGTGATTGACTTGTGACTCACTTGTGACTGACTTGTGACTGACTTGTGACTGACTTGTGACTGACTTGTGACTGACTTGTGACTGACTTGTGGCCGACTTGTGGCCGACTTGTGGCCGACTTGTGACCGGCTTGTGACTGAATTGTGATTGACTTGTGATTGGCTTGTGACTGGCTTGTGACTGACTTGTGACTGACTTGTGATTGACTTGTGATTGACTTGTGATTGACTTGTGACTGACTTGTGATTGACTTGTGATTGACTTGTGATTGACTTGTGACTGACTTGTGACTGACTTGTGACTGACTTGTGACTGACTTGTGACTGACTTGTGACTGACTTGTGACTGACTTGTGACTGACTTGTGGCCGACTTGTGGCCGACTTGTGACCGGCTTGTGACTGAATTGTGATTGACTTGTGATTGACTTGTGACTGGCTTGTGACTGACTTGTGACTGACTTGTGATTGACTTGTGATTGACTTGTGATTGACTTGTGACTGACTTGTGATTGACTTGTGATTGACTTGTGATTGACTTGTGACTGACTTGTGATTGACTTGTGACTGACTTGTGACTGACTTGTGACTGACTTGTGACTGACTTGTGACTGACTTGTGCCTGACATGTGACTGACTTGTGACTGACTTGTGACTGACTTGTGACTGGCTTGTGACTGACTTGTGACTGACTTGTGACTCACTTGTGACTAACTTGTGATTGACTTGTGACTCACTTGTGACTCACTTGTGATTGAATTACGACCAACTTGTGACAGACTTTTGATTGACTTGTGACTGACTTGTGATTGATTTGTGATCGACTTGTGATTGACTCGTGACTGTTGTGCTTAAAGGTTGGAACACAGCATGGTCTTCAGCATTCTGGTTCTCAATCAAGACCTGACAGCGTCTCTTATTCTCTTACCTAGTGCGTTGCCTGTTGAATCCCCCGCCGTAGCCACCACCACGCTGGAACGAAGGCTGCTGCTGCTGCTGGTGCCCAAACTGAGGACCTGGTGACGAATTTTTTTTAAAGACATTGATAAATAGGGAGCTCACAGACACAGTCCTTGTGAGGATATGTGAGGACTGTTGAGTACTTGTGAAGACATATGAGGACTTGTGAGGACTTGTAAGGACTTGTACGAATTTGTGAGGTCTTGTGAAGACTTGTGAAAACTTGTGAGGACTTGTGAGAACTTGTGATGACTTGTTAGGATTTGTGAGGACTAGGGAGGACTTGTGAGGACTTATGAGGACTTGTGATGACTTGTGAGGACTTGTGAGGACTAGGGAGGACTTGTGAGGAATTTTGAGGACCTGTGATAGACCCAGCTACAACACTGATATGAACACAGGGCCAGTTTTACCTTGATTGAAGCCGCGATTGCTGCCGAAATTCCCCCCTTGTTGCTGACCGCCGTACCCCATCGCAGGCCCCCCAAACTGCTGCTGCTGCTGCTGCTGTTGGTAGCCCATGCCTCCCCCACCCCCTTGCATGTCACCCTGACCGGGCCTGTCCCCACCCCCCGGGGGCTTCTGGGACAGGGGCTCAGGAAGTGATGGGCGGTTGGTGTCTTTCAGGTAGTTGTTGAAGAATGTAACCTGTTACGAAAAAAAAAATAATTACGATCAATTTTTAAGTGGCAGTTTGTATTGTACAGGTAACAGCGCCCCCTAGTGGCAAGAATGCAAACTGCTACTGTCATTGAAGTCCACTTTGGGCCAAACAATCTCATGTTCATATCTCTGTTTAATTTTTCTTTTAAATAATCACATTAGAACGTAGTGGTACTATACTATATGCACATTGTCTTACATTGTTCTTATTCCTCCACGAATCCACAAAACCACACAGTAAAAACAGTCAAACATATTTTCGCTAACCTCCTTTCTGACGTCGTCCACTTTGTCGCCGTGCTTATTGAAGATGTGCTTCCGGACAAATTCCGGCCCCTTGAATTTCTTGCCGCTGAGCGGGCACAGCCACTTATCCTTGCCGATCTCTTGGGTGTTTGCCTTGACGAACTTCTCAACCTCCGTGGAAACGACCAAACGGTTAAGGAACTGACAGAGAATTATTTGTACTTCTGTTTTCAAGGGGACTAAGCCGTTTCAAAAGGACTAGTGGCTGAGCTCTACCTTCCTTACTCCAACAAAACCCTCCAAAATCCTCCACTGTGCAGGAACCCAATGGTACTCTCTCTGCACCCACCAAGTTTCAAGGCGCATTAAGCCCCATGTAAAGTAATAGTGGCTGGGCTCTACATTCCTCAATCCTACAAAATCCTGCACTGTGCAGGAACCCAATGGCCCACTCTTTGTACATACCAAGTTTCAAGTAGAACTGTGAGTAATAGTGGCTGCGCTCTGCCTTCCTCAATCCTTCAAAACCCTCCAAACCTTCTGGTGGATTTTGAAGGATCTGGGATGGTTGCGATTGTCTGTGAAAATCATAAAGGATATGATTCTGGGTCTTTCTTGCCCATTTTGACCAATTCTTCGTCTGGTATGATGGTGGCGGCGTTCAGGAGAGAGGACAGCTTGGTCTCGAAGTTGCTGATCCAGGTTGTCACTGTTGGAAGAAAAATGAAAAAACAATTAACTAACCTCCATTCAATTGCCTATGGTCACCTGACAAATTGTCCATTGTAAGTGCATATTACGTGCAGTTACAAACTCAAAATTTAATTTCTTGGTCACTTTTGTCTAAGCAGTATTCGTGTCTGAAACTGTATTCAAACTGCTGGCCAATTGAAATTGTAGCCCAAAACGGCCTACTTGGCGGGGCTACTGGGCAAGGCTGAGCGGGCGGGGCTGAGCGGGCGGGGCTGAGTGGGCGGGGCTGAGCGGGCGGGGCTGAGCGGGCGGGGCTGAGCGGGCGGGGCTGAGTGGGCGGGGCCTACTGGGCAAGGCTGAGTGGGCGGAGCTGAGTGGGCGGGGCCTACTGGGCAAGGCTGAGTGGGCGGGGCTTAGTGGGCGGGGCATAGCCTATTACTCACAGTCCTTGTGCGTGATTCGGGTGGGCGGGTTGTGTCCTCTCGTATGCATAATACCGCAGCGGTTGGGCATCTCCTCCTCAATGTGATACTGACTGGTGTTGTAGTAATCCACGGAGTGTACGATGCGAAGGTACATCAGCAGACGATCCAGAACCTGCGGGAGGAGTGAAATAGAGGTTAAACCTCATAGTGAGGTTACACAGCCTCGTGTTGAGGTTAAGCGTGCAAAACCTCAAAGAGAAAGCATACAGACGTGGTTGTCATGCAACAGCTCTTTGGTGTAACATGTATCTGCCAATATGTGAACAAGAAGCTTGAGAAAATTAAGATGTTAAAAATAAGTGATACACTCCTCACTCCTCAGTAACCTCATAGCACACTTTGCGTGAGGTTCTCTGGGAGGACTGACCTTATTCAGCTCCTCATCCTTGAGGAACAGCACCTCGCCGCTACTCTCTTCTCCTTCCTCCTCTGGCTTGGCTCCCATCAGAGCATCTTCCTCTGCACTCACTTCCTCCACCAGGTAATCTGTGATGTTCTCCAGGACTGGGTTGGACTTATACTTTGCCGGAATGATAATCTGATAATCGAAAGCAGAAGAAAAATTAGAATTATTTTTTTAAATCATCAGTAAATTGCTGAAAGAATGTTACCAGCAAATAATTTCAAGGTGAAGAAATTCTTTAGGTTCTTACTCAAGCACATTCTCATATTTGAGTACACTTTTCCTAGACGCACTACTGCTTGTACCTGGGAACCTTCCCAGCATTGAATAATGCCGGTACCCATTTAACACCTGGGTTTAGAGGAGTAATTGAGGCAAAGCGCCTTGCTCAAGGGCACAACACGCATGGCCACGGCGGGGCTCGAACCCACAAGCTCACGATCATGAATCCTGTGCTCCACCGCTGCTCTATGTGTATATTTGTTTCACGTCTTAAAAAAAGTTGTGCTAAAAAATTGTCTTTACCCATTCTGGTTCCTTCTCTTCTGCAGAGCTCTCCCGTTGCTCTTCCTCCTCCTTTTTCTCCCCATCATCTTCATCTTTCTTTTCCTCTTCTCGCTTCTTCTTTTCTTCCTCTTTGCGTTTCTTCTTCTCGGCCTCCTCCCGCATGTACCGTGCCTCCTCCTCGGGACGGAAGAGGCGGAGCTGGTCGTCCAGCTGCTGGACTAATCTGGCGGCGAGCTTGAGGTCGGAGCGGATGATCTTCTTGTGGGCCGTGATGCCGCTGACGCTGCGGATGCGGTTGGCCAAGTCGCGGTTGACCACGGGGCTCAGCTCACACTCCCTCAGCTGAAAATGTCAAAATGTAGGCATTCAAACTTCATTCAGATTTTAAGCACAGAAATAAATTGATAATTTAATTCTAGGGTTCGACATTCACGGTAGCCCGCTGGCCAAACGCTAGTCAAAACAGCAGCAGGCTAGTCAAACTATTCCTTAAGTAGCCCAGCTGGTGAGTCAAAAATTATTGGGCTACGGCAAAGATGAAAGGAAGAAGTACATCATTAAATTCAGAAAGCAAACCTTGATCAATTTGTGTCATTTTTTTTTATCTGTTTAGGTTCAAATTATTAAAAACACTGACAAGATTACCTCAGGATACACGTTTTACATGTATGCACATTGTTTATGAGACACTCTATAAAAAAGAAATATGCGGGCTAGTGAAAATGCCCGCACGCTAGTTAAGTGTCCAGTTAGCCTACTCACCCTGATACTACTCAAGTTCCAGCAGATCTCCTTGATGTTCACGCTCCGGTCAAAGGTCACCCAGCCGTGTCGCTGGAAGTTCCTATCGGGCTGAGGCTCAGCCAGAGCCACTCGCATGAATCCAGGGTACCTCTTGCACAACTGACGGAGAGAAGTTTGACAGAGAACAAGTTTCATTAACCCTTCTAGTCGTCTTCACTTCACAAGCCTTCAAGTTTTGCAAATCCATAGCCATAGAGTTAGCACCCACACTTCAAATTCCTTTGAGGTAATCTTCTGTGGAGTATGGATAACAGTATTTGAAGTGTTATCATAACACTTCAAATCCTTGCACTAGTCTTTTGCGTGGTTAAGCGCAGGGCAAGCAGGCAGATTCAGTCACGCTTCACTGCTCTCCACAGTGCTGTTTTTAGTGCAGTGACCCTCTGTGTGAGACAGTATAACACTTCATATCCTTTCACCTGAAACTGACCTGCGGGGTTTTAAAAGATTTAATCATTGGTCTGAATATTGTCTTCCCACTAGGAGGGTAAAGCTCCACACTAACTTTTCGAATTATTGCAGTACCAACTGCAGTAATTCAAATCAAATCAACTCAATTCAGCCAGTCACTAAGTCACTGAGTCACTTAGTGAGTTTCTGAGTCTCAATAATATCATAAACTGAGAATGTTGGGTCCATCTTTTCAGGCTGGTTTTATATATCTTTGTTATAAACTTCAATCATTTTCTTTTTTTAATGTGATGAAAATTTGGAGACTTACCGAGACGATCTCTCCTTTGGTGATCATGGGGGAGACGTTCCTGATGAAGAGAGAGTAGGTCTTGTGGAGTGGGCGGGGCACAGGAATCTCCTCCCCCTCCTCGCCATCCTTGTCGCCCTCCTTCAGCTCACCGTCGTCTTCTTCCGCCTCCTTCCGAGCTTTCTCTGCCGCTTTGTCCTCCTCGAGTTTGTCGCTCGGAAGGACGTCATCATCAATGCCTTCAAATTAACCAAGATAAAACATTTTTATAAAGTAAATTTCTTGTGCTATGGGGACAAACTAATAGAGCTACCAGTTTATGGCAGGTTACTCCCAGGCTAATGCCAGTGCCCTTTTATACTCCTGGGTTGAGAGAGGCAACATATGGCCTACAGCTGCATTCGAACCCCTGACCCTCTGATCATGGGTCACAAACCACTAACCGTACTTTCACAAAGAAACAAAGTTCCCAACTCCAGTTGTAGCTTGAGACTTTAAAACCTATTTTGTAACTGGAAGAGTAATATTTGTGAAGTACGATCAAAAAAGGAGAGTGCGTGATTATTTTCCCCACAAAATGGGCGGGGCCTAACCTGGAGGGGCGGGTTCAGGTTCGGATTCCGATTCACTGCCACTGCTGATGCTACCGCTGCTGCTGCTACTGCCGCTGTCGTTCTCGTAATCGCTGTCGTGGCGTCGCTTACGTTTCTTTCCTCGTTTCTCTGCGCCGGCCTGTAATAGAAGACGTAGGTCAAAAGTCACACGAACAATACTGCTCAGATTCGAATAGTACAAACTTCAATTTTTTTAAAAGAAAAAAGTGTTTCATGTTGAAGAGTTTAGACACTGTAAGTGAACTCTTGGCCACGTATACACAAAAAAGAAGATAGAAAATTCCAGAATTCACTGTTTGTTTGACAATCGGGGGGATAATAATCACTTTTTAACCCCCCCAAAAATGTTGCAGGTTCAAACCCCCACTCCAGTCAATTTCTTTACCCAACTTTAAAATTCTTTGTATTTGTAACAGTATAACTCAATTTTTTACTGTGCATATGAACTTCTTTTACATGAAATTTGTGCACAACAGATGAATTTACATTTGTATGTTATAATTACCTGTGGTTTCTCTTCTCCATTTGTCTTCGGTTCTTTGTCCCCTTCTGCCTCGGGTTCTGGCACCTTTTCCTTCTTTGGGGAGACAATCTGTTAAAAAAAGGAGTAAAGTACCAAACATTAAAACTATAATTTTCAAAGTCAATGGACTATGTGCATGCACAATAGATGGGGCTATTCACCACTCATGAAAGGTGTGAGGGAAAGACACACCATGTGCGCACAGTCGAGTTTTACATAACTCCCGAGGACTAGCCATTGTCTTTCCCCGTGTCCCTGTAATACAACACTCTCCCATAGACTAAGCACATCAACGCACATTCGAGGACCGCTTTCAACAAAAGATGAACTCTAGAGGACAAGAAAGAATCTGTTGTTCTCCATTTGTCTGTCGGTCCTCTGGGTGTATGTAGTGCACGTACACACTGATTCACACGCGTAAGGCGCGAAGTACCAGTTTAATGTAAATGTGCCCGACCACATTCTGAGCGGAAACGCGACGCCAAATATATTTTGAACCTATTCTTGAGTATATTTGAGTTCAAGTCTATTCTGAGACATTTAAGAATCAACTGATGACGCCTACCTCTGCCTCGTCTGGTTTCTTGTCTTCAGCTTCTTTCTTGACTTCCTCCTTAACGGTGGATGCTGGTTTCTCTTCTTTTACCTCTACCTTGATTCTGATGGAACCACAGCAAAACTAACATGTTAGACTACTTCCTGATTACTTGACTGTAGCTTGAAATTACACATGTGCCTATGGAAACGGTATTAATATTATCATATACTATTTCAATCGGTCAATATTTATATTATTTCACTCAGTTGATATTTGTATACTTTTTCACTCAGTCGATATTTGTATACTATTTCATTCAATCAATATTTTTATACTACTTTGCGGAGTCAGTATCTGTATACTATTTTTACTCATTCAATATTTGCATATTATTTTACTCAGTCAATATTTGTATACTATTTCACTCAGTCAATATTTGCATACTATTTCACTCAGTCAATATTTGTATACATTTCACCCAGTCAATTGATATTTGTACAATATTATTTCACTCAGTCAATATTTGAATACAATACTCAGTCAATATTTGAATACTATGTTACTCAGTCAATATTGAAGTACTATTTTACTCAGTCCATATTTGTAAACTGTTTCACTCACTCCTCTTTTTCTTTCTTAACCTCTGCCTTCCTCGGGCTGTGAGCCGAGCCCAGAGTCTCTGATGTCATCCGTCGCCGTGGCGACAGGAACTGCTGATCCAGAGCCTTGAGATCCAAGGGCGTTCCTCCTTCCAGCTTGATAACAGCTGGCCAAAGAAAACAAAAATATTCTTGTATTTTGTTTTCAAGGAAGTCTCAAATCGTTCAAATGTCGCCTTTTTGCAAACTGCATCGGTCCAATACACACCAGTGTGCCTGGTAAGACCTCACAACGTGAGTTCAAATGAAATTTTAAACATAAACCCAAATTTTTATATATTGATTTTTATCGAAATTAGGTGGTTTGTTTCTCGATAATATGCCCAACCTGCGTCAAGGATCCTGCTAACTTCATCGTTTCGATCAGACTGCAGCTTCATCTTGTCCATCCAGTCTCCTTCGTTGAGCTCCAAGAATACCAGCAGGCGTCGCCGGACGGACGTCAGGCCCTCCGCTTTCAGCCTGTCGGCTTCATCTGGGTAGTACTTTGAGCGGAACCTTGACGGACACGCAGGGGGGAAAAATGGGAAAATAGCGACAATATGGAGGATTAGAACATGGAATTGATGGAAAGGTCGAACAATAATATATAAATTAATCAAAGTGGAATTGGGTTATGGGAATTGGTAAAAAAAAAATTTTTTTTTTAATTTTGGGGTGGGAAGATGCATTTTGTTGAACATTTTTTTTGTTCTTCAATGTGATTAAGATTTTCAATTTGTAAATGCAGATGTGAAAAGCAAACTACTTGCAGTGTTGGTGATATAGAACACGCTAATTTTGAGTTATCCTGTCGGAAAAACAATAAGTAACTGTATGTGTGCTCTTCAAACTTTGTATTTTAAATTTCAACAAGTAATGCGTAATAATGCGAGTTTTAAATGGAACAAGAAGGTTTTTGGCGTATCAGTTGTGTTGTGGCTAGCATTTGCAAGTTTCTGATGGTGGCACTTACGGAGCACATACACAGGGCTACTTCAGTGACAATGTTTCAAGTAAGGGGTTTAGTTTTTGTCATATGTCGCACCGAGACAAACCTGTCGTTTTCGGCGTGGGTGTCAAGTGAACGACTGGATACCCCGATATCCTGATGCCATCGTAACACTGACTGAAAGAGCCCTGTGAAATATGCCATTGAACTGTCTACCTTCAAGGAAATTGCCGTGACACAGCATGCAACATTTTAAAATTACGGAACATTGTGGTCAGGAAAGGGGAACATGAAAGGGATGTGTTCAAGGAAAGTGTTTTGACTTTGCAAATCTTACCACCACCACCACCACCATAATTGGGGTGTGCCCTACCTGCCAATATATCTGCCACCGAGCAATGCACAAGGCCAAAGCAATTCTCGTGAGGGGTATGGTCGAAGGAGCAAACCATTTTATATAATATTCCGTTTTGGTCTCTCATCCCGTACCATCGCTGCTTTCTTCAAATCATCTCGTCCCTTTTTGTAAAGGGGAATTTATCATTTTTCTCTTGTCAAGTCGGCCGTCCAGGCAAATTTTCCGCAGAGACACGAGAAAAAGGGGGAACAAACGTGGGACCTAGAGCTAAGATTTTGACTAGTCAACTGTTGACGACCCTAACCCTATCACACTGCATTTTTGCGCAGTGTCCCTACGAGCTAAAGCGATCACGAGTTGTATTTTTCGTTCCCGGAGCTTGATTCTCGACGAACCTTTGCTGTTGAGAGACAGGTTTTTAGTATTAAATGTTAGACAATCAAGTCTGGTGTGGAACTGGGTTGAGTAAGTTGGGGATGTCGATTTCAAATGAAATTACAATAGATCATTCACCCTAGCCTTCCTCAAGCCTCCAAAATCCTCCAGGCAGTTTTTGGAGGATTTTGGAGGATTGAGGCTGAATGGCAAGAAGGTGTCGGTTGATTTTGGCGGATGAATTGCGTCGAGTTCATAGGCTGTACCCTGCATTGTTTATGTTCAGTCATGCATAATTGAGCCCTGCAATAAGCTCGCTATCATCCGCACTGCTTCTGAATGTCATCAACACTGCCTCAACCCATAAATAGTGATTGTTGGAGGATTTTGATGGATTGAGGCAATGGTCACCCCTCCACTGAACAAATTCAAGAAACAACGGCTGATTTTGGAAGACTGAGGCTGAATCCAATTTTAACATGGTGGCAATTGGAGGATTTTGCCGGATTGAGGATGGTTCTTAGCCAAAGGGCCCAGGGGGTTAGGGTTGATCGCAGTCAACAGAAACAAGTTATGAAATTCTCTTTGAATAATTTGAAAAATCACTTTTCCTCTTATTTTTAGGGCAACTGAGAAAGCAGTTTCCACACCAGTGATAACATAAGCAGACCATGTAAACAAACAAACAAATCTTGAAAGGCAATTTCACTTCTGAAAAAAAAAAGTAATTTTCTTTCTAAGCAAGCAAAGAGCATGAACTTTAAAATGATCAATCTTGGAGTTTTGAAGCTCTGTGAAAATTGTTTAGGAATCACAGAATCCGGGGGAAAACAAAAATTAGCCATGACATAATATATGCGCATAACCTTTGACCAACCAATGACATGGCACGGGACTGAAACTGACCAATCACTGACAATCGTTGTACAATCAGCATCTTTTGAAATTTGAAATGAACCAATCAAATACTACTATTTCTCTTAATATGCCAGGAACAAATCGTCCCTCTCAGTAGTAACTTCAAAAACGACCAATCACAATTTCTTTTAAAATTGCTCCATTTTTTTTTAATCTACAAATCACAGTGCATGCCACCCAAAACTGACCAATCACTGACAATCTTTGCACAAAAAGCATCATTTGAAATAAGGAATGAACCAATCACGTACCACTCTTCCTCCTTGTGGGCCAGGAAGAACTCGCTGAGCTGAGTGCGTCGGAACTCCACCTTGTATTCGTTGTACTTACGCACCGCTTCCGTGTCGTCGATCATGTCGTCCTGCGATGCGAGGAACTGCTTGAAGCTCATAATGTGCGGGCCGTGGGGTCCGCCACGACCGTGGTCATGGTCTGGCCCGCCCCTGTAAAGTAAAGACGTAGACGCAAACCTCTTACAAATTTTAAGTTTTTCACCAATCTTATGTAAAGGTTATGGTTGAGTCCATCACAAGTCGTCACAAGTCCATCACAAGTCAATCACAAGTCCATCACAAGTCAATCACAAGTCTATCACAAGTCAATCATAAGTCCATCACAAGTCAATCATAATCCATCACAAGTCAATCATAAGTCCATCACAAGTCAATCACAAGTCCATCACAAGTCTATCACAAGTCCATCACAAGTCAATCATAAGTCCATCACAAGTCAATCACAAGTCGTCACAAGTCAATCACAAGTCCATCATAAGTCAATCATATGTCAATCAGAAGTCAATCACAAGTCAATCACAACTCAATCACAAGTCAATTACAAGTCAATCACAACTCAATCACAAGTCCATCACAAGTCCGCATAGTCATAGAGTCCCAGATATCAAAAAACAAAAAGTCCACCTCTGGGACGACCAGCCGATGTGACGATGACAATGACGATAATTCAAATCCTTACCTTTGTTGCTGGTTGCCATGGTGAGGCCCTTGCTGCATATTATGCATCCCGCCTCCGCCCCAGCCTCCGTGGCCCTGCTGGTGCCCACCGTATCCCTGGTTCCCGCCACCACCGCCGCCGTACGGCATGTTGTAGTTATTGTAACCACCGCCAGAATCCCTAAATGTTTAAAACAAAATTGGGAAAATCACATACTTAGAAGCACCTGTTTATTTGTGATTGTAACCCTAAAAAAGTCTTCATGAGTTGTTAGACCGACTTTCCTGTGGAAATTTGACACCAATTTCATAAAAATCAAACACGTCAAATTTTCAATACAGGGAAACAAAATATTCACTTGTTTCCTAGTGACCTATTTACATGTACCTATCTCGGCTCCCACAATCCCCCTGCCCCGCCCTGCCCCACCCGGACCCAAACCATCATTACTCTCTTACCAATCTCTCCTCATGAATTTGGACAGTGGGCTCAGGTCCCTGGGGAGACTATACCTTTCCTGTTTTCCACAATCTGCCCTGCCCCGCCCTGCCCCACCCTACCTCGGCTCCCACGACCCCGCCCTGCCCCACCCAGACCCCACCCATCATCACTCTCTTACCAATCTCTCCTCATGCGTTTGGACGGTGGGCTCAGGTCCCTGGGAGGGGGGCTGTACCTGTCCCGTCTCCCACGATCCTGATAGTCTCGCCGGTTCCAGTCCCTCAGGTCTCGGGTATCACGTCGCCTACTTTAACAGCAAAATATTAAACAAAAATTGAGTAGTATTCCAAATCTGTTTAAGGCCAATCGTAAAAGTCTGGAAAATCTGTGACTTTTGTGATTTCATCAGGCCAGTTATGGTATGATTGGTAACCTATGGAAACAATTTGGGCTGCAGTGGTGATTATGTTTTAACCTGAAGGAAAATCGAGCTGCTCTCATTAAGAAGATTACTTCGGATGAAGCACTTGCTATCAACGTTAAACTGGAAGAAACTTGTGTAATTGCCCTCCCCAATTCCCGCAGGAAGTCTGGCAAACCTTACCGATCATTCCAGTCATCTCTCCTCCGGTTATCCCTGTCTCTGCGACGCGCGCGCTGACCAGAGACCGACTTATTTTTTTTTTTGGCCTAACCTATAGAAACAATTTGGGCTACAGTGGTGATTATGTTTTTCCCTGAAGGAAAACCAAGCTGTGCTCATTAAAAAGATTACATTGGATGAAGCACTTGCTATCAACGTTAAACTGGAAGAAACTTGTGTAATTGCCCTCCCCAATTCCCGCAGGAAGTCTGGCAAACCTTACCGATCATTCCAGTCATCTCTCCTCCGGTTATCCCTGTCTCTGCGATCGCTGTAATCACTTCGTTCCCGACGGAACTTATCCCGACGACGACGATCATTCTCATCATCACTATCCATGGCTAGTTTTTACTGTCCTGGTGGTTTTTCTAAATTATACTAGAGAACAAAATGTAGTACTCAACAGGCATATGCGCAGCATCAAAAGTTCCCTTTTTTTTCTGTCCAAACAGATGTGGAGGCTACCATTATTTTAACATTTTCTTAAGGCTAAATTCATGGACCCAACTTTAGCGCGTTATGTGACGTGTTCTATGATGGGCCAAAGGTTTTATCGGTCCGTGTGTGTTCATGCCGTCGCGCTGCAGACAAAATTTTCATAAACATTTATGTTAATTCTCTTTTTAAAATTTGCTGGAATTCTCTTGAATGAACAGTTTTTGAAAATTTAATGTGCTTGATTTGGGGTGGTTCTAGCTGAAAAATAGATTTCCTTTTTTTGATTTTTTGTTTTTTTAGGCGAAGCAGTTTTTGATCCGATCCGGAACTGAATAAACCAATCCAGAACTACAAAAAGTGGCATCACCATCGTACTTTCTTTGACCGAAGTGGCTATCGTTACGGCACTCGTTGTTTAGCGCCCTCTACGATATCTTTTTGATACGCACGCAGGTATATAATTATTTGTTTCCCCACATTTTGTCGAGCACTGCGCCAGCTCATCCGATAGAGGGTAGGATTTTGCACCGCGAGGTTGCGGGTTCGAATCTCAGTTTTGCACTCGAATTTTTTTCCTTTTCTAACCTGAGGCTTTGGAGGATTTTTTTTAAAAGGGAAATAAAGTCCGAATTTCATAAAGTTCAAATTCACTTTTTTCCTTCTAATTTTATATTTTCTTGTCATGTTTTTTTATAAAAGTTGCCAGGTTGCAGTCTACCGTAACGATAGAAAATGGGAAATGCGTTACGGCTGCCGTAACAATAGCCACTGCGTTCTTTGACGTCACAAAATTCAAAATTAAACAGAAGAGCTAAAATAAAAAAAATAAAAATTTGGAAAGTAACTTTGTAGTAATTTGTGTATCTCCCTCACTCAAGGTTAACTATTAAACCAATGTCACTCGAATTTGTGGATTAATTGAGCCGAAAGCCGACTGAATGTTTGCGATCCAGAACTAGGAAAACGACTGTACATATTACATGACAAAGGGGGCGAAACTGAGGCACACTTGGGGCGACTTGACATTGTACTGTCGGGGTTCGTACTGTCAGTGTGCGCCACGCATAACCATAACATATCTGACGTTTTAACACATACAACTGCAATTTACTAAAAAAATATTACACCTTAAGCTGACAATATTTTCCCCTGTACACGTTGAGCAATTGTGTATCCTTGAATTTCAGGATTTGAGACGGAAAATCTGAACCAAAATTACAAGAATGAAAACTTACATGCGTACGCGTTTCACGCTGCTTTTAAAATGGCGCTCGGTTGAGACCACTTTTTCATAGGGGGATTCTCTCTTTTACTTTCAGTTTGCCTCTTTAATGATTTTTAATATAACATTAAATACAGTGTTGTTTAGTTTTACTTTGTGCTTAGATACAACGTCCGTGTAGGAGTTAACTTAAAATGATCCCATCGATTGGGAATTACGTGAGGAGTTTGTATTTATTTGTTGCAAACAAACTACCTCTTACCTACAATATGGTATAGTCCATACTAGCGTCGGAGCTAATTATTGTGTGCATGGTTCCGTTATGAATATCATTCAGAAAAACGACCAGTTCTTCTGAAAAATAATTTTAATAATATGCAGACAATTATTATCCTGATGATTCTCTGAGCTCGATTTATGAAAATCACTGAAGGTGCACACTTGTTATTTAACTTTTTTGTGGCCCCTGCTTTAGGGACGGTCGTTTTATTGAATTTAGGCCTATTAAACTGAGCTGGTGGCGCTCATGTCATGCGCTCATATCCACATCGACCGGGTGGAGGGTGGGCGGGGCTAGGGGAGGGGGTCTGGGGAAGGACTCGTTTTTTTCATCATGCAACTAAGTTTGGCGTTTTTATGTCTGACTCGACTGCTTATAGTGCTTACCTAGTCTTTGTTTAAAAGTTGCATTATAGGCCTACGACCCGTTATGAAATTTGAGTGTTAAAATCATGGATGTCTGTTTTCAACAATTGACCTATCGCCGTTTGCGAGTTGACCACGCCCCTTAGATAACCCTATGGAATTTTGTACGTTAACTTTTGTTTGTCTCAGATTTTGCGCATTCCGCGTCCATTTGTAAATCATGTAATTGGACAATATTTCATGTTCATAAGCTGCGTTGACGCGATTCTACCGCAATATGATTAATTGGAAGCATGAGAAGTAACTTGGCTAAGTTTTAAGTTTAGGCATCAAATTTGAACCCAAATGATATCATTCTTCAATTCTTTTATCTTCTTTCTTCTGGTCTGTCTGCAGAGTCCTGCTCGCAGTTACAGTCCCACAATTCCAAGCGACTCAAGATGGCATCTCGTAGCTCCAGCTTGTCGCGTTTCCCGGCTCTTCTCTTCTGTCATCCATCCATGGAGAACCTCGCGTCAGCCATCGCGAGGAAATGCTCTCGGGAATCGCTGTCACTAACTTGCTTCACGCCAAACCCGACGTCATCGCAAACACTTGATTCGGTTGGTCGAAATAAGTTACAGTGATTGAAGAGATTGGATTTGTTTTGAAATTGTTATTTTTTTCTATCAATACAAACCTTTTTAACTTTTGGTTGAGAAAAAAAAACAGGCTGACGTTTCATTATGGACTAAAAAATTACTTCACAAATGTTCAATTTTCTGTGGCCCAACAATAACAGAGTTCTTGTGGGGGGTAGGCCGGTTCCCGCCTCCCCCTTTTAAAATCAAAGATGTGGGGTCCTGGTACCAGTCTAGTCTACTCACAATGAAGATGTTTGTGCGCAAAAGCAAGCGAAATATTTAGCTTTTGCAGAGAGTTGCAGTCAGCCAAAATTGAAAGCAGATTTCCTTTTGGTAATATTTCACTCAAAAGGTCAAAATTCATTAGGAGAAAAAAATTGAATTCTTTGAAGAACACGGACAGTACATCTTTAAGAGATTTAATTTTTGAACCCTAAGTCCACAGCCATTTTCCTGTATAAAAGGTCATTTTTCTGTACTAATATCACTGTATTCAATAAGAATATTGTCATTTATACACGTGACATTTTTGTCTCATTTCCAGCACCCCCTAAGTCAGGAAAACGTGACCCGAGTCCAGATGCGTCTTCAGTCCGTCGAGTTTCACAAGAACGGTATTCAATGGGACAGCTTCAAAGATGGCTGGCCCAACTTGTTCATTGAGAATGTCAAGCAGTGCGCAGGGAGAGATGGTAAACCATGACCTGCCACAGACTAAGTTTTCACCACTGTTTCAATCACAGAGTCTGTCATAAGTAAATCACAAGTCAATCACAAGCGCGATCACAAGTAAGAGATGAACAATAACAAAGGAATGCCTTTTTCACACTTCATTTTGAGTAGCTTGCGACTTGGCTTGAGATGCACTGGATCGGATGGCTAATTGTGATTGGCATGTGAGGACTAGTTGTAGGACTTGTTATTACTTGCCAGGACTTGTGATGGACTTGTGATGCCCTTTGAGGACTTGTGAAGACTTGTGAGGACTTGTGATGTACTTGTGAGGATTTGTGAGGACTTGTGATGACTTGGGAGGACTTGTGAAGATTTGTCCGGACTTGTGACAACTTATGATGGACTTGTGAAGACTCGTGAAGACTTTGAGGACTTATGAGGACTTGTGAGTACTTGTGAGGACTTGTGAGTACTTGTGAGGACTTGTGAGTACTTGTTAGGACTTGTGAGGACTTGTGAGGACTTGTGCGGACTTGTGAAGTCTTGTGAGGTCTTGTGAGGACTTGTGAGGACTTGTGAGGACTTGTGAGGACTTGTGAGGACTTGTGAGGACTTGTGAGGTCTTGTGAGGACTTGTGAGGACTTGTGAGGACTTGTGAGGACTTGTGTTGACTTGTGAGGACTTGTGAAGACTTGTGAGGTCTTGTGAGAACTTGTGAGGACTTGTGTTGACTTGTGAGGATTTGTCCGGACTTGTGATGACTTATGATGGACTTGTTAGGACTAACGAAGACTTGTGTGGACTTGTGAGGATTTATGAGGACTTGCAATCACTTATGAGGACATGTGATGATTTGTGAAGACTTCTGATGTAGTCGACTGCAACACCAATTTACATATTTTGCTCGACTAATAAGCAGTACATGATTTATCCAGAAAAAAAAGATTTGGAAAAAAATACTTTTCATATACTGTTTTGCCTCATTTTTTCAGTGATCTTTCTTGGAAGTTTCCACTCGCCTGAAGTAGTGTTTGAGCAACTATCGATCCTCTACAACATGCCAAGGTATAGTATTGTAGCCCTAATCTACTTTGGCTCATTATGCAACAGTTAAACAGATTAAAAAGAAAACCACTTACTTTCAATTTGAAAGTCAAAATAATGGATTGAATTTCTCTTTGATTCTACAGGTATCTTGCCAGGTCTTTTAAGTTCATCTTACCCTATTTTCCAACGGGAACAATGGAACGCGTGGACACGGAGGGGCAGGTCGCAACAGCTAAGGTGGGAATTCATCATCGATAGTGCAAGAGGTTCAGAATTATTCGGTTCAGCTCGGCTCTGGAAAACAAAATTCAAAAACTCTTCTTTTTTTTCTTTCGTGGTTGTCAGGTTCTTGCGATGATGCTGTCGTCTATTCCCAGCACAGCCCGTGGCCCCGCCCAGATTGTCATGTTTGACATTCATGCGTTACAAGAACGGTTCTACTTCTCGGATACTATCATTCCGAGGTAGGCAAGTGGTTCAGACTTTTGCACAAGCAAGCTGGAGGTTGCGGGTTCGAGTCCCACCCGAAAAGCCTGAGACATTCCTGCTTTAACTGTTACAAAAATGGCAAAACATGATGTAGATGAATTTATTTTCTTCTGTATTTTTTTACCATCAGGCTAGAGTCAGCTATTCCGTTGCTGCAGCGTGAGATGTTAAAACTTCCGGATGACGTCAAGTTCAACATCGCAATCGCGTTTCCGGATGACGGCGCCCACAAACGTTTCCACGGCATGTTTGATGATTTCCCACAGATCACGTGCATCAAAGTCCGCAACGGCGATAAAAGAGTTGTCACCATCAAAGAAGGTACACAAACATGGCTTCTTCATTTAATCCCTATTGCCTGTACTCATGTACAGCAGAGGGCGCTATGTAGTTAGTCTTGGAACTGTGTGACACGCTGAATTGTTGCTTGACCCAAAGGCTAGACTGCTGTTCTCTGACTGACTGAGTGACTGAGTATTTGTGCATCCACCTTAACTGGGCGATCCTATAGTCTTGTTCTCTATTCTTCATGCTTGTTTTTTTTTTTGATGGAACACAGGAGAAGCTAAGAATCATCATGTGATCATCATCGACGATTTGGTGCAGACCGGAGGAACGCTGATAAACTGTGCGAGGGTGAGACAACATTTCAAATTTTATGAGACCCGGGTTCGAATCCCACCCTGTGACGTAATCGTTGCTTCTAGACGTACTTCCCAACCTCTAGAGGCAGATTCTGTATTCCCTCGAAAAAATGGGTAGTCATTGTATACATAACATTAAAAGGTTAACAACAGTCCACGAGAAGCTGTCTAACATACTTTTTGTTCTTTCGGAAAGTTGAGATCACCCAGGAATCCATAAGCTGGAAGATCGGGGGTAACAATCTTATTTATTTCAGCAAAATTAGGCCGTGGTAAAATGTAGTGTCATAGTCCTGTATGCCATGAAGAACAGGAACGATACACTATAAGTATGCAAATTACAATTATAACTAGAGAAACTGAACAATAAATTTGTAAATTATTCTCAATTTGTCCAGGTTTTGTTAGAGAGCGGGGCAGCCTCTGTCAGTGCTTACGTGACTCACGCCGTTTTCCCCCAGGACTCCTGGAAGGCATTCACCACGGAAGAAGCTGCGAAAAGTGGCGTCAAATTTGACCATTTCTGGATCACGGACTCGCTGCCGCACGCGAGCACGATCGCTGAGCACGCTCCGTTCAAGCTGCTGTCCCTCTGTGATGTCATTTCAGAATTGCTGCTTGGATATGACTTGGTACAGCACATCTGATTGGATGGTGTGGGTAGACAGACTGGTACAGGCTTTGTGATTGGATGGTCTGAAATGGTTCAACTGTAGTGATTGGATAATTATGTGAATGGAAAGTTGGTACAACCAACATGATTGGATTGTGCAATAGTATTTTGTACAACCGTTGTGATTGGTGAAATAAGACTGAGTACAACTATTTTGATTGGATGATATGGACAGTTGATACAACCATTGTGATTGGATATTAAAATGGAGAGATAGTACAACCATTTTAATTGGATTATAGAGTTTGGTACAACCAATGTGATCAGATCACATGAAAGTATGGCTTAATAGTACAACCATTCTGATTGGTCTTTAGTCTATGTGATTGGACAATATGATTAAAGGGTACTGTACAGCCTTTTATGACTGGAGGATATAAGAATTAAGCTTATCTAAGCTGTCTTTTTCTGAAATTTTATTTTAATTCAAAAAGTGAAAATTGAAAACTCAGGAGAATTCCCAATTTGTCACAATTCTTCAACTGACTTCTCAGCTAATTGTGATAAATTGATTGTCAGTGCAAATATTTCATTTTAAGCAAGATAGATGTAAATTTAAGTGGTACAACAATCTTGTGTAATCATATTGTGTATGCAGTAAATGTGCTCAGTTTAAAATGAACGTCTGTAGAAATTTCATTCAGTACATGTAGTAGCAATATTTTAAACAATGCATGTTAATGTTAAAACAGATCATAAGTCATGTCAGTAGGTAATGTGTTGATGGTGGTTTTTTTTTAATGACTAGCCCAGTATCGTTTGTAAATTTCGGCTCTAATTTTAATTTTATTCAGATAATGATGCCTTCTTTTACCGGTCTTGGACTACTTAAAGGCTTTGCCTTACTCTGAAGAAATTTTTTAAAAAGGCCCAATTGACATTTGATGTCATATATCACCATGTTGTCTCTGTTGGGTGTCTTTTGAGCTGAAATACATGTAGCCTATAGGCTTGCTCAACTCCTTTTCAACAACTTTTTCAACACCTCAGCATTGCTTTGTCCGCTTCCTTCTCAATTATTTTGCATGTGAAAGTCTGTCACCCGAAATTGCAGACATCAAGCTCAAGTAATCTGTGCTCAAGCAACCAATGAATGTTCTGTGACACATGAAAGATATAAAAACACAGAAATTGAGTTTTGCAGCGAAGTGGAAGCACCAATTAGCCGTTTTATTTCCACAAATTTCATAAAATGTACACATTTAAATGATATTTTTTACAAATGTATCGTTTCGATTAAACTAAAAATTCAGCTTCTTTACAAGAACTGAAATACACGAATCAGTACTTTACAAAATTCTTAATAAAAACTGAAAGAAGAGGAGACTTCAGATAATTTCTTCAATTTGAATTTCCAATCTCCAGAATTGAAGGGAAAAATGGTTTGTATATTAATCACCGACATTCAGATTTTTCCTCAATTGGAATGGTATTCATTATGTTATAATATTTTCTTTAGTACTCCGCTCTCTACAACAAATGTAATAGAATATGCATGTGGGTTTTGGAAACTTTAAAGTTGTGAATATGAGAAAAAGTGCAAATTTCGAGGTCATTTTATGTACAAAATTGTCCCTTTTTATTCAATGGATAAAGATAATGTTACTTTTCAAACACACTCGGCTATTTAAAATGGTACTGAAGCCTATGAAAACTCAAAAGTAACGTTTTGATTGATGTTGATAATATTATGCAGTAAGTGGCAAAAACTGTCAGTATTTTACATATTTAATTAGATAACTTGGCATATAATATTTCAGAAATTTGGGTGAATTTTCACCAAATTTAGCACATTGTCTAGGGGTGTGTGTGTAACCGGAAAGCTGACTGAAAAAAACACGGGCACTATCAGGTACCCGTTAAAGAAAGCCAACCCCAAAATTCAAAGCTCGGAAGTTGCGGTTCAGATTGTTAATAAAGGTCCACACGACAATACTACCACATCGGTGCGTCGATACATGCAAGATAAAAGTGCGTACGGTGACCATAGCTTTAAGGTGTACACTGCAAGTTTCGTGAGCATCATAAACGTGAAATATGTTTTGTTTTCCCATGTAGCCTGGTTTTCATGTTGAAAATTCCCCACAAATGACATTCCAAACCTTTCTTTTTCATTGTCTGAGAAGTCACTAAGTCATTTGTAAAAATTGGTTACGGGTACCCGATCCCATCTATGGAACCGGTCGGGTACTCGGGTATCCGGTTGCGATGAACAGCCCTAACATTGGCTGAAAATGTCATGTTACATGAATTTATTCATGAACTACATTGAAACTGATTTTTGACCGCGTATAAAATCTTTTGATTTAAAATATGGAACAGTCTGACGCTTTCCCGCTAAACACCATTATATTTTTATTCATTTGACTGCCCTTCTAAGCTACTAAAGATTTTGTTGTCAAAAAAGTAAAATGCTTGGAACCATACAGCTCTGATCTAACCCATCCGTTTCGGCCGACACGACAGCATCGTTTTCAGTCCACAGCAATCTCCGAAACCGCAGGGATGCCGGTTACCACGGTAACCAGAGGTTCTGTTTCTAGGGATGACAGTTTCATCTGTCCGTCACATGATCGACTTTCGGTCACCTGTCCTGCTTGCCCGCGGCAGGCTGACGCCACCGCACCACGTGCAAGCTGTGATCCGACATACTGGTCGCGAAGACCAAGCCGACTTCCGCGTCCAGCCCCAGACCGTTCAGCCAGCGTACCGCCCCGGCCACGAAGTTGGATCCCCTCTTGGAGCGCCGGTAGGCGGGGAGTCGCCATGACGACACCGTCTCATGGGTATGGGTGTTGAGGAGGCGGAGGTACTGGTGGTCCAGTACGAAAGTGAACGCCGAGCCAAGTCCCAGGAGGATGAGGTTACTGGAGTCGGTGTACGGAATCAACCTGGAAGTCGGAAAGAACGGTTAAAAGTGGAAAATTTAGACACCATATGAGTAATTCAAGCGTTATGTAATGTCAATGACAGAGATTTTGAGTGCTCAGTGAATAAACCTGAAAATGTATTTTTTTCCAATCTTATACGTCCATCATCTATAATGGTCAGAGATTACAGACTAGGAGTTTTTGGATCATTTCTCTGAATCATTAATTAGATATCATGGTTAATTGGCTCTGTCATGGACATGACCTTTCCTTTTATGACGCTGGATTACCAAATATATTTTTTAAATTTAGAAAAAAATTGGACATTCTGTTGCCAAGTCAATAATGGAAATCGAGATGAGAAATTGACGACTTACTTTCTTAATTCAAAAGTTTGAAAATTCCAGACTAGAATGCCGACGTCCGAAGCGCAGGAGACGTGGGTCCCGTCAAACTGAAGCCGGGGCAGAAACGTCTGCGAGTGGACGGCCATGTTGCTGGGTGATGTCAGCGTCTTCACGCACTGCGACTCTGCGCTGTGTTTGAGGCTCCACACCTGATGGAAAGTGCAGTCGGATATGCCGTGAAAATTGCTAATTCTTGAAATACTTTTCACAATTATGGACTTGCGCATTTGCTGTACGAGACTCAAAGAACATTTTTGCTGTTACCTTTATTTCTGCCTTGTCCATTGTCAGAAGAACTGGTTCCCCGGAAGTGAATGTGTCCGACTCGACACACGCCTCACGTAAAATCACCTGAGGAAAAGAGAGTTTCCTCAAATCATTTGCATGTTTTTGTTGTTTCAACGAATCTAAACACAACAGTTCGAAACCTTTGAGATATACTAATTGAGCACTGTTTACTCAGTGTTGTCCGAAAGCTTGCCAGGATAAAAATCTCATTTTTACTCGGGTGGGACTCGAACCCACGACCTCCTGCTTACTAGTGCAGACGTCTCACCACTCGACCACCGAGCTTGCCGGGGTCAGCCGGCTGTTCGACTCTGATGTAGCAGTTGGCACTACAATCAATGGCTTTTGATGGAATTTTGTGTCGGGATATGTACATGGTTCTTCCAACAATAGGATGTGTTCTTCATCCGTCCTCATTTTCACTAGTCCCAGAGGGCCAGCCTAATGTATTCCTCGTATCTCACTTACTGACTGACTGACTCCCCGTCACTTGTGAGTCGGGCAGTGCTATCGTATAGGATACCCGAGCGCCAGTGATTGGGCTAAATCTGGCCTAGTCTTGTGAACAAAAGTAAAAAGGTACCTACCTGAGTGACCCATTCCGAGTGGCCTTGTAGCGTGTTGAGTAGGGCCCCGTCGCTCAGACACCACAGCTTGACCGTTGTATCGGCCGAACCACTGACCAGTAAATCCAGTCGGTCACTGTAATCTATGCTGAAAACTGTCCCAAAGAAAACAAAAAAGGAATATTTCAATCAACACCAACTACTAGGACCATTTCTGAATCCTCCACAATGATACTGATTTGTCGGGGTTTTTTTCGCGATGGACACATACCCGCACCGCAGTGGCCCGAGAACCGTTGAAGCCTGGTGCCCGTATCCCAGTCCCAGCATGCAATGGTGTTGTCGAAGGACGCCGTGATGAGTTTGTTGTCGTCGAACTTGATGTCGGCGCAGGTGTGGGTCTGAAGGACCTTGAGACACTGGCCCGTCGTGACGTCCCACAATCGAGCAGTCAAGTCATCCGATCCTAGAGACAAAACGAGAAATTGTCGAAGCACAAACCAAAGAAACTTTAGGGGTTGTTTACTTCATTTTTTCAGAAAGAGGGGTCAGTTTCTATGTAAACATTATGCCCATTCACCCTCCTATGCAAGCGTGTATCACTGCAAAGTTGTCCTTTTCAGTCAAAATCAGACTGTTTTTAACAGTTAAGGGCTCCCACTCCCAGCCTACACAAAGCAGGATTGACTGGCTGTGACTGTTTATGTAACTTGATAAAGCTGTGCTTTGACTGTAGCTGATTGATAAGCCAGCTGTGCCTACCACTTGCCTGCTTTTTGTCGGTTGACTGAATTTGACTAGTCACAGTGTTTGCTTGAAATATGATCTGACTGTTGGTGACTAGCCTGTGTAAAAGGCATGGCAGGGGAAGAGGATTGATTTTTCTGACTGTCTGTGACTGTTCGGACAGCAGGAGGGTTACGTAACAGTTCAGACAGCAATTGCTGCGGTATATTTTCATCCGATAACTACTGTGTTTTTTTAAAAAGAGATTCGGTGCCAAACTTAAGTTGTATTTTGGGTGGATCAGACGTGGACTTCACTTAAAGAAAATGACATGTCCCTTGAGAGCTGTGCGTTAAGAATTTGTAATTTTGTTACTGCATTATCGTGGTTGATTTTCGTCAATTCAGGGGGTTCCCATGTAGTTAAACTGACTTGGAGTTGGAACTTGAGATTTAGACTGAGGTTTTGAGGACTCAAATGAGGCAATCAAATACCTGAGGCCAATTTGCCGTCTCGGTAATGAAGGGCATAGACTCTAGCACTGTGCCCCTGCAAGGTCACGCTATCAAACGCGCACCCTTCCCTTAACTGCCTGAGTCGCAGAGCGAAGTCCCTGTACGTGACTTTCCAGTCTACTCCATTCTGATCAAAGCGCTGCTCCCGTTCGGCGGGGTTGAGCCCCAGTCGACAGCAGGCATTCTGCCAGGCTGCGGCGCAGCCGTTCACCATCTTGTTCCAGTGGCGGTTGACAAGGCAACATCGACAGAGCGTCTCCGCGTCCAGCCACGCCAGGAGGTAGTTCCCTAGCTCGGCCGGTAAGAGGTGAAGGAAGTCTCGTTTGACCAGACCCTCCAGTTTCGTGGCGAGGTGACCGAGTTGCTTAGCGCCGCACGCGGCGATCAGGTGATCCAAGGTCCCGCATCGTTGCTCATCGTCCAAATCACTCTCAAATGTCTTGACCAACTGGTCGCGCCAAACGTTAAACTTGTCGCAGTCCATCTTGTTCATGTTTCTATCTACTTTGCATGCAAAGACGTCGACTGTCTAAGTCCTGTGGTTGCTGTACATGTACATAGTTTTGGCAGCAATCTTTCCATACTTTGATGAAGACTGAACTGGACCACGCTCGCTTGTACTCTTGATATAAAATGTAAGGTTTTATCCTGCAAAGATAAGAATGAATAACACATAATTATGTATGCATAGAGGGGGGGGGGGGGTCTGATGTCTTTGAACCGTTCAATTTAGTTTTTACCTTTTTTCTACCATACTCCGTGTTACTTAGTTAGAAAGTGGTACCGAAGAGAACAAAATATCTATATAACGTTACCACTTTCTTGGCTGTGTGTGAAAGTCAACAAAGCAGGACTAGTACAGGTGGGCGCAGACATCCGAGAATATTTTACAGAAAGAACTGAAGAATGTTGCATTCTGACACTTTTTTTCATCATATATTATCTCAGTGAAGGTCAGTCATTGCAAACATGTGGGAAAAGACATGAATCTGGGACTGAGAAACATTTCCAATTTTGTTACAAAATACTTTGGTCTTGGAAATGCACTCGACTCTCCATAGACTTTGTACACGACCAAAGAAAAGGCGTCTGAATACTTCATTCTTTCCTAGCTCCCACACCTATGTTCTTGAAACTCAATGGTTCTCGAGTCTGGGGTGCTGAATGGTAACACATAGCAACCGATGAAAAGTAGTGTGCAAATCAATAGATGTTATCATCGGACGACTATGATGTCACACCGCCCCAACATGCCCGATCTAAAATAAGTACTTTTCTAGTATAAGAATTTTTTTTTTCAGTCCCAATTCTATTTTAACTGGTGTAACTATTTTAACAAAGTGAACAAATTGCCTAGCTGCATGCCTAGCGACAGTGTGATTTACTGTGAATGTGATGTGACTTTTTTGTGAGAAAGTTTTTTAAAAAAAACAAAATAATTTAATGCCAAGCTGCCAAGGTCAGCTTGCAAATTGCACTGTATTTGTTCCCCTTTTTACACACAAAAGTACACACATTCACTTCGTTCCTTGCGTGCTCTCTGTGTCACTGAATTAACAAAATCAAAACCCTCCAAAGTGAGGGCGCTATTTGCAAGCTCTGTGCAACACAAAATCTGTGTGCCTGTGCAGCGCACAGGCATGACAGGGGCGTGAGTTTATCTATTTAGAATTTTAATGACAAATATCATTTTTGTTTTCACAATTTCTGTGTAATTCTAATTTACCAAGGTCTGGTTAGTTCGCCAGTACTGCTGAAACGTGCTGTTTTCTCTTTCCATAGAAATGTCAAATTCCAACTTGCATTTCTTTCGCCGTACACATCGACGGTATACTTGATAATTTAGCCGGGCCCCGACTCGTAAATATATTGGTAATGCACGACCAGTCGTCTAGGTGTTTGATTGCTGGCTAACTGGATTCATACTGATGATTGAGGGCGCTATTGATTCTGACCAGTAAAGTGAAACATCAACATGCGTGGACGTTCAGTCATTGTGGTTGTTTGAAATTTTCTCGAAATTCTCTATGAAGTAAAATACTTTTAAATTGAATATTACATAACACGTGCATTACATGCACAGACGTTAACTTGGACGTGTTCGATTCTGCATTTTTCTGCAAAGTGACAATGTTGTTTACATTGTTTGACAACCATGACAAGGTGACATGTTTGAGTTCGCCAGGTAAACTCCCCGCCCCCCAATTCTCGATTTGCATAAATTAGGGCCGAACTTTAAACTTCAAGATGTTGTGGTTGTGGAGGGCATACACCAAGTTCCTTCAAGCGCACCCCTTCAAAGCACAGGCTGCAAACACTTGTGAGTAAATAAATAATAAAAATGAAAATTGAATTTCTGAGTTCATTATTTTTTTAATTTTGCATAGGCCCCCTATTCGTTTTATTCTATTTATGAAATACTTTCTATAATATTTATACTTATACAAAGTTATAGGCCTAAATGCATTTGAAAATATTTTGTTTTTTTCTTTCATGTGGTTATTGTCACTTTTTTATCAATTTTTTTTTTTTTGCGGTTTTGTCATGGTCATCTTTTTTGAAGTGTACATCTGAATAATTTATCTTTGGTTAGACCCCCAAGAAATAATAGTTGTGCTTCTGGTTACCCTACATACCCTATTTTGACAGCCCCTACCCTAAGTTTTTGGGGGGAAAATGAGGAAAAAACCTAAAAAAAATCACCAATTAGCTGTTGTTTTACCCTTGATTACACGCAGACACCTCAATATGATCGTACACAAAAAAAATTGCTAAGAAGAAAAAAATTCCCTACCTACCTACCCTATTTTCAAATGCTATAATCGGAAGCAGAAGTATATATATTTTTTTTTTTTGGCCTTAGTTATATTGACCTGTGATTGACTTGTGATGAACTTATGAATGGTTGGTTTGTGATGGCCTTATGACTGCCTTGTGATTGACTTGTGATTGACTTGTGATGGCTTGTGACTTGTGATTGACTTGTGATGGACTTTGACTGCCTTGTGTTTGACTTGTGATTGCTTGTGATTGCTTGTGACAGGTCTGCTTATGGGCCTCGGAGATATCATCTGTCAGCAGGCGATTGAGAAGGCGGGACTTAAGAAACACAACGTCGTACGCACTGTCAGACAAGCATCGTTTGGACTCTTCATTGGTGTACGTAAACAAAAAAAATATCAAGGACCCCTAAGTGGAAAATATTGCTTGACAACTTTATTTGCCAACCAAACCACAGTTGAGTACGAGTCTCAAATGATCTGTTTTCAGTGACTTTTTGACTTGGTTAATCGGTCCGGCACTCTACGGGCTTGAACTCAAACCTTATTGGAAACAAGATTGAGAGGCTATACCCTTGTGGAAAATCCAAAATTTACGGCCGACCCAGGTACAAACAGTGAAAGGCTTACTTTGTGTTTAATTGGACCCGTTTCCGTTCATGGTGGACCCATTTTGATTTCAAGATGGGTAGGCAAGTCGATAGTGTAACAAGGCCTAAAGGGTGCTTTCATTATTTTCATCTTATGGCCAATAGATGAGTGATTTTTCTTATTCAAAGTATATGCCTCTTTCTACTTCTTGTAGGGTCCACTGTTGTTTACATGGTACAGTACTCTGGATAAGTTCGTCAAGGGCACAGCGGCGATCAAAACACTCAAGTGTGTTGCACTCGATCAGGTAAAGTAACAACTTTTTGGGAGTCTGATTCCAAGAAGTAAATGTTGCCTATTCTTCCAACTTTATCCGTTTTTCTGCCTTATTTCATCTTTAGGCTTTGATGGCTCCTACATTCATCACCGTGTTTTACACCCTGATTGGACTGACCAGTGGCTTGTCTTCGGCAGAGGTCAAAGATAAACTAAAACAGGTATGCAAAATATCATAAGTCAATCATAAGTCAATCATAAGTCAATCATAAGACAATCCTAAAGTCGTCCAGTCCCAAGACGATCGGCAAACTGGTCGAATGAGGTGTCACAAATACGTTTGTAACCAGTTCATCCTTTGTTACTTGTGATTGGCTTGTGATGGACTTGTGATTGGCTTGTGATGGGCTTGTGATTGACTTGTGATTGACTTGTGATTGACTTGTGATTGGCTTGTGATGGACTTGTAATTTGACTTGTGATGGACTTGTGATTGACTTGTTGACTTGTGATTGACTTGTGATTGACTTGCTGACTTGTGATTGACTTGTGATTGGCTTGTGTTTGACTTGTGATTGGCTTGTGATTGACTTGTGATGGACTTGTGATGGACTTGTTGACTTGTGGTTGACTTATGATCGGCTTGTGATTGACTTGTGATTGACTTGTGATGGACTTGCCTGATGGACTTGTGATTGACTTGCTGACTTGTGATTGGCTTGTGATTGGCTTGTGATGGACTTGTGATTGACTTGCTGACTTGTGATTGACTTGTGATTGGCTTGTGATTGGCTTGTGATTGACTTGTGATGGACTTGTGATTGACTTGTTGACTTGTGATGGACTTGTGATTGGCTTGTGATGACTTGTGATGGACTTGACAGTCATAAGTTTGTCTGTTTTAGAAGGGGAAGGAGTTTTCTGTACAAGAAAAATGCAGGTGGTCTCGTCGTGTTGTATTTTGTCAGCATACTTGTGACTGTCTAATGAATGAACCTCACTTTTCTTTATTACAGAATTTTAAGACAACGTTGATCAACAACTACAAGGTTAGCTTAGTTTTGTAGTCATTCAATTTTATTCATTTATGCAATAATTTGCATAATGTTTATTTATGATTGATTTGCATATATTATGCCCAACCCTGTTTAATGCATGCATATTTTCCTCATTCATAAGTGTATCTTTTTTCTTCCCAGGTGTGGCCAGCTGCCCAAATCATCAACTTTTACTTTGTCCCCCTGCAGCATAGGTGGGTGTCTTTATTTACATATCATGCATATTCAATGGCCACATGCCTCTTATTTACATGTTTAGTACATGTATATTCAACAGGTGCTTATAAACAGGAGGTTAGTGGTTTAAGTCCCACGTGAGGAAGTCTACGATAGCTATTGATAGCTTTTGTGTGTTTTTTATTTTTAATTTTTGGTGAAGATCCTTTGAAAATAATCAGCATGTGCCATGCTTATTTTGCTTCAACATTATCAATGAAATTAAGTATGAAAAAAATGAGCATCAAGTTTATAATTCTTTTTAATATCTAATGAAAACATATTTTTTATTTGTTTGTTTATTTATTTGTTTGTTTGTTTTAGGGTCCTCGCTGTCAATTGTGTGGCATTATTCTGGAATACCTACCTGAGCTGGATGGCAAACTCGAGACAGGAATTGGTCGAAACAGTCATGGTGGACGAAACACCCGCATCTAAGACAAGTCCTGAGACGTGACAACAACATTAACCTGACTCAGAAAAGCAGTACAGTATTTGTAAACGGCCTCGAATTTTTATTTTTTTCGTGCTATTCTCTTTTTCTTTAATTGTTCAGTGCTTCTATATTATAAATATTTTCGCAGTACTAATGTTTCTTGATACAGTAGTATAATTTACCGTACGATTTCTTTATTGAATGTATAAATGCGTTGAATCATTTTTTGTTAATAAGCAAGCTTGTTCTTGTACAGTTTTACCCGTCTGTTATTTCCAAAATCCAAAGAAGTCTTGAGTATTTATTCGTAGGCAACTTACATCATATTTTATGAATGTACCGTATATAGTATGACTGTAAAATCCTGTAAAAAGCACAAATGTGGTATAGTTAAACAGTTTTACCAATTTTATTTTTCAGTTTTGGCGAACTGAATAAATTATATAGGTAAGATATGAACAAATTCATGAGTATCAGAGAGTTCGGTCAAAATTAAACAAGAATCGTTCTCAAAGTGAACATGTAGGCCACCTAATTACAACTTTGAAAGAAAAAAGGAAGTTGGTCCTTGAATTGACCGCCATTTTAGATTGAATACGAGGTTCCCGGCCAGCTCGTACTGAACAGAGCTATTACGTGGGATTATTCCATAGCCAAGCTGTGTACATTAGCCTCGCCTTGAAGTCATCAGCGTAGGATCTAGGAGGGGACAAAGGAAGGGGTATAATTTAGAAATGAAAACCACACAGGAATTCCATCGCAAACAAACAAAAGGAATTTAGATGTTGGCACCGGGAATTAAAGAATGTCCCGAAATCAGGAGAAAGCTCATAAACAAAAAGTCATTTTGGCGTCGAAATCTTCGCATATGGGCCCTGTAGGTCCTTTGTATTTGAATTTTCATCTAAAATTCGGTCCTAGTTTATTTTGTAAAATTGTAATCGACAATATTCTAAAGTGACCATAAATGTACGTGAGCTTGTAAATCTTCCAAGTGGTAATTGTTCAACGTCCGGACTTCTCTTAACTCTTGGAATTAGAATTTCGCCCTTTCTTCTACGTACGGGTTATCGTGATAAGATTATTATCAAGTGTACGTGAGCGTGTAAAATTAAAATCTTCAAGTGGTAATTGTTCAACCGTTTCTTGCTCTATGGTTCCGGACGTCTGGGCTTCTCTAAAGTCTTGTGGAATTGGAATGTCGCCCTTTCTTTTACGTACGGGGCATCATTTTGAGATGTTACTATGAGACGTTTATTTATTCTTTTGATTAAAAAGGGTGACATGTAAACATTCCCCTTGATTTGCATATACATGATGCCTAAACCGGGACTAATAAGCATTTATCCGTGATCGCCCCAACTTTGGTGTCATGTCGTACTAATTTTCGTAAAGGCTATAGTAAAAGTTGCCAGACGGACTAATTATTTTGTGTTGTGCACGTCAGGGTATTGATGCAGTACTTCAAGTTAACTATCATAGGACTAATGAAAGTAGATATGAGCATAATTAATTTAGTAATGTTTTAGCTACCTAACTGTCGAAATAAAAAGTATATTGTAGAAATAATTTCTCTTCCGGTAATTTTTTTTATATGATTATTTCAGAAATATCCGCATTTGGCCTACAAAATAATAATGCCTATATATGTCGAAATGTATGAACCTATTTAAGATCATTGTTTATCGCCTATAATTCTGTTGTGTGCTCTGTGTGTGTTCCACGTACTGATCCACAATAGCACACATTTGTTTCGAAACTCACGTTTAAATTCGTTGAATTTAAAGCAAGTTATCATTGGGTATAAGTTATTTGGCACCGTCTTCAGTGACGTGCACACAAAACAATCATAACTTTAAAATCAGAAATAAAAATGACACAACTGGAAAACAATCAACATACATACTTGTTGACTGTTTTATTTATCTAGCTTTTTGAAAAATTTTGTTCAAGTCAGTTTACGTTTATTACATATTTTGTTTCGTTATCCTTTTGTTAAATTTCGCATCTCGCGTGACTTGACGATACGTCATCATATCGGCGCATTGTGCAACGAGCGCTTGCGCATAAACCATGTGGTTTCATTAGTCTGGTTCCCAGACCAAAAGATTCTGACTATTCCTGATCAGGAATAGTCGGAATCTTTTGGTCTGGGAACCAGACTAGTGGTTTCATACGGATTGCGCAATGTTTCTTGGGGGTGGCCCAATTGCCGGTGTATGACGTCAATACAGAGACCCCCTCTCCGACCGTATAAATACCACCTGACTCGCCCGTATTCTTTCCTTTTCATGCGTGGCACATCCGGTAGGTTGGGAGACATTTTTTGAGAATTGTTCAATATTTTTTATCCATTGAAATTTATACTTTTTAATTGTCATCTATGTATAAAATTACATTGGCGTTAATAAATATACTTTAAATTAGTTGTTAGTTAGGATATTTTTTAAACTGTATTATCTAAAATGTGAGATTTTCGGGACAATGTGTGACCGGCATTTGGAATTTCGTTATCGTACATGTGACTTTGATTTTGACATTGTTCGACACTCGTGCCGTATGACGTGGCAAATTTATTTTTCTTCCAACAAAATTCCAGTGGTATATGCTCTGTATTTTTACAAAATTTACACAAATGTTCATCAATTTGTATACCTTTTTTGTGCCGAAATGTTTTCCTTCAACATGTTGAATGTTCAACATGTTGTATTGTTCGTTAATCGGGAAAACATGCCAGTATTGCCACGCCACTTTTTTCTTCATCATCTCAGTGAAAGTCATTCATTGCAAAAATTATGATAAGACATGAATCTGGGACTGTGAGAAACATTTCCACTTTTGTTAGGAAATACTTGAAGTTGAACATGCGTTAAAAAAGGACAAAGTCAAAATGTTGCAACCTGAGTCCACTTCCGCGATTGTGTACAACTACAAAGTCATGAAAGTCTATGGAGACTCAAGAAAAAAGTATTTTTCGTAACAAAATTGGAAATGTTTCTCAAGAATCTCGGTCCCAGATTCATGTCAAATCATCACTTTTGCAATGAATGACCTTCATTGAGATGATACTTGATAGGACGAGAAAAAAGTGGCGTCAGGTTGCAATATTTTTCCCCAAAAAAAAAGCTTAGACTTTTTGACTTTTGAGTTTTGTAGGCACTACCACTAGGCTAGCCCCATAAATGTGGCCTATTTACTGGACTGCCTCCATAAACATAGGCCACACATCCACATGTACAAAAATCGTGTCGACTTTGCCAAATTTTGATTTTCACATTTAGGCTTACTTTGTAGGGTTTTTTTGCTTTAGAAGCATTCTCACCCTCTATATAGGCTAATCAGAAAGTGCTGCCTTTTTCAGATGCCTAATTTTTGTGAAATTTCATGTTGAAATTTTGATACGCAAACGTGTGCAAATGTATCTGGAAATTTCACGAAAAATGGACATCTGAAAAGGCAGCACTTTCTGATTAGCCTATATAGAGGGTGAGAATGCTTCTAAAGCAAAAAAAAACTACAAAGTAAGCCTAAATGTGAAAATCAAAATTTGGCAAAGTCGACACGTTTTTGTACATGTGGATGTGTGGCCTATGTTTACGGAGGCAGTCCAGTAAATAGGCCACATTTATGGGGCTACCACTAGGCTAGTCCCACTAACTGGGGCGCTAGAACTCCTTTTTTTGACATTTGGGATGTTGGTCTGTCGTACTAGCGTCCCACAACTGAAATATTGTCAAAGTGACAATTTCAACGTTCACCACAAAAATCACGCAAAATACTTGACAAAAATACCTTTGAAAGTACCTACTGGCATTTCCACATATCAAAGACGAAGTAATGGGGCTAAGAAATAAACATAACAGTTGTTGAAGCCTAACGGTAGGCCTATTTATCAGATTTTTTTTTCATCTTATACATGTCAGAAATAATGTTTTCTTTTTGAGACTCTTGACCAAAGAACACCAATCGTCAATATGTATAGGCTACTCAAATTCTGCGTCCCCCCCCCCCCCCCCCATTGTCTAAAAAAAATTCAAAAGTTACATTGATGAACTGAGTATACTGGTAAACTAAACATGAAAGCCACCTTTCCATATAGCTTATGCGCATTTTTGATTTGATAGATATGTCGACAGCGCTCCATTGAGCACTTTTCGACGGACGATTGCAACGTAAACTTTAATGGGGAAAGGGACGTGTGCTACATGAGATCTTGCGTCTGTAGAAATTAAAAATATTCGCAGCCTATGCAGTCGATTCGCGACTTGAATCAAATTCTCATTGAATGGTAAATCATCGCAACCGGTTATTATAATTATTATAATTATTAATTTCAGGCAATGAAACCAAGGATTCCCTCCCCATAAGCGCCTAAGGCACTTACTTAGCTCGCACGCCTTAAGGAATAATGTGGAGAGAAGACCTTGAGAAGAAGTAACACTTTTAGAGGTGGGAGGAAAAGCCCAGAAGAACATTCTGGGGAAAACCCACGGAATCGGGCAGGGACTGAAAACCCAACCATATTGGCCAAGGTGGGATTCAAACCTTGGTCACAGCAGTGGAAGGCGAGGAAAGTACCGCTGCAGCAACCTGACTCCCGAAAACTGGTGTGCAACTGAGTAGATGTTCTTATCGGCTGACGTAATCTCGTCCACATTTATATCCAAGGATACTGAAGCGGCATGCTTTATTTGTTCTCATTTCTTTTGGACAGCTTTCTGCATATAAATCCAAAATACCACTCCGAAGCTTACTTCAACAAGCATCATGGGCAAAGAGAAGATTCACATTAACCTTGTGGTCATCGGCCACGTCGACTCCGGCAAGTCGACCACCACCGGCCATCTTATCTACAAGTGCGGTGGCATTGATGAAAGAACCATCCAAAAGTATGAGAAGGAAGCCTCAGAGGTGAGTTTTCAACAAGCTGTTTCAGAATAAGTCTTAGTGCAGAGTGTCGACGTGTTATTCCAGCGTTCTTAAAAAAAAGTACAACGTCACTGTTTATGGGGAAACATTGGCTCAAAACATGGTAATGGTAGTAAAGTCTGTTACCAGCCAATATGGCCCATCGACCGTTTCCTTGGCATAAAGTGACAGAAGTTTTCTGTTCCCCCTGGATGAGATGCTAGTCCATCACAGGTTACTCTCCCCAGCTTATGCCTGTACCCATTTATACTCCTGGGTGGAGAGAGGCAAGTGGGGGTGAAGTGGATCGCCCAAGGACACAACATATGGCCAGCAGCTGGATTCGAACCCCTGACCCTCTCATCATGAATCATTTAACATAACCACTGGGCCTCACTAAGTCTCCCCAATCAGGCCAGAGCACAGGACAAGAATATTAACTTGACAAGGATTAGGGTCGAGTCAGTTAGGATAATGGAATATTCAACTTTCCATTTGATCGAATATTAGGTTACACCGGAAGACAGATTTTCGTCATCCGATTGCCAGTTAAAATTCCTTCATGGTTTCATAATTTATTGCAACACAGTTTAAAGAATGCTTACTTTGCACATTCATGCATTAACTTTTCCAAAAACAAACCAAAACACCATATTCTCTTACGGATTTTACATTTTAATATTGGGCACATTCAAAAATGTTGAAAAGATATGAATCTGCAACTGAGAAACATTTACAATTCTGTTAAAAAAATACTTTGAAAATTCACTTGACTCTCAATAGACCTTGCACACAACCAAAGAAGTGGCGTCTAGGTACTTAACTCTTTTCTCAAATTGATTTTGGCAGATGGGCAAAGGTTCCTTCAAGTACGCCTGGGTGCTGGACAAGCTGAAGGCCGAGCGTGAGCGTGGTATCACCATCGACATTGCCCTGTGGAAGTTCGAGACCCCCAAGTATTACTGCACCGTCATCGACGCCCCTGGTCATCGTGATTTCATCAAGAACATGATCACTGGAACATCTCAGGTAATGACTAACATGTATTTAGAAAGGTTGTCAAATCTCAAGGTTTTCTCAAGTTACCTTTTTGTTTTTGTAAACTCGTAGCATAGTTCTGCAGGATGGGTTAATAAAAATGAAGTACAAAGGCATTTGGAATTATTTATCCCCAACACAATTGCTTGTAATTCTCATTTCATTACTTATGTACATGTGTATAGAATTTATATTACGCATCAATTGATTTCAAGCAGAAACCTGAGAATGTCCCAAAGTCGAGGTTTGCACCAACCAAAAATTAGATCCCTTCGCCTGAAAAAGACTAAAAACTGTAAGTGGAGTGTCGTGTACTGCGGTGTGGCGTGAATTTCAAGTCATTATTGAACGATTTAGCAGTGCAGAATTCCACAAGTTTCCAGCAAGAAAACATGTAGAAAATGATGAGAATTTGGTTTGTTACTCAGGCTGACTGCGCCGTCCTTATCGTGGCTGGCGGTACTGGAGAGTTCGAGGCTGGCATTTCCAAGAACGGACAGACGAGAGAGCACGCTCTCCTTGCTTTCACTCTGGGTGTCAAGCAACTGATTGTCGGCGTCAACAAGATGGACTCCACTGAGCCACCGTACAGCGAGGTGAGACAGGGGTGTGAAATCTCAGCTTTTTAGCTGATTTCAGCTTTTTTTGTTTTGGATTTCCCCTTTTTCCCCTCACTTGCTTTGTACAAAAGTATAGGAGATTTCAAAAATTCAGCTTTTTTACACCTTTTTCAGCTGTTTTCAGCTATTTTTTGTCAGTGGTCACTCACACCCCTGGTGAGAGCTCTTGAAAACCACAGGCCTTTTTTTTATGCCCTGTGGCGAAGCCGAAGGAGCATACCCACATGGGTGGGTGTATGTGTCCGGATAAATCTTGTCAGCGCGGTAACTTGAGAAATACTTAAAGGTATAGTCCATCATTTGTAATTTGTGCATTTTTTTCGTTTGAAGCAACAAAAGAGTTCAAAATCTAATGAAGGATACTGAGCAACTAACCTGATGAAGTTTCAGCTAAGCTTCAGCTGTACATTCCGAGAAAAACAGCATTCTAAGATCTCAATTTCAAATCAAAAGTTGCTGAATCATGTTTTGAATTGTTTTGAATTGCAACTAAACGCGACGTCGCGCACTGATCCGACGAATTATAACAACCGCGCGCGCGTGTGCTTCATTCGAATACTTGTGCGTGCTTCGCTGAATAACAAAACGAACTACTAATTTAAATTTTCCTACAGTGCTTCTTAAGAATCACCGTTGGAAATGTCTTCTTTCGTTGATTACTTCAAAATGACAGCTTCCCAGAAAGAATAATTTCACAGGGAGTTTAGTCTCCTTACTATCTTTCAACCAAGTTAGTTTTTCAACAATAATTACGCCAAGTTACTTCTCGGATGGCTGCAAATGATGGACTCTACCTTTAACATATGATCTTCAAATTTGGTTTGTGTATTGTTATTGGTAATCCTAAGTAGCCAATTGCATTTAATCACCATTCATTCTCAATCCTCCAAAACAACCAGGAGGATTTTAGAGGATTGAGGGGGTTAGTGATAATGACATAATTTTGGATTTTAATTTTGTCTGCTGTAGTCCCGATTCAAGGAGATTGAGAAGGAAGTCAGCGCATACGTCAAGAAAGTTGGCTACAATCCTAAGGCCGTGGCATTCGTTCCCATTTCTGGCTGGCACGGAGATAATATGTTGGAGCCATCTCCAAAGGTTAGTGTAACTCTTTTCAGCTTATTGATAAAATGGCAAGTGTGTGGGCCATAAAATGGATGGATCTCCAAGTCCAAATAGACTGTGTGCATTGTGGGCGTCTCAAAGGGTAATCTTTGTTACCCCTAATGAATAACTTTTAGATAATCCACCCCCCCCCCTTTTCCCCAGCCTTTTCTGATCAAAACTGTTATTTATTTCCCCTGTAGATGAGCTGGTACAAGGGTTGGGAAATTGAACAAGTAGAGGTGAAAGATAACAAGAAAACAACTAAGAAATCCAGTGGAAAGACGCTTGTCGAGGCCTTGGACTCGATCATGCCGCCACAGCGGCCTTCAGATAAGCCTCTTCGTCTACCTCTGCAGGATGTCTACAAAATCGGAGGTCAGTGTAAATTCTTAATTTTTTTTTTTTTTTTTTTAGAGAGTGCGAGAGAGACGGCTCCATGATGCACTGATCAGAGATGAAACTTGTTGCACGTTCATTGCAATTCGTCTTTATGAAATTTATTTTCCAAGATTCTGACTTGAGGCCAAAAAAAAATTAAGTCGGTCTCTGGTCAGCGCGCGCGTCAATTTTAATCATGCGCGTCAATTTATTTATTTTTTTCCCAAAGTGTTCCGCGGTAGCTCCAACAGCGCCCTATATTTCCCGCACCTCATTTTTTTTTACCAAAGAGCACCAAGGAATGGGAAATTGCACCAAGGCAGATGATCGAAAGCACCAAGGCAAATTATGGAGGACACCAATGTACATGAGGACACCAAAAAAGCAAAACAGTACCCCACCTTGTCTGAAAGTCTGAAATCAGACCTTTTGAATCTTAATGAAAGACATCAGCACAGAAAAAAATTCTTCTTTCAGATCTTTTCATGCGATTTTCAGAGTTTCGGTTTTTTTAAAGTGACAATTTCTTCCCTATTCTCCTCAGGTATTGGAACAGTGCCAGTGGGTCGTGTGGAGACGGGTATCATCAAGCCAGGTGTCGTGGTCACTTTCGCTCCGCCCAATATCACCACTGAGGTCAAGTCTGTGGAGATGCACCACGAGTCTCTCCCTGAGGCCCTCCCCGGCGATAACGTAGGCTTCAACGTCAAGAACGTGTCCGTCAAGGAGATCAAACGTGGGATGGTGGCCGGCGACAGCAAGAACGACCCCCCTAGGGGGGCTGCCAGTTTCAAGGCGCAGGTAGGTTTGTCCCAGGCGTGACATTTTTCAGACTTTATGAATCAGAGAGAAAGACTTTATCAGTTTAAAAGAAAGGCATCTTTCAATTTCTCCTCGTGGGTTTGCACGTCCGTTTCTAATATTTCGAGCTAACTAGGGAGGAGTTAAACTAAGAAGAAACAAAAAGTGGAGGACATTCTGGTAAAATACAGCTTGTAGGTGTTTTTTGTGGGGTGCTGTGGTCCAATGGTTACCTGGTATTTTCTGAGAAAACACAGTTATTGTAGTCAAAACCCTAAGGTGTCGTGTGCAACAAAAGGTCGTTATCCGTTGGTGACCTTTTGTCAATAACGCATTATGGAGATACTTTAGGTGCGCTATATGAAACAAAAGGTCGTTAACATCCGTTAGTAGCCTAATGTCAGTAATAAACCGCAGGCTTCTCATCATAGACAAAAGGTCATTATGCTACGTACTTTTAACCGTATTTTGCAAATTAGCGACCTTATAAAAAGAATACAAATGTGCAATAAAAATTAGGCCCTTTTTAATTGGTTAATTTCTAGTATAATTAAAAAGATAAAATGACTCATTTTTTGGTGAGAAGCAAGCTTTTTGATAGCTTGACCCTAACTCCCTAGGGGGTGTGCAAAATCGTATTAAAATTAGAGAATTCAGGACTGTTAGGGCTATTAAACAAAAAAGTCAGTTTGGTGAAAATTGCCATAACGACCTTATAGCACTGAGCCAACGATTATTATTATTTCTAAATTGCCCATTTCATTTGCACCAAATATTAAGGGCAAGTTGCAATTTCGTGGCGTTACACAACCTCACTGCCTGATTGTCGCTTGTTACTCGACCTGGTTGTTGGCTGGGCCCAATTTCACGGCGCTGCTAAGCACAAAAATTTGCTTAGCACAAAAAAAGTCTGGCTTCAGGTTACCAGCCAAAACTCCACGTGATTTTCATGCTAAGCTAACAACAGCTGAATACTAATCACAAGCAATATACATCATATGGAGTTTTGGCTGGAAACCTGCTTTTATAAGCCAGTCTTTTTTTGTGCTAAGCAAATTTTTGTGCTTAGCAGCGCCGTGAAATTGGCCCCTGGTGGAGAGTCAGGCAGTCCCTTCAGTGTAACAGAAGTCAGCATGTTAATTTCATTTTGTCATTTCCTGTAGGTTATCATCCTGAACCATCCCGGGCAAATCCATGCTGGTTACGCTCCGGTGCTGGACTGCCACACGGCCCACATTGCCTGCAAGTTCGCCGAGCTTCTGGAGAAGATTGACCGCCGTTCCGGCAAGAAGTTGGAAGATCTTCCCAAGATGGTCAAGTCCGGCGACGCAGCCATCATCAATCTGATTCCCTCCAAGCCCATGTGCGTGGAGTCCTTCAACGACTACCAGCCCCTAGGGCGTTTTGCCGTGCGCGACATGAAGCAGACAGTCGCCGTGGGTGTCATCAAGGAGGTCACTAAGAAGGACCCAGCCGGCGGCAAGACCACCAAGTCTGCCCAGAAGGCTAGCAAGAAGAAGTGATGGCAGGTCCTCACGACCGCTGCCTCAAGCAAGCCCTCGCAGAGGGCCTGCTCAACAAAACCAAACCGTTCTAGCGATCTTAAAACCATAACCCTTATCAGTGTTCTCAGAAACCAAGTAGTGAAACCGTTGATTAAAGTTGTAAAGCCCTTCGAGTCTAAGGCGCAGAGAGAAGGCATTAACCACAGAAAGTTCTTCCGAAGGAAAAACTGATTTTGGCTAATAGAAATTTTAAGAGCACATTAATTTTGCAATTATTTTGTGATTGTAAAGCACTCGCTTAAAAGTACTGTCAAGTTCTGAATTGTTTTCCTCATCTCTCCAACACATGTGAAGGCAATGTGGAGATTGAACAAAAATGTCAAAAAGCCATGCATGAACATTATTGCTTGGTATTTTTGTTTTTTATTCCATGCATTGGAACTATACATTTCCCCAGAAGGGTTTAAAAAAAAAGTTGCAAATTGTAACGTCATGTTTTATTTGTTAAACAATCATGGCCATATACAATGTTGAAAAGAAATCTAACTGTGGAGGAACGACTCGAAATTACGTTGGTGTTTTTGTGAGATGTGAACTTATGAGACGTCCAGTGTAACTTCAGTTTGCCAAAATGACTGTCATTGTTTGGAGAAACCCCAAAGAATGGGTCGTGTTAACAACGAGGAGTCTTTGGAAAAGGAATATTGTAGGAAAGCAGGAATATTGGAAAAAGTGCCACATTTTTCTTGCAGCGTGTACATGCGAATACTCGTTAAGTTTCTCAAAAATTTTATTTCCGAAACCCGCAGCGGCTGTTGCTAAACACATGTACATGTACTTTGTTTTGTGGTGTAACTTAAAATGTCGAAATAGACAAAAGACACGAGCATCCTTTATCAGTTCGGGTGACCTGTTAAAAATAATAAATCTTGAAGAAAAAAATTGAAGAAAAAGTGTCTGTGTTTTTGTTCTGGGTGTGTACAGGTATATAAATGTAATCTGGTTTCAATGTGACTTTGGGATACATGTACTATGGATTGAAGTCCGTGTTAAAGGCATCAAGCTGAGGATAATTGCTTTCCGGGTTTTTTTTTATTCCCAGTACTATAGCACCACTCAAAATCCAAAGAAGAAAGCTCAAAACCTAACCTGAAGAAGTTTCAGCTCAGTGGATATTGCACTATCGAGTAAAACCATGCACAACTTAATGATCACGAAACGCAATATTTTCCATGGCACCCATATTTTGAAATCAGTCGACTGATTGTTGGAAAATCACCTACATTTCTTGATTTTTTTTCACTAAATGAAGGCAAGCCAGATGGCATAATTTCACAGGGTGTTAGTACCAGTACGATCTTTAAATCCAAGTAAGCTTTTTGAAAATTAGGTTACATTTGGGATATAAAATACAAGTACATGTATCCTTTATTTTCAAAACCGGGGACCTAAGTAAAGAATCGGGCTGAAGCATAAATCTGGGAGCCTCATCTGCAATTACCCCGACGTTTGTAAAATAGCTATGAAGTATTACGCGAACCCATGAGGGCGCCCTGCTCGAGCTCGTGACAGTCGCGTACGTACGTACGTAAACACGTAAAGGTACACCCATGCATTGTCGCATGCGTGAAGGTATGCACGTACGCACCCACGCACCTACGCACCTCCGGTTACGTGTACGTGTACAATGTACAAGTATCGAGGCGGGCAGGCTTACTCCCTGGTCAGCCCCCACAAGATTGTGCTCGACGCACCGCGGAAATATCACGTCAACTCGCACTTTTCATAATTTATGCGATCTTCAACGAGTATTGGAATCCAAGGGGAATCCGAAGGAGGATTTGCTATTTAATTTGGGCATGTTAGATGCCGAGTGAATTTAGATAAAGAAGGTTTTTTCGGAACAGGAAATCAAGCTACACATGACAATGAATGTGCAGTCGGACGCAGAGAAACTTGGGCTGTTGGTTGCAGCGAGTGAGCGGTGAGATTTTGATTTTAAGTTCAACTTGTTGAGAATTTCAAACGATTAATTTACTCGTAAAATAGGACAAACCTTGGGAATACTGTAGGCATATATGTTTTGCTGCCATATGTTGTCGTAGAAACCAGTGTTTGGCTTGGAGTTGTCACGCAGGAGTATTGTGATTTACTGAAACATCTCTGTAAATGTTTTTGTGGCATGTCCGGGTTGAATTTTTACCAATTTTTTGTAGAACGAAGAATAGAAATTAGAACCCAATGAAATTCATGAAATTGTGGAGATAGCCTGTTCTCTTTTTTTTCTCTCTTATTATTTTTAATGATCCAGTAAGGAAAGATTCCCATATCTGGCCATCACTAATTTTTCCCTTCAGCATGTTCAGTGACCTTTATCAGCAATCAGAAAGTGATAATGTGTCCTAAAAAGTTAAATTTAGCAGGGGAAATATTGAAGAAATTTTCAGACCAGTCTCTAGACTCTAGTCATGCTAGTCCTAGGGTTTGTGCACAGGGTGTCAAGTGATGGCAAAATAGGGGAATCTTTCCAAAAAAAATTAATACAACAAGTTTGGATTCTGTCGGAATCTGCAAACTAAAGAAAAAGGGATTTTAAAGTTCCGGTATTTTTTGGAGACTCTGAAATATATACGCTTAATGCAGAGTAAAATGTGATTATTTGCATGCAAAAAGGAGTGCAGAAATATGATTGAAGTGCTCAAAACTCGCAGTTTCTTAAAAAAAAAATTATCTTTATTTCATATGATTTATGAATGTGCAACAAAATCATAATTTCACAATTTCCTATGCGTAAAAAGGGTCACCAAATAAACAACGCCCTCACACATTTTCTTATGCGATTACCAAAGTCTTTTGGCTATTTTGAAGAAATTATTATCACTAGACTCGGCGAAAGCCTCCCTGAAAATAACGTTTAGGCCCCCCAAAAAATTAGTTCTGCTTCCGGTTTCCCTACCTACCCTATTCTGACAGCCCCTACCCTAATTTTTTTATTGGACAAATGAGAAAATGACACCCAAAACCATCAATTTCTACCTTTTACCCTTGACTACACGCAGACACTTCCATATGATCGTACACACACAAAAATTTGCAAAAAAAAACAACATTCCCTACCTACCTACCCTATTTTTAAATGCCATGTAATCGGAAGCAGAACTATTTTTTTTTTGGCCTCACTAAGAAAACCGGTGCCAGTCAATTATCCACTGGCATTCCCTTGGTTTTTTTTTGCCTTCTTTGCTTAAAAAATTTAGAATGTAGTATCCAGACGCCACTTCTTTGGTTGTGTACTACAAAAGTCGATGGGGATTTGAGTGTATTTTCAAAGAAGTTTCAAACAAACTTGGAAATGTTTCTCAGTCCCAGATTCATGTCTTTTCAACATTTTTGCAATGACTGGCCTCCACTGAGATGATGAAAAAAAGTGGCATCAGGAGGCAGCATTCTTTCCAAAAAACTTTTCTAAGGCCAAAAAAAAATAAGTCGGTCTCTGGTCAGCGCGCGTCGATTTTAATCATGCGCGTCGATCTTCTTTTTTTTTCTTCAAAATGTTCCGCGGTAGCTCCAACAGCGCCCTCTATTTCCGCACCTCCTCAATTTTTTTTTACCAAAGAGCACCAAGGAATGGGAAATTGCACCAAGGCAAATGATCGAAAGCACCAAGGCAAATTATGGAGGACACCAATGTACATGAGGACACCAAAAAAGCAAAATAGTACCCCACCTTGTCTGTACAATCCAAGCTTGAAGAAAATTGCGTCAATTCCGGAACTTTGGTCTGACCAGAAACCGAATATTTTTTTTTTTTTGGCCTAAGCACACTTTTTTATTTTCACTTTTATGTTTTTTTTCCTGAATTGTTCCAGGCCACGCAATAAGAATGGCAAGCTGTTTGTGTGTTGCGCCTGTGCCCTACTGGCAGCCTTCAGCATGGGCTTTGGGCTCGGCTACTCTTCCCCCGCCGATCCAGATCTGCAAAGCAAGGGGATACTTTCTCCTGATCAAGTCTCCTGGTTTGCGGTAAACAAAAAAATATCTACTTTATTCCCAGTGTCTGACCTAGTTTTCTTAACCCTTAAGGCTGAGCCATAACCCTGCCTTACATAACACAGTGCATCAGGTGTCAAAGTCTGTGGGACCTTGCTGCACTGAGCATTTGGAGGGTTTTGTAGAATTGAGATTGTATGCATGCTAAGTGCCTGTCAAGGATGCATCGTGGCGAGGCAAAAACCATAACCCTGCCAAACACAACACAGTGCATCAGGTGTAAAAGTCTGTGGGACCTTGCTGCACTGAGCTTTTGGAGGGTTTTGTAGAATTGAGGCTGTATGCATGCTAAGTGCCTGTCAAGGATGCATCGTGGCGAGGCAAAAACCATAACCCTGCCAAACACAACACAGTGCATCAGGTGTTGAAGTCTGTAGGACCTTGCCGCATCCAGCCATCAACACCAGTGCATAAATGGCCAATTCTGAAACAATGAGAGTTAATCCCATTGAACAATGCCACAGTTGTATCCTGCTGCAGTTGGTGACCACAGACTTGAGATTGTATGCATGCTAAGTGCCTGTCAAGGATGCCTCGTGGCGAGGCAAAAGCCATAACCCTGCCAAATGCAACACAGTGCATCAAGTGTAAAAGTCTATTGGACCTTGCCACATCCAGCCATCAACACCAGTGCATAAACGGCCAATTCTGAAACAAGAGAGCTAGTCCCATTGAACAGTGTCACACTCACAGTTGTGTCCTGTTACAGTGCCAAAATTATCCAGTAATGCTCAGCACCATTTTTCAGATAATTCTGTTTCAGCGCATAATGGCAACAGCTGTTAAATCTTTTATATCCTTGTTTGTGCATCGTATTATAAATTAAGTGAACCGTTCACGTTATAGGCATGCCATGTGTTTTATCCAAGCATATTATTACAGACGTAAAAACAACGAAATTGAATAAACATGTCGTCTAGCAGACTTATGAAAACAAGGCCATACATAATTATGCAGACTTTGCCTTGGGCTGACATTTGGAATATGGCATATTGCAATACAATTTATGGCCGTAAAAAAAATTAAAACAAAGAGTTGGTTAGCATCCCACCCTATGATCATTACAATACATATTTATATTTATGGTTAGTTATTTTGGGTAGCTATATATAATTAAAGTTATTCATAGTTTATTATTGAATTATATTCCTAAGGATGCTTACTTTTATGCCATGAACTGCTTTTTATCAGGAAATTTGCCTTTTTCCTTCTTTGGGAGAGAAAACAGGTAATTTTTAAACAAAAATTCGACAGGGATGCTAGGTGCATAAATGTTCTAATTGACTTGAAAAGATTTTGAATACTATCATTTATCCTGAAAAAAATTCTTCCCAAGTTATTTGTTTTCTCATTGCTGTTACGTTTTTCGCCACGTAGGCTCTTTTTGCGGTGGGCGCCATCGGTGGTGGGCCCATTGCCGGTTTTCTTCTGGGTGTTGCCGGACGTAAGCTGACTCTCATGACGTGCGCGCTGCCGTTCGTCGCAGGCTGGGTTCTGCTGGCGACCGGCACGGCCGTCTGGTTGCTGTACATCGGACGGATACTGACCGGTATAGGGGCCGGAATGACGTCACTGGTCACTCCGGTAAGTAGCTGTGCTGTGGTCGCATCCATCGCAAGTCCAGTCACAAATGAACAATGACAAAGGAATACTTTTGTCACATTTCATTTGAATAGCTTGTGACTTGACTTGAGAATGGATGACCTGTGATGGACTTGTGATGGACTCTGGAAGTGCAAGACTGATTCTTTGGAATGTCTGTATCTTGTTGCAGGTGTACATCGCTGAGATGTCCAGTCCTCAACTCCGAGGTCTGCTTGGTGCTAGCTTCCAGCTGATGATCACCCTCGGCATTCTGGTTGTCTACGCTCTTGGTAAGAAACCAAACTAGGCTTGACTAGTTGAGCTGGACCTGAAAGTGTGAGAGCAGTTTAGGTACTTGAGGACAAACTAAGTGACTCAGTCAGTCATTCACTCAGTGACTCGGGGAGTCGGTCATTCAGGTAGTGACAGTCAGTCGGGGAGTTAGTCAGCCAGTCAGTTCGTGGCTTGGGGAGTAATTCAGGCTGCCAGTCCGTCTGTCATTCCGTGAGCTAGGCAGTGTTTTTGTCAACTATCACTTCGTAACAATTGTGGGACAATCTTACTTATACTTACCTTGTCTTGTTAATTTTATATTTGACCAGGCATCCCTTTCAATCACGTCTGGTTGGCCATCGTCGGCGCGGGTGTGGCTGCTGCCCTCGTGGTCACCATGAGCTTCATGCCGGACACGCCGCGATTCTATCTGAGCCAGCACAAGCGAGAGAGGGCGCTGGTCGTGCTTCGCTGGCTGCGAGGACCCGACGCGGATGTGGATGTCGAATGCAGAGAGATAGAAGATGCGTTGGATAATTCCAATGTAAGGTTATGGCTATGTGCTGTACTGTGTTGGGGTCAAAGGTTGTATCCGTAGCCACAAAACAGCAGATTTTGCCATAAGACTAGACTGGCTAGGCCATTTAGGAAAAAACGTTGATTTCAATGTCCTGTCCAAATAGTTTGAACATAAAAGGAAAATCTGTCTTGAGTCAGTTTGGCTCCACTGTCTTGCATTTTTCTCCAGTTTCCCTGGCATAAAAGGACTAACATTATTTCTATTCCCCTGGATGGGAAGCTAGTTCATCGCTACTCCCACTTTAATGTTGGTACCCATTTAGGGCAGAATGCAAAATTAACCAAGCGGTAACTCGAGGGTGAACACCAAGGTAACCCAGAAAACCCCAGAAAACCCCAGAAATCCTCAAGGTAAGCCTAAACTTACCACCTGTTTCATTTCGCATTCTCCTTTTACAATCCTGGGTTACTAGAAGCAACAGGGGTAAAGTAGCTTGCTCAAGAACACAGCCTATGGCTGTTGTTGGATTCTGTTGGATTCAGTCGACCTTCAACTTTGCTGTTGGAGTTTGTGAGATTCAGCATGCTCAACATTTTGGCATTGTTAGATTCTGTTGGCATTAACAGGATTCTAGCTGTTATTGCCGGATTTTGAAGGACTAAGGCAGCAGATTTCAATCGTTGCTATTTTTTTTGTTTTTTTAGGATTCTGTGGGTTTCAACTGTTTGCTTTTCTTAGATTTTGTTGGATTAATTGGCTCCACACTGGCACTAGTACTTAGATTTTGAAAAGTACCCAAAAGTTACAGTGATGGTTTCCAGTTTTCAAAACTAAGGGGGCTTAGTCTGAAGTCCAAGTATAATTGCGGTTGTTAGATTTTGATTGATTATGTTGGTTTGTGATTTCAGGAGAGTTTTTCCATCCGTGAGTTCTGCCAAAAGTCGCTGCTCAAGCCGCTCTTCATCTCCATCATGCTGATGATTTTCCAGCAGTGCAGTGGCATCAACGCCGTCATGTTCAACGCCAAGGACATCATGACGTCGGCCGTTCAGGGTATCTCTCCCGACGCGGCTACGATCATCCTGGCAGCGGTCCAAGTCGGTGCGACGTTCGTGAGTGTCATTCTCATGGACGTAGCTGGCAGGAAAATTCTACTCGTCCTAGCAGGTATTTAGCTCTCCCGAATCGGGTTTGATTTGTGATTTGACTCGTGTTGGATTGTGATTTGATTTGTGATTGACTGACGATTTAACTTACGATCAAAATGCGAGGGACTTGTGATAGACTTGTGCTTGACCTGTAATTCACTTGTGATGGATTTGAGGTTGACTTCCGATTGACTTAAAGATTTGGATTGTGGTGTATTGACTTTTGATTGACCAATGACCTGTCTTGCAGTTTTGTTTACTATTAACATTTGGTTTAAATTAAGATGGACTTTGGACTTGACTTGTGATGGACTGACAATCTGGCTTATGATGTTCTTGTCATTTGACTTGTGATCGACATGCGATGGACTTATGATGTGACTGTGATTGACTTGTGATAGACTTTTGATTTTCATATGATTTCCTTATGATTTACTTGTGATTGACTAATGATTGACTTGTGTTTGTCTTGTGATTAACTTGTGATTGACTTGTGATTGGCTTGTGATTAACTTGTGATTAACTTGTGATTGACTTGTGATTGGCTTGTGATTTACTTGTGATTGACTTGTGATTGACTTATGATTTCCTTGAGAGTTCATAATGATTTACTTGTGATTGACTTAGGATTGACTTGTGATTGTCTTGTGCTTGACTTGGGATGACTTGTGATGGCATTGTGACCTATCTGTGTTTTATCCCAGGTGCTCTAATGGCCATCAGTTCCGGCACCTTCGGCCTCTACTACCAACTCACAGGCAACGAGAACATCACAACGACCGTTGCGTCAGCCTTCGACTTCTTAGGTAACGCCACAGTCTCACCGTCCCCTGCCACCGGCACAGACCTTACCTGGCTGTCCCTGGTCAGCATCATCATCTACATCATCGGATTCTCCATCGGTTGGGGACCCATCCCCTGGCTGATCATGTCGGAGATTTTCCCGACGAAAGCTCGGGGGGCAGCAAGCGCCATCGCCGCAGCCACCAACTGGCTGTTTGCGTTTATCGTCACTAAGACCTTTACGCAGCTTGAGGTAAGCTGTTATGTTTGTTCTTCTTTTTGTCTCTGAAACTAATCCTTAAAGATTCTCAAATATCAACCAGAGGTGCTTTTTTAAGGAGTTTTCCGGGGGGATACGCCAGCCACTGTAATTGAATTTATATATGGGGCGCTACAGCCTTGCTATTCGAAGAAAGTTGAAAGTGTTTTGCTTTGTTGCTTAAAATATTGCTGAGCCATTCTTTTGAATCCGACGGAAGCAAGTCAGATGCAATAATTTCATGCCGGTCATCTTAGCTGGTAACCCGTTCTGTTTCCTGTTTTCATTGTCTCCTATCACCCTCTCCAATCCCCCACCCCTCCACCCCACCCCTCCACCCCCTCCCCCACCATCCCCTCACAGGACGGACTGACCAGGCAAGGCACATTCTGGCTCTATGCCGGTGTCTGCGTCGTCAGTGTCATCTTCGTTTTATTCCTCGTTCCTGAGACGAAAGGCAAGACGCTTGAGGAGATAGAAGCAGGCTTCACTGGCCAAACCGTGCATAGTAATGTGCATCCCACTTCTGACCCCGACAGGGATGGAGTCAATGACTAACGTATCACCATCTGCATATTTGGTCTCCTTGTGCTATTTTCGAATTCATCCCCAAAATAGCTTTCTCTTTTAACCAGTCCACGCAGGGAATATTTTGACAAGAACGAAACGAGGCGCAGGATTGCTTTTCACTTGATCTAAAGCCAGTCGGGTTTAAGCCATCACCCTCGGGCAGCACACTCATATTTCCGTCCTCGCTCGCTGCCAGCGGGTCGCTGTCAGATATTTCCGGCCTCACTCCCTGCGTGTTTATCTTTCATACACGGCCTCCGGCGCGAACTGGTTCAAGTTGCTATTTTTCTAGTAGTACAAGAGATATCACTTTTGAAAGTACAAAAATGGGCAAGGAAAAATTTGTTTGAAAATTTGGATTTTAGGAGGCTCAGTAGGTTTCCTGTAAAAGGAAAGCACACAAATTCAAAATTCAATGGGGAAAAACTTAACTTTGTTTTAGAGCACAGGGAGAGCAACGTAAAAAAAAAAACGATGGAAACTTGCCTCTATATCATGTAGTTTCTAATTTTAGAAAACTGACAAGTATACACAGGTACGATGCATGTGCCAAGTTTCAAGTCTTGAATCCTTCAGCGAAACATAAATTCAAGGAAATTTTGGCTATAATGCATTGACACATCACTTAATTGATATTTTGTTTGGGGGTGATTGGAAATTTGTTGCCAAGATTTTTTTTTTTTTTTTTTTTTATCCCGGGGATAACATTTTATTGCTCTGCAATCAGCTCTCATCCATTGACAAATAAATACAGTACTGGCTAAGGATACTGATCTAATAAATGACAGCTTAAAGGGAAAATACAACATTTGCAAACATCAAAAAATAAAACTACCAAGTTTTTACGAAATACACAACAGGATGTTGGTAAATGACAGTCTAAAGCATCCTGTAAAATTATGGCACCTGGTGTGAAGTCATTTTCAAGAAAATGGTATTTTTGTATATATTTCCAACGGTGGTCGGCCGACCACCGTTGGAAAAACCTAACTATTTTTCAACTACTGCTCCAAATTTACAATTTTTTTTCAGTCCAAATTTTGTTTGCTAATGGTTACATGTTCATGAATGGGCGCAGGCTAGCTAGACTGGTTCCCTTACCTTCAATTTTTCGGACATCTATAAATTGATCCATTTTATCTTTAGTGGAGTCAGGGGGAACCAGACAACTTAAACATTTTAGTTTTTCTTGGTTTTTCAAGCATTTTCGAACACAAAACTTCAATCATGTCAGCTAAACAATATTTGATCTATTATACTAACCCCTCAGATAAGTTCATTTCTGAAAATTACAACAAAAGCCAATGATGTACATTCCCTTTAAACGAAAAGGATCACTCTTGACACAATGTAGAATAATTTGCCCATTTTGAACAAAATTTCTGGACAACTCCAAATTGAGAAAAATCCTACCAATGTTCTGTAAAAACTTTTGAAAAGATCATTTTTGATGAGAGATTGCAATTACTTGTTTCAAAGCCAAAATTGTATAATTTAAGTGTACTGCCGCATGTTAATAGCTGTAATTGATGACGGTATTGATGACTTAATCAAAATTATTTTGTGCCTGATGGAGAAAATGTGTAGGATTCTGTAAAAGTTAAGTATTTTAAAAGTTAAGTATGTTAATATTTTAAAATAGCTTAGTATAATCCATAGCGATTTAGTCAGTGTAGTGTAGAATATGTAGTACCAAGGGCGGATCCAGGGGGGCCAAAGGGGGCCATGGCCCCCCCCCCCCCCAAAAAAAACGAAACCAATTGGTTTTTTTTTTATGTGACGTCGCAATAAAGGCAGGCAATGAGTACACCACCATCTTTTCCTCAAAAAACATTGGTTAAAATGGTCAGAAATTGCCTCAGATCGCACCACAGAGCATCGAGAATCCAAAAAAAATTTGGGGCCCGTAAGCGGGCCCCAAACCCCACGCCGTAATTTTTTGACCCACTTTTTGGGAGACACACCTTTTTTTTTTTGGCCCCCCCAAAAAAAAAATTGTGTTCTGGATCTGCCCTTGTGTAGTACATGTCTTTAAATTAATGTATGTGCCATGAATAATTCATGTACGCTTGTGTCAGTAATAGATATCTAGTAAAACTAATAACGGATAGAAAATATTAGGCATTCTTTTTGGGAAACAGAGTTCAGATTTGGAATCATTGAATTACTGCAAATTCTGTTGAAGAAAAAGATGTTATTTTTTTATCTCTTTTGTGTTCAGGCTGTTCAACACTTATTAATTGGATAAAAATTGAAATTGAAAAATTTCTAATGACATGTTTGACAATAAAAGCTCTACATCTTTTGTGAACTCTGTCAGCTTTATAGTAACCAAATTTGCTTGCCTTAGAGAAAATGTCATGTATGATATACCTAACATATTGTGAAACGAACTAATCAAAAAACAAAGATATATATTTTGATTAGAATCATACTTTCAAAAATAGTCTGCTGTATATATTTTAAGATGCTTGTTTTGTAGCTTAATTTGAAAAGAATTCAAAAATGTATCGAAAAAAAACTGAATGTTTGCTCAAGAATAATTTCCTAACTTCGAAGGCAAAAGCTTGAAACTGTAAAATCCGTTTATTTTTCTATGCTAAAAATGTGACTTATTTTCGGGGTTTGTTTTCAGCAAAAACTGAACCATTATTGGTTGTATGTGTCTTATCACATGAATGTGTAACATTATGTGGTGTATGTTTTGTGATTTATTGCATGCGTATAAACTGGAAGTCTAATGCTTTGTCTTGGAAAAAAGTGTGACAAATCTAATCATAAAATGATGTAAAACTACATGTAGATTGATATTAAATGTTTTGAACTGATATCAGAAAAAATGTTTGCCAATTGTAGTCCGTTGTACTATTCTGTTACATTGTTGTTAGTATTTTTCTCTTTTCTTACATTTATAGATGAATTTAAAGGGCCCATGCAATGTAATTTCTTTTAAATGCAATCCTTGAAAATGCACCTTTGTGTCCCATTTAACTTATTTTTCAATTTTCATTTTGCCATTTTCAGGGGTATTTGGGTGCCCGCTTTTAGGGTTTTATGCTCATGCAAATGTCCAGATTCATGACAAAAGTGTGATGTCATTTCAGGCAGAAAGATCAATGTTACAGCTGTTTCAGCACCAAAAGTTGCAAAAATTTTGGATATCCGAGTCGCTGTCGTAAATTTTCTTTTCTTTGGCCACGCAACGTTGTGTGGCCAAAGACAATAAGGCAAAATGTTCTCACAAATTTCAATAAGCAAACTTTTGGGTTCACAATTTGAACAGAAAACCCCTAAACTGAAGTGTCTCCTGAAATGACATCACAGCAACAGCGCCCTCAGTTGCCCATGAAAGCATGGACAATTTTAAATGTTTAAAGAAGTGCACTTTTTAATAAAATTAACCAAAAAAGAGATGTCAAATACTTGTTTTACGTTTTAAAGAGGAATAAGGTTGCACAAAATATATTCCTCAGAAAAATTAACTTCATGCAACCTTTAAACCAAAACAGCTCAAAATTTGGGTTGTTTTTTACAAGTAATTTGATCATTTCTGCGAAGGACTTTTTTTTTTTGCAAACCAATTAATCTAATTACTAGCACGAGGTCATGCGCCTCAGTGGGTGACTAGACTTGGTGCAAGACGTTCTTTGCGGGGTTCCGGTTCTTGCTTGGCGTGTTTGTTAAGGGCGCCCACTTCGGTGAATCGCTGCAGTACAATACAGTAACCGAAACCATATTATGCCGAAACCAAGACTATGTACGTGTGCTGCGCTTTAACGTCAACGTGTCGTTTTTACAACTGAATAATTTTAGTAAAACAGTAAGGATGTTTTCAAGTTGTTTGTTCATTGTATGACCTTGATGTTATCGACAGTACACGCCAACAACACTTGTAATGTTATTTTGTTAACGATACGACCTGAGTGCCTGCAAGGCTGCATTTTTAAGGTAAATGCAGACATGCTCATGACTGTTTTATTGTATTTTTGCAGTGCCACAATCATTGTGTGCAATCGTGTAGTGCACAAATTGACCTCGCTGAGGTCAAATCTAACACGGCTGTGTACACATTCCATTGGCGGCGTATAGCATGCAATCACAAGTGTGCCCGTGTGCCCCATGTATGTCGGAGATTGTCACTTAAATCATGCTTAAATGTTTGCCTGAGGGGTGGGGATTTGGAAAGATTTCCATATCTCATTATCTGGCCATCATTTGTCACCCTGTGCACAATCCGACTGTGAGTATGAGACGTGGTCTGAAAATTTCTACGAAGTGGCTATCGTTACGGCAGCCATTGTTTAGCGCCCTCTACGATACTTTTTTGATACGCACGCAGGTATATAATTATTTGTTTCCCTAAGTTTTAGCGAGCAGTGCGACAGCTCAGTTGATATTAGAGGGTAGGATTTTGCACCGCGAGGTTGCGGGTTCGCATCTCAGTTTTGCACTCGAATTTTTTCCTTTTCTAAATTCTAACCTGAGGCTTTGGAGGATTTTTTTTAAAAGGGAAATAAAGTCCGAATTTCATAACGTTCAAATTCACTTTTTTCCTTCTAATTTTATATTTTCTTCTCATGTTTTTATAAAAGTTGCAGTCTACCGTAACGATAGAAAATGGGAAATGCGTTACGGCTGCCGTAACGATAGCCACTGCGAAATTTCTAAGTGTATTCTCAGTAAAATAAAAATTACAAAATAGCCTACTTCAATATTTTTACCCTGCTAAATTTGGCTCTTTATGATTATTATCACTTTCTGATGGCTGATAGGTCACTAAAGGGAAAAATAAGTGATGGCCAGATATGGGAATCTTTCCGGGGATTAGGGTATGTCTCTTTACTTCAAAAAGTAGCAATCCCCACGTCTTGGGAGGGGTGAGGGAAACAGCTAGGCACATTCACCTTAACAAATAATGACAATGTAACGACTCACATAGTATATCATTTGTTCGTATTTCAACTGTAACTTTAGGAATGCAGGTGCGTACTCATGCGTGTTAAAGAGGAGCAAAGACTTGTCGACAGTGGGGGCGCTCTGGAAGCTCTCTATAATGAGGAGGAAGCTGAAACAACAGTTTGAGACGAAGACAGTACAACTACAAGTTACTATGAAAATCCACAGAACTATATTGAAAATTGCAAATCTGTCGTCAAACTAATTTGATTGTCGTATGCTTAATGCTCTTATTTTCAGGGTGTGTGACTGCAAAAATCCTTCGCCGTTCAGGAACTTGAGGAAGCAATGCGAGATGAGAGTTTCCATGATTTGAGATTTTGAGTACAGAAATTTCCTCTAGGCCTACCGGTACCCAGCAGTGGGTATTGGGTTTGCTTGCTGTGCTGCCACTGGGTCACATAAGCACGTTAAGGAATCCAACTGCAAGTCGATGAAAACCAAAAACGTGCAGTCGGATGACGCAGAGCAGAGGGTGGGACTGCTGGTCACCAGTGAAGACATGAAGCAGGCAACCGGTGACTTAAGGTGCGATTTGAACTTGAAAGCTGTTTAGGATTTGGATCGATTAATTTTCATTAATGTGACAATTAAGCCTCGGCTTTAAATGTGACCACAAAAAAAGGTATTAAGTCGCGCTGAGCATTATTGTGTAATGAATGGCCCACTCAACATTGAGAGGATGAAAATTTCGTCAAAATGTGATTTTCATTTTTTGTCATGAATGACATTTTTAATACCTACAGTTTCAGGTTTCACTCACAGAAATGTTGATTTTGATGAACAAAGTGGGAAAAAACAACCATTTTGTGTGCATCGTTCTGTTGTTCTACAACAAAGCCAGCTGTTTCAAAGCCTGTTTTCTCAGTTGTGTAATTTGAACTCAAAGGAAGTAATTAATATGCAAATACATCATATCTCCAGAACAGGAGGGGCTATGGAGCTCTATTATATACCAAATTAAAGCTTATGTTGTGGGCTTTCTAAAAATCTAAAAAGTGGCCCGTAACTACACAAAGGCCAAAAACAGTAACGGGTGTGGTAGAACTCCTTTTTTATTTTAAATTTTAGTTCGAAACGGTCCCAATATGTTTTTCATTCATTTCTTTTTTTCGTTTTTGTTTGTCTTGTTTCGCTTAGGCCACGGGACAATAACGTGAAGAATGGCAAGCTGTTTGTGTGTTGCGCCTGTGCCCTTATGGCAGCGTTCAGCATGGGCTTGGCGATTGGTTACTCTTCCCCCGCGGATCCAGATCTGCAAAGCAAGGGGATACTATCAAGGGATCAAGTCTCCTGGTTTGCGGTAAACAAAAACAAAAATTGTCTCTTTCTAGTTTTCTTAACGTATCCTAACCCTGCCAGATGCAACACAGTGCATCAGGTGTCAAATGGCCTTGCTACACTGAGCCATCAACACCGAGGCATAAACGACCAATTTGAAACGAGTCCCATTCACTAATTCCACAGTTGTACAGTTCCAAAATTATCCATAAAAACTCAGGACTATATATTTTTTCATATAATTACGCTTCATCGCTTAATAGCCGCAGCTGTTACATCTAAAATATTCTTGTTTGTGCATCGTATTATCAATTAAGTGAACCGTACACGTAATAGGAATGCCATGTGTTTTACCAATGCATATCACGTCAGACATAAAATAAAAAATGAAATTGAATGAACATGTCATCCAGTGGCATTATGGAAACAAAGCCAGACATAGCAGCTACTTAGTGCTGACTTTTGGAATATGCAGTTTATTTGATGACCAAAAAAATAAAATATTAAAATGAAACAGAAGTTGCTTAGCATCCCACCGTATGATAAGTACATAAATATTTATATTTGTAGTTAGTTTTAATAAGTTATTTATAAATTATAGTTAGTTATAATTTATTAATAGTTATATTCCTTTTTCAAAGGATTTTTTTTTGGCCAGCGGTGAATTGCTTTTTATCAGGAAAGTTGCAATTTTTGTAAATTTCCATCTCTTGGAAGTGAAAACACTTCCAAACACAAATTCAGAAGGGATGCTAGGTGATAAATGTTTAAATTGACTTTAAAAGATATAGAAATACTATCGTTTATCCTGAAAGATTTTCTTCCCACGTTATTTGTTTTCTTTTTTTTGCTATCACAATTTTCGTCACGTAGGCTCTTGTTACAATCGGCGCCATGATTGGCGGGCTCATTGCCGGTTTTCTCGTGGGACTGGTCGGGCGTAAGCTGACCCTCATGACGTGCGCCCTGCCGTTCGTCGCAGGCTGGGTTCTGCTGGCGACCTGCACGGCTGTCTGGTTGCTGTACATCGGACGGATACTGACCGGTATAGGGGCCGGAATGACGACACTGGTCACTCCGGTAAGTAGCCGTGCTGTGATCGAGTCCATCGCAAGTCCATCATAATAAAATCATGAATCAGTTCGCGAGCTTAGTCTAGTCAAAAGTAACAAGTGGATGAACAATCAATCAGAAAGGAATGCCTTTGTCACATTTCAGTTACCTGTGATTAGCTTGTGATGGGCTTTTGATGAACTTGTGATGGACTTGTGATGGACTTGTGATGGGCTTGTGATGGACTTGTGAGGGACTTGTGATGGACTTGTGATGGACTTGTGATGAACTTGTGATGGACTTGTGATGGACTTGTGATGGGCTTGTGATGGACTTGTGATGGGCTTGTGATGGACTTGTGAGGGACTTGTGATGGACTTGTGATGGGCTTGTGATTTCCCAATGGTTGCCATTTATTAAAATGTTATTGCTCCAAATTGTTACAAACATCGAACTTAGGCATCATCTCATTAAAAACTTCTTTCTATCGAGTATTAGTTGATGGTTTCTGAAAAAAATTTCTGAGAATCCTTCGTGATGAAACTTTTAGCATTGTTTGCAAACTTCATTGTTTGAAGATTCCGGAGAAGTTGCGTAGAATTCTGAGACAATGCCTACTCCCGTTGAACAATGCCACAGTTGTATCCTGCTGCAGTTGGTGACCACAGACTCTGTGGCAGTTTGGCCTGGAGACTTTTGACCTGTTGGATCCTGCAACACCGGGCGGGGGATGTCATTCTGACAAGTGTTACATGTAGCTGCGTTTAGCAGGGTTTCTAGTTAAAATACCCTATGGGGTTAGGGTTAATTTGGCGCGACTGTGGAAACGCCAGTTCTGAAACCGAGTCTCAGATTGTTTGGAATGTGTCTGTGTGTCTTGTTGCAGGTGTACATCGCTGAGATGTCCAGTCCTCAACTCCGAGGTATGCTTGGTGCTAGCTTTCAGCTGATGATCACCCTCGGCATTCTGGTTGCCTACGCTCTCGGTAAGAAACGAAACTAGGCTTGACTGAAGTTTGAGCTGGACCTGAAAGTATGAGAGCAGTTTAGGTAGTCGAAGACATACAAAGTGAGTCAGTCAGTTGGTGACTGAGTAAGACTGTGAGTCAGTGACTCAGTCAGCCGGGGAGTCGGTCGGGGGAGTCAGTCAATCTGGGAGTCAGTCAGTCATTCTTTCAGTCAGTCAAGCAGTCAGTGACTCAGGCTGTCACATGTGAGCTGGGCAGTGCTCTCATATAGGATTACCCCATAACACCAACAAGCTTGGCTAATGCAACATATGCGTGCTTCAGCAGCATGAAAAGACTTCCATTGAATAGCCATGCTGAATCAATTCAATAGAATTTCGTGCACTCTGGGAAAATGTTGACTATACTTACCTCGTCTTGTCAATTTTAATTTTTTTGACTAGGCATCCCCTTTAACCACGTCTGGTTGGCCATCGTTGGAGCGGGCTTTGCTGCTGCCCTCGTGGTCACCATGTGCTTCATGCCGGACACGCCGCGATTCTACTTGAGCCAGCACCAGCGAGAGAGGGCGCTGGTTGTGCTGGGCTGGCTGCGAGGACCCAACGCGGACGTCGGTGTGGAATGTAGAGAAATAGAGGACGCGTTAGACAATTCCAATGTAAGGCTATAGTTGGCTCCACACTGACTTGTAGTGCTTAGATTCTGAAAATTACAAAGTGACAATGACATGAGTTTCCAGTTTTCAAAAGTAAAGGGGCATTGTCTGATGTCACAGGAGGCTTGGGTAATTTTGATTGATTTTGTTGGTTTGTGATTTCAGGAGAGTTTTTCCATCCGTGAGTTCTGCCAAGTATCGCTGCTCAAGCCGCTCTTCATCTCCATCATGCTGATGATTTTCCAGCAGTGCAGTGGCATCAACGCCGTCATGTTCAACGCCAAGGACATCATGACGTCGGCCGTTCAGGGTATCTCTCCCGACGCGGCTACGATCGTCCTGGCAGCGGTCCAAGTCGGCGCGACGTTTGTGAGTGTCATACTCATGGACGTGACTGGCAGGAAAATTCTACTCATCCTGGGAGGTATGTTGCTTTCTCAAATTGGTTTTTGACTTTTGCTTGATTTGGGATTGACTTATGGTGGACTTATGATTTGACATTACACTTGTGATTGCCTTGTTGCTTTTTACTTCTGATCGATTATGACTTGACTTGGGATTGGCAGATAATTTGACTTGTGATAGAATTGTGATTAACATGCGATATTGTTGTGATATGATTTAATTTGTAATAGAATTGTGATTGACTTGTGATGAACTTTGATTGACTTATGATATAGTGACTTGAGTCACTTCCTTATAAGGCCAAACGAAAAAAGTCTCCGGTTTGTGGTATGGAGCTTGCCCAAAAAGTGGTGCGGCAACGCGGCTTTTTTTTTTTTTTACCTGACTTTTTTGCTTCAAATGTCGGCTGATGACTGCAAATGGTGCCCGACTAAACTTAGTGCAAATATATGGGAGTCCAGAGAGGCCACATAAAGCTTATTCTCGATCATAACCCCATCTAAAAACACGTTAAAACTGTGCAGCAGCAGGATTCCAGTCAAACCAGTGAGTTTGGCGGTTTTGAGACATGATCTTTCATTGAAAAAAAACCTTTTTCATTTTGCCGACGCGCATGGCTACGGCGACGCGCGCGCATACCAGAAACCGGAGACTTTTTTTTTTTGGCCTAATGACTCGACGCGGCTTGAGTCACAACATTCAGTGTCTCGTTACAACTCTGCAATTTGACTTAGGATTACTTCTGATAGACTTGTGATGGACTTGTGACCTATCTGCATGTTATCCCAGGTGCTCTAATGGCGATCAGTTCTGGCACCTTTGGCCTCTACTACCAACTCACAGGCAATCAGAACATCACAACAACTGTCGTGCCAGCCTGCGATTTCCTCGGTAGCGCCACAGTTTGTCCTTCCCCTGCCGACCACCCAGACCTAACCTGGTTGTCCCTAGTCAGCATCATCATCTACATCATCGGATTCTCCATCGGCTGGGGACCCATCCCCTGGCTGATCATGTCGGAGATTTTCCCGACGAAAGCTCGGGGCGCGGCAAGCGCCATCGCCACAGTCACCAACTCGATGTTTGCGTTTCTCGTCACCAAGACTTTTACACAACTTGAGGTAAGCTTTTATGTTTGTTCTTCTTTTTGACTCTCAATCTTATCCTGCAAGATTCTCAAAAATCAACCAGTGTTTTTTTTTTTACTTTTTTATTCAGCCAATCTGTACGCGATGTTATACATTTTAGACTATATTGCTAACCAAAGTAAACAAGTGGAAAGTGTATTGATTTGTTGTTATTTTTTATGGGGGAGGGGGATTTTTATTTTAAAAAGTAATAAAAAGCTGACTAATGTAAAATGTAAGATTCATTGCACACTTTCACAGAATGCTTAGCTGGTATCCAGTTCTGCTTCTTGTTTGATTTTGTCTCTTATCACCCTCTCCCCGCCCCCCTCCCACCTTTCATCCCCTCCCACCTTCCCCTCACAGGACGCACTGACCAGGCAAGGCACATTCTGGCTCTATGCTGGTGTCTGCGTCGTCAGTGTCATCTTCGTTTTATTCCTCGTTCCTGAGACGAAAGGCAAGACGCTTGAGGAGATAGAAGCAGGCTTCACCGGCCAAAACCTGCATAGTAATGTGCATCCCACTTCTGACCCCGATAAGGATGGAGTCAATGACTAATGTTTGACCATCTGCTTAACGCATTGTGAGTTTAGAAAAAAAAAGACCTTGTTGCTTAGACTAAAGGCAAGACACTTTGGGAGAAAGCAGGGGTAGAAGTCTGTAAACATAAAGTATCAGGTGAATATTTTAAGTTAGCTTAGTATGATCCGTATTAAGATTTAGTATTTAAATTTCTGTGCCATTACAAGGTTATGGTTTTATTCTGTTTGAGGCCGTTCAACACTGAGTGAAGAGACTTTGAGGTGGATTTTTCTTGGGAACATATTTTTGCAACTTTCTACTCCTTTTAAAATTCATGAAAACCATTTGACATCCCTTTTTGGATAATGTTATTGAAAAGTGCACTTCTTTCAACTTTATTTTAAGTCCATGTTTTTCCTAACAACTGAGGGTGTTGTTGCTATGATGTCATTTCAGGAAGACACTGTCCAGTTTATGGGTTTTCCGTTCAAATTGTGAACCAAAAATTTTGCTCAATGAAAATTCTGGCAACTTCAGGGACTGAAGTGGCTAAAACATTGAGGTTTCTGCCTGAAATGATATCGCACTTTTGCTCATGAGCTTGTAAATTTGCATTAGCGTAAAAACCAAAAAGGCACCAAAATACCCTTCAAAATGGCAAAACGAAATTTGAAAATAAGGTTAATTTGGATAAATAGAAACATTTTCAAGGATTGCATAAAAAATACATTGCATGGGCCCTTTAATTGAAAAAGAAAACTGAAAAGTTAAAATATTTCTAAAGATTTTGAAGTTCAAAGCTCAATATTTTTGTGAGCTTTTGTTTTGTAACTAAATTTGCTTGCCTTCAAAAAACTGAAATCAAAATATTTGTAAATAAAAATCAAACTTTCAAAATACTCTGTTTTATTCATTTATATTTTAAGATACTGGGTTTGGGGCTTAATTTGAAGAGTTCAAAATCACCTCGAAAAAACGAAGGTTTGCTCAGGAATTGTTTTTCTAGATGTCGAAGGTAACAGCTTGAAACTGTAAAATCCTATTATTTTTCTACGCAACAAAAAATATTATTTTCGGTGTTTGTTTTTGCTGTAAGCAAAATACGATCCATTGATGTGTCTTATTACATAAATGTGTAACATTATGTGACTTTGTGTAATAGCAAAAGCGGAAGTCCTCAGACCATATTTTTGTCCAAAAATAAAGGTTACAAATCTAATCATAAAAGATGTAAAAAGACATGTGGATTGATGTATTAAATGTTCTCAGCTCGATACCAGAACAATTATTTGCCAATTGTATTCCATTGTATTTATTCTGTTACATTTTAAGTATTTTTCTCATTTCTGAATTTAAACCAAATAGCTCAAAATGTTTCATTTTTTTTCTTTGTACACTATCACAGTCAAACTACTTTTTGAACTAAAAGTGCATGATATCGCTATAGATTTTGAAGATTTTAACGTTTGTATTATTTGAGCGAAAATGTACTATTTATATTGTGCGCATGTGTCACAATTTATTGAAAGTAGGGGCGTGGCTACGCATTCCACATGTGTCAAAGGTCAACTTATCCACCGAATCGATTCCTAAATCCCTAAACAAAAACCCACAAAATACAGTGTTTTACTAAAGCAAAAATGGTGGCCCATATGTTTTTAACGACACTTTGGGTTTTTGCCAGAAAAAATGCGCGCATGTCCAAACAGCTGTCGTTTACGTGGCATATACATATCGTACGAGTATTTCCATATTGAATAATGAAATGTATCGTGTATCAAGTATTTCATTGTTGGATATGCATATCGTGGAACCATCCGTGCGTATCCACATCTGAACATATTAATCATAATATCTGCGAAGGTTTTTTTTGCAAACCAATTGTTATCTATTAAATACGAGGTCACGTGTGTAGTGGGGTGACTTGAATTTAGACCGTACGTGACAAACACGTCGTTTTACTGCCATTTTTACAACTACATGTATTATGTTTTGTACACGCGCACGTAGACTTCGGATGTGTTAACCAACTTGACAGTGCACGCAGAGCACTCGATATTATGTTCGAGATATGAAGTGATCGTGAGTGCCTGCACATAATAGGTAATGTAGCATGACATTGTATTGATCATGAGTTCGAGAGTATACAGTGTAATACAACGTTAGTACACAATGTATACACATGGAGTACTACAATGTAATTATACGCGTATACAATGTAATTAACCACGCCTAGCGTTGGAGAACTACTGTGCATTCTCGCGTGGCTTTTAATTCTGTGGTGTAGGCCCCTATTGTAATAATTATCTGCCCGTAGATTTCAGCTAAAGATAACCATATATTTCTGTTAATCGTGTCTGGCTCTAGTAAAGTTCGTGCTTTTTCGAGGTTAAGGTGTTTTTTTTTAAGAAATAAAAGCAATCGCGTGCAGAGGAATATGTTGCAGAAAAATAGGTTTTCGTCAGCGACGTGTGGATATACGATTGAGATATTATTGAGGTGAGCTTGAAAATGAAAGGTGGAATATCTTGTGAACTAGTGCTGCAGTGTTTTGAAAATATTAACCGTACGGGCGGGGTTTAATTCCCGTAATTTAGTAGCACGGATAGTACGGTGTTGCAACGTACAGTAATATTATATAATTTAAAATTCAGGATGCTGAATAAATTTGGCAAGGGAGTTCGATTTGGTGGAGAATTTCGTTGAGAGCTTGCATAGTTTTGATACTTCATTTTGTGACAATGAAAGTACAAATTAACCAATGCGTATCACAGAGCGTGTGCACAGTGAGGGCGCTCGGTGCAAGCTCTCTATTAATAGCAAAAATAGACGCAGAGACGAAACACCTGTGAGACAATTAAAGGTGTTAGAAGACACAATTTACTTTGGAAATCCACAACTATAGACAATTGATAATCTGTCATCAGACATAGACTTAATTAGATCATCATATGCTTTGTGTTCTCATTTCTGGGGGCGTGGCCATGAGAATTCTTCCGTTGTGTCATAATTCAGGAAACAATGCGAGATAAGAGTTTCCACGAGTACGGGAAATTACACATCATTCTAGGCCACCCCGTGGATGTGTACTGCACGGGGTAACATTAAAAGCACGTCAGAGATATTTTGACAACAAGGAACCTTGCACGTAATTTGCCGGCCTTTTGTGTGTACGTGTCATCATGCAATCGCATTTTATGATGATGCCCTTAAACAGTTCAACTTTGGTCTTTTCTGAGTCATTTCGTTCAGTGGCAGCAACATCAACGGATCACGTTGTGCATTGACCGTTTTGAAATCCTTTATCTAGTCTAGATAGTGGGCTGAAGTTTAATAACGCAAGTGAACTTTTGTGTATTTTCATAGGAAGCCGTATTTCTGAGTTGTCTGCGTTACAGCTTTGTGGGCGGGGATTGCCAAGTTTCGATCATTGTCATCGTGCATCTGCATGACGATTATAGCCAGGTAAGATTGAAACATGCTGAGCCAATTCCAAGCCATTTTGTAAATGACTCAATGGGGAATTGGGGGATTGGGAAATTTCATCCTGCGGGCGAATTTGTAAAACGCGAGTACATACGGCCCGGTTCAGTGTTGCTTGTATAATACAACTAGACCAGTTTAACGCCACAAAGAGTGCTTAGGCCAAAAAAAAAATAGTTAGTGCTGCCGATAACATGGCATTCGAAAATTAGGTAGGTAGGTAGGGAATTTTTTTTTTTGCCAATTTTTTTTGTGTACGATCATATGGAGGCGTCTGCATGTAGTCAAGGGAAAAGGTATAAATTTAAAGTGATGGTTTTGGGTGGTTTTTTCCCTCATTTTTCCAATAAAAAAGTTAGGGTAGGGGCTGTCAAAATAGGGTAGGTAGGGAAACCGGAAGCAGAACTATTATTGTTTTTTGGCCTTAAGTCTTGAAAACTACTCTTGAGTTTGTTGGCGTTATCATTAATTTTTGTACATGAGGTCGTGGCCTCACGGTCGGATCCTGACTTTAAAATTAAAAAAAAATATTATTTTATCACATAAATCTGGCTTAGGCCTAATGCCCTTTTCATGGGACTACTTTTTTTTTTTTACTTAAAGATGTTTTGACAAAATTGTTATTCTAAATTATTAGGCTCCCTCCCTTCAGAAAATTCTTATTACTTTCAATCATAAAAACATGCGGTTTTGAGTCATGAGTTAAAAGTTGCCAACTAATTGAATAATAAAAATTATTCATTACAAGTCAAACACGGAAATTATGGCAATGCCAATGCCACTGCCGAAATTGTGTAGACTTTTGGCTAAGCTGCGGCTTCCTTGCATTTTCATGTGACCTTTTCCATGCCATACACATGTTTTCTTTCTTTTCTTCAATATTTTCAAAGGAGAGCAAATATAGTTCGCTGTCCTCGCCCAAGGTTAAATATGTATTAGATGATAGTGTTTGGTCAGGAAATATTTGCTCCGGTCAATATTAACTCAGCCACGCGCGTTGAAAGCGCAACTCACTGAAATGTATTCCTCTTTTATGGGCTTTATATTTACTAAATTGCCTGTTCTCTTGACTGGTACACACCGCTTACTTCACGCTCAATTGTGTAAATTTGTAATATCTATATTTAACACGTTATAATGGCCCGAGTTCCATTTTGATATTAGGTAATGCATCACTATATTTTGACCTTTGTGGTTGCATATCGCTGTGGCATAATATATTATTCATAATCTCATGGCAGCAGTTTCCATTGTCTAAACGCATGGCCCCGGAACTAGGATATTAAAAGCCCATCTCTTCTATTGCCCTTGTGTATTACACTGTACAGTAATTTAATAAACAATATAAATTACTTTGGTTCATGCTCGTACTTGACCTTTGCATGCGGTGCGATGTTAAAAAAAAAAAAAAAAAAGGATAAGCATAGCATGACATCCATTTCAGATTATTGGTAAGACTTTCGGAATGTCGAGTGGAGTATTTTCTTTTTAAAGATTGTCGATGAAATTTATGCAGAGGTGGTATACGCTCAAGTTGCACGCGTTTCGAGGCGCGCGCGTTTCGCGAACCCCATTGGTCAAAGCAACAAAAGAGTGCGCGCGGTAAACAGCGGCGCTCGCGTGTGGCGTGACGCGCTGTACCTAGTGGTCGCGTGTTATTGTTGTACTATTTACTCTGAATGATTTGCATAGAGACAATGTGCGATTATGCTTATGATAATACGGTATTAGACTGTAAAAGCAAATAATATTGCTACGTCCTTCAACTGCCGTTTATCGATAAACAGTGTGCAATCGTGGGTACGGGTCAGTATAAAGGTCATGTAGGCTACCACGGCCCTAAACTTCGATCGCAATAATATTGCGGGGGAAAAGGGTTCAGAAAGGAACGGCTGAACGTCATTTCGAAGGATTGGGTCCATATTTGAAAGGTTATGAATAAATCTTTTCATCTCGCCTCGACAATGGATTGACCTGTGCTCTTGCTATCGGCGGTAGATTGAGAAAGGTACCTTACACAAAAATACAGATTGTAAAAAGAACTTTGTAATCCGGTCACAAAGGTTGAGCTGGAAATGTTGGTCGCCTATAGACTTTCTAGAAATCTCTCCCTACTGTCGCCATTTTCTCTGCCATCCCTTGGAGAGTTCTCAACTTAAAAAGTCCTAGCGGGACTTGTTACTCGAGTTACTCACACGCCGGGACGGCCGGCGGGACGTCGAGATTGTTGTAGTTATCTAGAAGGTATATATCGCGTTTGATTAGATATTCCTGGCCTTATTGTGGTCTTTTTTTCTTATTCTAAATCAGGGAAAGCCTCATATTATTGTTAACTGCAATGCTCTAACTTTCAGTCAGTATACAGACGTAACGTTTTTCGATTGTAAAAAAAGTTTTGATGTTTTACTTCAGGGTGCAAGACAATGGTAAAGTAAAATTCGTCGCGTTTTTTTTTTCATATTGGTGCACTAGAGTAGGTAGCACCGCCTGTTTTTTTTTAGTTTGAAAAAAGCAACAAACTGTTATAGGACCTCGGTCCAAATTTTCAGCAGGCACATGCTGGTCGTAAGATGTCGCAGACTTGGAGCTCGCAATCGTAATGGCAGACGCTTATTGCCTGCCACCCCTGTACCGATGCATCTCGACTTGGTATAGTCGAGATACTTGGATCGCAAGTCCACCTCATGTTAATCACAATTGCATTGATCCAAGTCATCTCAAGCTGTTCAAATAAACTGACAATTCCTTGGTTTTTGGTCATCTCCTGTTTTTGTGACTGGAATCGTGAATCCACTTGTGATTTACTTGTGATTACCAAGGCATACAGTTTTGACCAATATATCGCTGTCACCGAGGCATAGGCTCAGTGCAATCAGCGGCCAGATCCTTTGGTGTACACAGGTCACGTATTTGGCGATCTGGGCAGCACGATAAGTGCGTCATTGTTTGTTGTTCCCTATAATCACAGTTTGTAGTTTGGCCGTCTGGTATAGGTATCCCCATTTGTCCATACGGACCCTACATCGGCCATATCCAGTGTGCAATCGGTTCAGAGCTCGCCAAGTTGTCCAGCAATGGTTTGCGCATGGTGCTAGGGACGCATGTGGTTCCAGGCCCATTCGCAATTTACTTGTGATTGACTTGTTATGTGATGACTTGTGTTCTTGTTTCATCACGAGTACCCCGACTGCTTCTCGGTATCGTACGGGCAACAGAACTTGACCGATCACAGTGCTGTCTTTTATGTTATATTGTTTTACAGGTAGTGGCTTCATAACTGCAATCTTCTGACGGCATATCTCCAACATGGCCAGCATTGACTCCGCACCCCAGCCCGTTCGGATGTTCCTGTGGACCGTACCCCGCTCAGTCTCCACGGCCTTCGAACGATGCATGAGCGGTCTAGGCAACGTAGCCCTAGTCCACGAGCCCTACACCACGGCCTACTACTTTGGTCCCGATCGCAAGTTCCTCAACACCCCGTTCCTACCGGTCGAGCACGACTACTCCTACGCCAAAGTCAAGGCCATGATGGAAGCCGAGTTTTACGAGAAGGATTACGTCTTCGGCAAAGACCACGCCTACTCCTTGGACGAACGCTACGACTCGATACCAGATGGGTTCATCCATACGATTCTTATTCGAGACCCTGCCAGGGCGTTGGCCTCGTTTTATGATGTCTGCAACATGCCGATTTTGAGATACTACAGCATCTTGAAACATGTCCTACCAGAAGGCTACGCATTCAAGCAACTCTACGATCTCTACGAGCATCTAAAGAGCACCACGGACCGGGAGCCAGTGATCTTAGACTCCGACGATCTGCTCAGATACCCGGAGCAGATGATCCGCCGCTACTGCGAGGCGATTGGGGTTCCTTTTAACACCAGCATGCTGGATTGGGATCCACAGGTCAACGTGACTCAGTCCTGGGCTAGTAGTCTCAAGCTCATGCAGCATATCGGAGTTTACGAGAAGGCACTCAAGAGCACCAGTTTTAACGTTCGTCATCAGCCCAAGCAGGTTGACGTGCTCTCACTGCCTGCCGAGTACCAGCACGCTATCAAAGTCTCGCAGCCGTTCTACGATAAACTGTACGAGAAGAGACTAATTCCGGAAGACAGAGAGACAGAAGTCTAAGTTAATTACAGTAAGGGTGAAAAATAACAAATTGAGCTTGCACTGATTCCAAACTCCATGATATCTTTATCAAATTAAAGAACAGCTTGACTTGGAAAAGAGCAGCTCCCTACAAAAACTTGCAAAGTTTTAAAACATTATTGTCGTGGACAAGATTTTACTAAAAGCAACTTGGCTTTGTGACGTCCTAACAAGTTATTGAAGTGCCCCATAAAGCCTTAGAAAATTTTGCCTCCCGATAACCAGAACAGTCAGTTCAAAAACCTAAAATGTATTCCTTTCAAGGTTTCCAGGAAATCTTTCTGTAAAATAAACAATAAAAGTGCGATTGTATCAATTGTAAATTTAGGGTGAGTTAATTTCTGCAATGAAGATATTGTAATTGATCAGTGAATCGAAGAAAATAGCTTGACTAATTAACCTGAGTAAATAAATGACGGATAATTTATCAAGACATATTTATTATGTTGATTTACCAACAAAATTACTTATTTATTAAAATAATATTAGCAATTGGCAAAGATATTTAAAGCTGCTATATCGCAGGGTTGCCTGCCCCCCCCCCTTTTTTTTTTTTTAGGTATTTTGTGATATGTCCTTCATTTACCTGAAAAGAAAACACAATTTGATTTCTGTGACATGCCTACAATAGAAGGCCCTCGAAATCGACCATTTACAATCAGGTTACTATTTATTTATTGCTTTACTTTTGTACAAGTGCTTTCAATTGGCTTATTATAAGAACTGTGAGTTTTGTAATTGAAAAATACAACTGTATCTCACGGCAATCTGTATGACGACCATCAGTGGTCTGAAGACAAAACCGAGCTGCAAAAATTCTTGGTGTTAAATTGACATTATTTATTTAAAAAACAACCCATAGTTTTGGTAGTGCTTGAAGTATATGACGACTGTCAGTATTTTATATTGTTCATTACAAGAGACTGAATGATGAGCATGATATATTTCATTGTTAATGCCTCTATTATGTATACATGCATGTATATATGACGCACTTTTCTGGTTGCGTCCGTTAATCCGCGTTAAAACTTGCAGATATTAGTTTGCATATGTTGATTATTAATTCAAATACCGCGCGGTGGTTGTTTCATAAAATTATTTCTTTTCATCTTCAAATTGTGAATTATTATTTACATTATTTAAATTGATATTATACAATTCTACACTGAGCAAGTTGCATTATGTTTATTGTTGGCGCTCTCTTAGGTAAATATTCTGAAATAAAGGAAAAGCGCTGAACCATTCAGTTATTTTGCAGGAAAAACTCTGGAGAATTTGCTTTTTTTAATATCGATGAATTTAACCTTTGGTCAGAAACTTCGGGACGCATATAAATTCAACTGAAGACCCGGCGAAAATATTGATGCAGTGACGTTATGATATGGCTCCCTCTGTTGATCTTGCCAGAAAAAAAGGGAGGAAAAATCGCCTATGACTATGATGGGGCCAAAAGAATCAACATTAATTTAAAAAAAAACGCTTGCTTATGATCACTACATAACTGAACGCAATTAATTTCAGTTAAAGACGGAAAAATACCCCCTCCAACAAAAACAGAAAACGGCCCTTACTGTTCAAGTTGAATCATGATCAGACATGGTACAAGTCTAGGTTTCTTCTTCTTTTTTGCGATTTGAATGGCTCTTGAGGGCGCTGTGCAATTTGTGGGAAATGAGCTGAAAATGGCGCTGGAGTCGTGTCTAAAAATCACGAGAAATATCACGGGATTCCTCACGGGTAGCAGTCAGAAGGTAACTCCACCATATTATCACTCATATTAAGACAACTCTTTGATTATATTCGTTGATTGACATCCTGAAAAAAGGCATAAGTTACTTCAAGAACGCCTCTTTTTGATCGTCACTACCTACGATCGTACGACTACGAGCGAAAACCACACATTCGCTATGATTACTAATAGTAATACTGGCTGCATATGGCATGTATCAATTGTATGGGCGCGGGTGCATATCGAAACACATTGACTCTAGTTGCAAGTCATTAGTCAAGTTTTCGCACTGTATTTTCCCTTGAAACAAAAATCCTCCAAACCACACATTAGCAAAAGAAAAATGTTCCCTTCCCATCCTCTTCAGGCATGCAACTTTTCCTTGGATCAGCTGATTTCCCGGGTTTTTTTCCTTCCCATGGGCCATGTGTGCTTGCCATTCATGCCATTGAAAATAGAAAAAAAGCACTGTACAAAAAAAACTACAAAGTCTTAGAATTAATTGAATTTCGTCTTTTTGTGATTTCCAAGTTGCATGCCTGCCTCTTTGTCCTCTTTCTTAAGTTTCATCAGCTTTAATAAAAGAAAGCAAATAATTCAGCTGAACTTAAGAAAGCTATCTGTCATCGTGTTGATAATTCTTCATCAGTGTATCTGAACTTCTTTCGCTTCTTCTTTTTTTCTCTGTAGCACTCGCTGCTTCCAGTCAGGACATACTATGCCGACTGGAGAATGTTAAGAGACGTCAAGCGACGCCGATTGTTCAAAGAGTATGGAGTTGAGAGAAGGAGGATCAACTGCATACGGAAGAACACCATCCTGCCAGATGAACTCAAGGTAAGTTTGACTGAGAAATGATACCCCACCCCTCCCCCTTCCCCAAAAAGGTTGACTGCTAAATTATCAAATTATCTGTAGTCCTTGTTACATGTAGTCCCTCCCCCTACTGTGACAGTTCACACTTACAGTTCAGCACAAAGTTGTTGAACCTTCCTTTCTACTAAACAAGTTTGAAACAGCTCTCAATGTTTTGATGAATTAAGGCAAAATAAAAAAAAAACATGTTTAGCGTCCTGCCTCTTTGACAAAAAGGAAGGAGGAGGCCCTTTTTTTTTTTTTTTTTTTCTTTTCAAAATGGCCGCCCGACACATTTTTCAAGACAACGCGGCCGGGCTATTTTTCAAGATGATTACCAGCTTTTTTCAAAATGGCCGCCACTTGGACTCAGGAAATGACATATTGGCTTCTTATGGGCAAGATGCAACAGAAAATGAGACCAAAATGATGTAACTATGCAGAACCGAACATCTCTTCTGCGCAATTGCACCATATTTAAAAAAAAAAAAAAGAAAAAAAAAAGGAGGCGGCCTCTAAAAAGGAAGCGGGCGGGGACGCTAAACATGTTTTTTTTTTTACTTTGCCTAATGGGTATCTATCAAAACACAAGGTTTGCTGATTGATCAATAAATTGATCATTTATTAAATGATTGATGAACGTTTACCCAAGTTGACTAGAGTGTATTTTAGATATTAAACTATGGATGAGTATATGGCAAAGTTGAAGTAAATGACTATATTTAAAGTAATATGATTTTCATTATCTTTATCTTAAAACAACATTGTTATTACAAGTAAGAATGCAGTTTTAGGAGTGTTTGAGTATGCGAACGTTTAACCATTTGCGTTTGGCTTGCCAGTAAATAAACTCAAAATGGCGCCCCCTAGAGACAGGGTATGACCATATTGGCTTGAACTCATTAATACCGCCTTATTTCTAATACCGCTAATACAGCTAATTTCCTCTTGTTCAGGAAATAGCTGACCGCGAGATCGCAGCCCTCCCGCGAGACAGTTCCTGGGTCCGACAGCGAGATCGCTGTGCCATTACCTCGCGGCCTCGCTCCGTCATCCCCCGCTGGCGGCTCAGCCGAATCATGTGGCGACAAATCGCCGACGCTAACCACATGTCTGGAGTACAGCGAGCGACGTGGTAGTGGACTGTATAGATAAGACGACTTTTTGGAACGTTTCTTGGTTGGTTCTGCTGCTAGCTCAAACTTCTTTGAAAAGAAAATCATAGATGGCAGTGCTATTCATAACCACCACCACCTATCAACAAAGCACAGTTAACCCTCCTGCTATTTAAACAGTCACAGACAGTCAAAATGTCCATCCGCTTCCCCTGCTATACTTTTAACACAGACCAGTCACCAGCAGTCAGATCATATGTCAAGCAAGCGCTGTGACTAGTCAAACTCAATCAACAGACCATGAACAGACAAAGCAGGCAAGTGGTGGGCACAGCTGTCTTATCAATCACCAACAGTCAAAGCATAGCTGTATCAAGTTACATAAACAGTCACAGCCAGTCAGTCCTACTTTGTGTAGGCTGGGATTTCTTAAGTTGATTGATTTTGACTGAAAGGACTACACAAATGTACTTGGCACCAAATGTATGTTTGCGTAGGAGGGTAAATCTTGATTGATTCTCGATGATGATTCTCATCTCTTTTTCTTCAAGGAAATTCTCCCGTTTCCCTCCCCAACCCCTGGGCCCGAACTCCAGTCTTTTTCTCATCTGGTCTCCCTTAAAAACCAGCTTGAAAGTCTGCAGATATTCAACATCCTGCGATCTTAATTTATGATTTAGTTTAATGGTTTCATTAAATAGATTTTGTAAAACCTGGGAACGAAAATTGATTTTCACCATAAGAAATAAAAGAACATGTGTGAATTGTGTGACTTCGAGAATGAGTTAAGTTTTTTTTATGTCATCCATAACCATTTTTGGTATGATCGTATCCAGTGATGTACAAAGGGAAATGAAAGTAAAGTTTTCTTCTCATGTAAAGAAAATACTTGAAAAACAGATTGAATTGTTTTATTTTGTAAAGAAACAGAATACACAATGTGTCTCTTTCTGTCAAAAAAATGTACGTGTACATGTACATCTGCTGTGAAATATCTAAATACTTTTTACAAAGCATAAATCAAAGGGGCTACTTTAAGTTTAACATTATATTTGTAATGACTACAAGTGTCTCTTACAAACATGCAACGAGTTTACGAACATGTAATAACTTAAGTACAAAACATGGACTACACGTTTTCAGTTATTTACATGATTACTGTTTATATTCGAAAACTTTTTTTCAATAAAGTTTTAGTGGTTACCTAAAATCCAAAGCAAATAGGCTTGAAACTTCAGCCGTTTCAAAACTTAAATTGCAGTCAAATTGCACATGACTTATCAAATGTCACTGCAATGATTTATGTCACCAGTTTTTCCTTGAACCATGCTGAAAAATGCACGTACCCGCAGAATGAGTCATACCCTTGCGATCTTGTCAGTTGCGAACTTTTCGGCTCGATCGACCTTGAGTAGTTTGCCCGCGTGAACTTTTACCGTCGACGCTAGATGACCTTTAAAATATAAGTTATCTGATAGTTCAGAGTGCGTCTTACTACAAACGACTTGAAACGAGATAATGTTGTTGTTTTTTTAGAGATGAAAGTCTGCATTCTTCATGATTAACCTACGAAGTTTGGTCACAAAAAGTCAGGTTTTGAGTATCCGAAGAGCTCGAAGTCTAACTCATAGAGTTCCCACAGTCTCTTCAGCGTTGCTTTTGGTACCTGACTGAAATAATCATCGTAGGTTTTAGAACTATTGGTCGGGTGACTGTTCGCTTTGGCGGGGAACGACACCTGGTCCTGCAGATCTAAAGACGTCAGCATGTATCTAGCGTCGTCGTTTATGGTCTCCAGTTTGCCGAAGTAGTCGTACTTGACTTTACAGGGCGAGCACATCTTGTAGATCTCCTGCCAGTGATCGTCGAAACCCGCCCTCTCTGTCGGGTTGGTCAAGTACGTCATCCACTCGTGCCACGTGATGTTCTCGCCGGTTTGAAGTTCCCGCGCGGTGGCGCCCTTGCGGTAGGTCTTCATAATACGCTTGGCAAAACCCTGGAAATACGGCTCCTTCCTGTACATTTTAATGTCCGCAAATTTGTTCTTGTAGGCCGATAGGATGCGAAGGAAGGGCTGGCGAGCGTACATGAACTTCGTGTACGTCTTGAGTCGGATTTTCTGCTCGGCTGGCGTGAGGGCGCTCAGTCTCTTCATTCCGTTCTTGAAGTGAGCCTCGTTCGATGAGATGCCTACAGTTCCTTTACGTAGACCGGAGAGTACCATCAACACTCTCTTCCAGTTGCTGCATCCGACCTAGTACCGTAAAGAAGAAAGGTTAAGCACAAACTGAAACTAGCAAATTCTACATTGCTCTCTAGAGTTGTAATAACGGAATTCCATGGGAGACAGACAAACCTTTGAAACCCTGTCAAAGATTTGGACATCGGGGAAATATTTTCTGGAATTTGCAGGTCGCTATACCTGATACCGATGGCCACAAAGGGTCATCAAGGCTGTGACTACATGCACAAAAAGAAATGAGGACGCAAATTAAAGAGAAAGTAAAGGAATCTATTGATAATTCACTTGCACTGTTGAAAGTTGTCAAACGGGGAAAGCAAGATCTTGGCAAGGAGTTTCTCAATGAGGCAGTACGGGCAAAGAGACCTGTCTACTTTTCTACAAACGCATTGAGGTGACTTGAGTCCACCCTACGAACTTGAGGGGCATGAGGGCAAACATTAGCGGAACACGGGCAGGGAACATTTTTCCGCTTTCGTGTGCGTGCGTAAAGTGGTTTTAAAGCAGTCTGACAAACCTTCGGCACAAAACAGTAGAGGATCTTGTGTTTTTCGTGGACGTAGATGTGGCGGAGTGTCTCCATGTTGAGGCTTCCTTGCGACAGTTTCGCGTGCTTGCTGCAGGCCTGGTCAAGATGGCTGCGTCGCTCCATCTGAATCGCCTCTTGTTGCTCCATAAATCCGTTGGGTTCAAATTCTTTGTTGAAGGCCTCCTATTTGGAAGAAAAATGGTTTGAACAAGAAATGTTGACGATAAAAGGAGCTAATCGTTTCGCAAGGCACTACATGGACATGGTTAGTTACATTCGGTAAGGCCGAGTTGCAATTTTCGTATAACAGGCCTACATGTATAATTCCTAACTATAGGCGGATGGATCATTGAACGTTCTTGCCTTTGAATCTTGTCCGCCATTTTGTTTTCCCTTCTCCTGCGCCAGGGACTCGTTGTGCGCCTGCGCGGGACCGGGGACGTCATCAGCTGCACTGGGTGGTTTTTTGACCTGCAAAATATTGTCTTTCATCCAAGGAAAGTCCTCGTATTGCCGGATGCTTTTAGGCCGGTTGAGATTGACTGGAGCTGAAACAAAAATTGAAGTAGATTCAACACCAAAAAGGGGCACTTGCTTAAAATAGGGGCACCTTCCGTCGGTGTGAAAGTGGAGGAAAAGAATATGGTCCCGTTCATTTCGCTTAAACCTATATGACGTGAAAATTAATGATGAATACGTTGTCCATCTTGCTCTTTTGTGGGTTTTAATTTCACCTTGTTATGTAGAGAGACTGTTGCTTTTGATGACCACTTCAGTGAACATTTTATTCACGTGAAGAGCATTAATTTTTAGAGGTGTCTGTGTTCCATATTGAGAGGGGGCACTATTTTAATGTTGCGAGCGGACCAGGTACCGTGTGCGTTTGAGGGGCAGTTTTGTTTTCATCTCGAGAGGGCAAATTTATAACCGTGAGAGGGGCACTTTTGTTGGCCTGGGAAAGTCGGAGGGGGGGGGGGAGGGCACTTCCCCCCCCCCCCCCTCCCCGGTTCCGCCGCCACTGGTGAAAGGTGAATTGAAAAAACTCCTGATTCGAATGTCCATTCTACTCACCGTCGAATTCAAATTGTGTGACGGCATAAAACGTCAGGTAGACGAAACAAAGCAGTAGGAAGAGTTGAGGGAACCAGTGTCTGCACAGACGCCACGCCCATCGACGGGGGAGGAGCTGAACCAGAGACATCGTCCTACAAACGGCAAGAGATGCATAACTTAAGCCAAAGGCATACTATTCCACGGATTAGGACATTAAGTGCTCAAAACGATGCAAAAGAAGATCAGGCCAACTCGACTCACTTTTTAGCCAGCAAATTTCTCCAAAACTGTCATTGCGGGAAAGAAGAGGTCCTGAGTATTTCACCAACCAAGTTTGAAGACTCAATTCAATTTTAAAGGAGACTTTTCTAGAAAATTTGGCAGTGGCTTGCACAGGAGAGGGAAGTCAAGTGATTACAAAATGGGGCTAAAGACTAGACTTCTACATGTCCATCTATGGACAAACTGTTTGACAAGAGTGACTTCTTCATTTATTGTCATTAGTCAGGTGCCTGACTATGGAGAAATGTGTAGAAATAGTGACCTAGTACCCGACATCCTCGATATTTCTTTTGGCACAGTCGACTGACAGTTGATTGATGCAGTACTGAAGGGTTGTTGGACTGGTTGTTCTAGATGTCAGTCTATTTTCTTGTTTTTGCATGTTTTTAATACCTTTAGTTTTGGGACTCTCATACACAGTATTGAGAGTCGCAAATTTTCGGACTTACTATTCTATAAATGTGGGTTTTCTAACTTCATGTAGGATGCAGCAGAAAGAGTCTGACGCATCCAGTACATCTGGTTCCTTGACTCTCTATTCATTTTTTCTACGCCGGGTCATTCTACCTGATTGGTTTGTAGTTTTGTTTTAAAGACACGTGACTATCTTGTTGGCGCGCCATATTTTATTTCTTTGCTTCCAATCTTTGGACGTCAAACTTGGATGGATGGTGAAGTATTTGGGACCTCATCTTCACCTTGTGGAAATCTCGGGAAATCTCGTTGGCTAAGGACTAAAGTGCGAGTAAATTTGTTCTCGTTTTATTTTGCATGTTTGTATGCTACACTTGAGATTTTAATTTAGATTTTTAGGTACATTTTGACACCACATTGTGGGTGATAAAAGTTTATGGAGGGTCAAATCAGAAATCTTTTAGAAAGCCATTTTCTAATGTTATTCCTACCTCCATGATTTCATGTCTTTCTTTCACTCACAAGTTTGTTTATGTTTCTCAAAATTGAGATTAAAACATGACATTCTATCTTTGTTGATATAGTTGCTAATTTGACCATGTAGTGCTAGTTCCACGCCCTATGCATAAATAATATACACTATACACATGCTGTTTTCTATCATCATCGTACAACATGCCAGACGATATTTGTCGCTACTACCATTGCACAACTTAATGTCAAAAACCAGGGTCATCTTACCCGAGGAAGATGTTTCAAAAGTGCTAAAGAGCAGAAGATCCTTCTCGCATCCTCGCGAAAAGTTACCCCAAAAACATCCGCAGCTTTTCACGAGAAACTGTCATTACCGTGATGACTCGGAATGCCACGCCGTCTGTTTGATCAAATCTCCCGTCTATAGTGTCTCCCGATGAGACGGTGAGAGGTCGTCCCACGTAACGGACTTTGGGCAACTATTCTCCCAACATCCATTTATGTAATCTTCTATTGTGCACACACACTGGTAAGAAGATCAGTCTATAGGCTCATGCAAATCTCTTTTGTTATGGTGATCAGCATCAGTTGCTTAGGACGTCCCTGAGTGTGGCCACATTAAAATTTAGTCCTGTTTACGGGGTGCTAAATATGGATGAGGCACAAGATTTTTGCTGTACACACTTATACATTTTAGCAATGCAGCCATGCAAATCGAAGTTGGTCGATATGTTGGAGCAGTTTTTGTTGTTGATGCATTTTATAATAATTTATCAAGAACGAGTTACCAAAAGTAAACAAACGAACGAACACTGTTTTCACTGGTTGCAATCTCCATTGCTTTATTTTGTTAAACTGAGGGCGCTGTTTTGATGTTGCCTGACAATGTGGCGTATGGAAATTATTAGTAATTGAAAATGTCATCATTGTCCGGATGCCATGAGTGTAGCATGAGAGGTTGTATGGAAAATCGAATTAAATTAAAACCAGAACATTGATTCCGATTGTTTTTGTCACCAGTGGAAATTGAGTTATTGCACATACCCAATGCGTGGATTTCGATTGTGTGTTTAAAAACACAAAGGGTAAAACTAAACGAAAAATAAACGCAAATAAATTGTACAAACTTCACTTTTTTTATGTATACGTGTTAAAGAGAATTCCTCGTTTTAAATCAAATTAAATTAAATGCACCGTAAATGAATTTCAATCGAAGACACTCAGCTGACTGATATAATAATAATCAAAAAGCAACGAGTTGTTTGATTGTTTTCTAATTATAATCATTCTAATCTTCCCCTCTCACTAAGACTTGAAAAGAGGCTAACTTGTACTCCACAACGTTAACTAGGAACAACTTCAGGTTTTGGATAACCAAAAAGTTCATAATCCAGTTTATAAAGGTCCCACAGTTTAGTCAACTGTAACCTACTCAACTGCGAGAAGTACTTCTCGAAAGTCCTGCTTGAGGAGCTGTTGGTGGGTCGACTGTTTCCAGATGACAGGTAGCGGACTTTAGAAGGCACTTTGAGCAAATCCAGTACGTACTGAGCGTCATCGGAGACGGTTTCTAGGTTACCGATGACGTCATAGTCGATGGTGCACGGAGAGCAGAGTGTGTGCATCCTTTTCCAGTGATCGCTGAAGTGAATGTCTGTTTCCACCTCGGCTCGCTCCGTTGGGTGGGTGAGATATTCCACGAATTCTGTCCAAGTGACGTTTTCACCCGTGCTCCGATCATGGGCAGAAGGCTTCTTTTTGAACTTTGACACGATCTGCTTCCCGAAGCGATGGAACTGATGGTTGCCGCGATAGTAGTCGACGTTCTCGAACTTGTTTCGGTACACGGAGAGGGCGCGGCCGAAGGGCTCCCGGACGAAGAAAAACTTGTGGTAGTGTTTGAGACGGTGGGCCTGCTGCCCCGGAGTGTAGGAGTTCAAGAACTTCATCTGTGCCCTAAGGTGCACCTCATCTGAGGTCAGGCCTTCTACGCTCTCCTTCTCTCCGTTCAGGACCATCAGGATCCGCTTCCAGTTGCTGCAGCCGACTTTAGGCACGAAGCAGTACATGACTTTGTACTTGTCCACTACGTAGATGTGTTGCTTGGTGAATTTGGGCGGTTCCGGCTCGGCTTTGATGTCGCGACGCTCGCATGTGCCGCGCAGGACCGCCTTCCGTTTGGCCTGAACTGCTTCCTGCGTCTTGAGAAAGTCAAGCTTAGATGATTTACTGGAGTCGATCTGCTGGGGTGTCTTTTGCTGTTTTGAGAGAAATAGTAAAACTGGATGAACGACATCATTGCTTTGTGTATCAATCACTTTTGCGAAGTGTTGGTTCTTGGGCGCATTAGGCTTCTTTTCCTCGATGTTTTGGACAGTATGCTCTATACATTCTGCTTGGGAGTGCTAGGATGGTACGAAATGATTCGCTCTCATTTCATTTGGGAATAAAGCTTGCTTTCGTAGGAGAAGAGAACAAATTGCCGTGATCTTGAAAATAATGGATAGACTAGTCTTGCTTAAACGAACAACTTGCTCCGTTAAGTAGATTTAAGCTAAGTATAACGTTGCACTGCTAGAAATTTCCATCGAATTGCCCCAAGCCATGGTCTATCACCAAAATGTTAAAAAAAAGATTTTTAAAATACTCACAGGTTTCTTGTTTATCTCAGGTTTCTTAACTGATTTCAAGACTTCGTTCTTCAAGACGTCATTGCTTTTGACGTTTTCCCCTAAAAGAAAAAAATGATAGCAGCATGATATGTAGCATAATCATAATCGTACAGTGTGTATAAAAAAATTGCAAACACAATATAACGTAGAGGCAGACGTAGAATGTGTAACCAACATAGCCTAGATAGTATATAGGTATGGTTTGAAAGATACGCCGTTCCACTTTAAAATGAGATATCAACCGTCCAAATCTGATAATTTTTGACAGAGTTATGAATAATTTTCCAAGAGAGGTCAAATTGACCATGGGACCAAGTTTTCAATTGTAGACATTGGGACAAAGGTAGCCTAATTGCCTCTGTGGTGATAATTGCATGGCCTACAAAAAATGCTTTTAGCGCGTAAATACAATTCTAAACACTTTCTTGCCTTCAGTATGTAAACGTGTTTACATGCTAAACAGTTTTAGCATGGGGTGACAGCAAGAAAGTGTTTAGAGTTGTGTATACTCGCTAAACACATATGTTTCCTTTTGCTTTCATTATGAGCTTGGAAATCGACATCTCCAAGTTTTAACCTGTAAAAGTAATGATTACTTTCACAAAACAATGAGTGTTGCATTTTAAAGTTAATTCCAACAATGGTTTCCGCTGAATTGAATTTTTTAAAATTGTCCCTATCACTTTGGAGCACCAAAAAATGTGTATGTCGTGGCTGTAATACGAGTAAAACTCATTTGTCACTGACTGGCAGAGTGAAGTATTTCTTTTTCTGATTTACCTTCCGGACTATTCTTGTAGTAGGCATAATACTCCGCGAGGAACAGAGAGCCGATCACCAGACCAGCGAGCAGGGCGACCCGGCGAATTCTCCGATCAAGTCTCGCCATCTGCTGGCCGAGGCTCACCATCGGTCAAAAGTCAAACCTATACCAAAAACGAAACCAGAGCGAGTGAGGAAATAAGTGTTAATCTAAAACTGTAATTTCTTCTCATTGTCTTCTCTCCACAGGTTTCTTCAGGCTTGCGAGCTACAGTGCCTAGGGCGCTTTTGAGGAATCCTTGGTTTCATTACCATGCAGAAATGATTAATAATCGTGAGCATTATGGGGACGGCATAAAAATAAAACTCGGCACAGAATTTATTGTGAGACTATAGAAAACAAAAATAACATCCGTTGTTTATTGCAAGCGGAAAGACGCTCATGCAGGAAATCAATGAGTTTGCAGTTAAATTCGGGTTCACTTTCAACGCGACGACACATGTTCGATTAGAGACAAATTACAAAGAAAGTTGATTTTTGTTGGTGTCAGGCCTATAGTCGAAGGCTTTGCGTGTTTAGAATAGTCGCATACAAAAGTGTCCTGGTTCCAATTTTTTTTTTACACTGGAAGCTTTTTAGTTCATCACCTTGATTGTTTGTATAGATCCTGACGAACTGAAGACATTATTTTGATAATTTTAGCTTTTTTTACTGATCGGGAGTTTTCTTATAATCAAATTCTCGGTTGACGTATTCTACGTTTCCTTGTAAAATAAAACTTTTTCGGGTTAGAATATATGTTTCTTATCCTAGTTCATGGGCGTCGCGAGGGGGGGGGGCAGGATGTGGGCGTTCCCCCCCCCCGAAAAAGCATTTTTTTTAAGGGAAAAAATTAAGAAGACGAGGGGCGACGTCATTGCTGTTAATTTAATGCACATTTAACAACATGGGCATCTGCAGGGGTGTCATTCGTGTGGGGTACGCGGACAATGTCCCCGCCCGCCCTCGAAAAATTAATAAATTGAGAATATGCTAGAAAAAGTACAAGGATTTTGGGAAACAATATGCTTTTCCCTGGGCCCCTCTATAGAAAAAAAATCATGGCGACGCCGTATTTTGAGTGATTGAAGTGCTAGTGAGTTGGGAAAATGTGTTTCACTTTGTGACCGCGTGTTCTATAAGTTGGGGTCAAATTATATGTTTCGGTTGCTTCGTCCAATTCCGCACCGGTTGCAGGCAAATTTAACTGAATGGTTTTAACACACTTCTTCGAAGATCTACATTTGGAAATCTAATTCCAGTACTTAACACGTGTTTTATTGTCACTCAGGTAACAGCGTTGTGAATCAAGTCGTCAATTTAGCGGAAACCAATTTTCAAAATCAAAATACTTACCGTAAATACAGCACTTTTAGTTGGAACTTAACAACAGTCGATATTTGTAGAATTTTTAACCTTTGCTCCGACCTTTATCGTGTCGGCAAACACAAAAGATTTCGCAAGAATGAAACCGTCCCGGACCGCTGAAAGGGCCGCGAACCTCCTATCCGCGTCGAAATCTACCGCACTGTGCTATGGCAATTTCTGAGCATTCTTGGTATTACGCTGAATATTTCCAGCGGTTTAATACTAGTGTAGGCTTACATGTTGACTGACTATGTTATCCCAATTGTAAACACTAGCGTTCCACCCATGTCATTGAACATGTTGCTGGTATGTAGTTTGGACTTATAGCCTACCTGTACAAAAAAATGCTAGCAATCTTTGAGCTAAATAATTGATCGGGACAGCGCCATGCCGTTTTGAAGAATTGTTATCGGTGTACACACTCGGTTGATTGGAGTTTAGTTTTTCCGGGTTTGCAAGTGGCACCCGTGAATCATGCACAGCGCCCTCAACGTCTAGGCTGGGCACGTGGGATGGGGAAGGGCGGGGCAGATGGTTGATGGGGGGGGATGTAGTAGGGACTACAGAATTAGTCATTGGGAAAAAAAGTAGAAAAGTGTATATGAAATTCTATATGTACATACGATCGTATCAATATTTATTGCTCTCCATTTTTACATTATAAAAATAGGCTGGTAAAGATTATGTAAATATGGGTAAAAATTGAACAGACTGTATACAAAATGGATATCAAAAATGATTGTTTGAAATTGTGTACTTGATAATATGTGAATTTTTTGGTGGTTTAAATTGTCTTCAAAATGATTCTGCAAGTTATAGAACCTACAGAATGTGTTTAATACATAAATTTTCGTGAAGAAAGTTTTAATGTCGAAGATTGCACATTTTATTCATTTTAAAAGTTGGACTTAATATGCAGCATTGCAATCATCGTTTCAAATTTTTAATTAAGTTGATATACATAATGCTGAATACATAGGACTTGACCGTGCCCATTGGTCACTGTAGTTTTAATTTGTTGCAACAATAAGCTGATTATGCGTGAAGTGCATCTGCCTCAAAACTGCTTCAAAACTGCGGCGTATGTCCCACGAGTCCATTTAATAAATCCTTAGTCTGTGCACCTCCTCCTACCCTAATATTAAAGAGGATTTTCAGACAAAATGTATATAAATGCTATACTTTCTGCAATTAACCCATTGGTCTGTACCACCCAAAAGTGCCCTACTTGCTACTCATTATACCGCCCAACCCAACCCAGCACTGTATGGTTTCATGGGTTCATCCAGAAGTAAATACAATTTAGTACAATGTGATACAATGTAATACAAAGTAAATACAATTTAGTACAATGTGATACAATGTAATACAAAGTAAATACAGTTTAGCACAATGTAATACAAAGTAAATACAGTGTAGGACCATGTGATACATTGTAATACAAATTAAATACAGTGTAGTACCATGTGATACTTTGTAATATAATATATGTAACACAGTGTAATACAGTATGTAGTACACTACAGGTGTTTTTTTTTATTATGTAATGTGGGGCTTCATTCATGTTTGCTAAACTTGAGCTAGCCATAGAAGACGTAGCTTATCATAAAGCAAGAGTAACTGAAATTAGACACACTTTGACTGACTGCTGGGTCTTGAAGCAACTCGGGGTGCGCATCTAAGTTGTTTCAGCTTTTTGATGACTTGATGACTGGATGGAGCCAGTTCCACACCATATCTGCCATCAGCTCGCTCGACTCCAAGCAGAACGCGTGCTCCATGCCCCGCTTACACAACCGAATGTCGCCCTCTGGGAACAACGCTTTCATGTCGTCGTGATAGTCCACGGGACACCAGCCGTCCGTCGCGCCGTAGTAGAACACCAGCTTGGGTAGGTGTTTGGCGACGGCGTCCAGGTCTGGTTCCACGACTTCACGCATCTCGTGCGCTGCCATGGTGAGTGAGTTGTTGGCACAGCTGGGGTTGAAGAGATTGAGGGCAGCGTGGAAGGCGCACGTTGGAACCTGACCAGACATGCAACCCAAAAACCCAATATATTTATTGAGACAATCTTTTTAAAACTGTTCCTTTGGAGATCTTATACAAGTCAGAAAATAATACTCACCTTTCTTTCTTTGAGAAACCAGGTGACCATCCGCCACTTGACCCAATCAGACAGATAGGAGCCCAGAAAGACGACGAAGACCCCCAACCAACGGGCGTAGCAGAGGAACGGTGCCATGACAGTGCCGTTTGGTGAGGCCCACATCTTCTCGATGGTTGGGAACAGGAGGAGAGATTTGAGGATCGGGAGGGTGGGATGTCGCTGCATGATCTGGAGGATGATGTGGCAGCCTGTATGGAAGCGATGAAAATAACATCAGAGTTGTAATTACGTCACTCTCAAGTGTGAGGTTCATTTACCTCGGTGATGTTCACGAGAACCTCTGAGAACCCCAAGAGTGCCAAGATGTTGAGTTCCATGTATCACCTCAGAGCACCTCACATCTGCTTTGTTGAGGCTTCGTCTGCAGGGTATCACCTCACTGATTTCTATGTCCATCTCAGACCTGTTTCTATGAGGTCCCTGGTATTTTTTCTCTGAGGTTCATCACCTCGTAGATCTTTACATAGTAGATCTGTTACTCTCCTAGCATCTCTTCTGCGAGGTACAATACCTAAAGACCTTCTATCAACACCTCTAGATTTGTTGAGGTTTCCAGTATCTTTTCATTGAAGTGCATTAACTCACCCATTTTCATGTCCTTTTCACAACTGTTTCTGTGAGGTTTTGGACTTCTGTGAGGTGCATCATTCACCTCACTGATTTTCATGAGCTCCTCACATCATCTTGCGATGAGTTGCTGGTACCTCTTTGAGATTATCACCTTGCAGATCTTTGCAATGTGAATATGTTTCTCTCCTGGCACCTCTCATCATGTGAGGTACCAAACCTAAAGACTTTCTCAGCACCTCATTCACGCGACTTTCACACCTGAAGTCATACCTCACACCTCACAAAAAAAACCCATAAATGTTCCATTTCTTACCGATGGAATGGCCAATGAGCACAATCCTTTTATCTGGAGGCACAAAATCTTGGATGAAAGCTGCTTTGTGATCTATCTGGTCCTCTAAACTGTAGGTTTCTAAATGTAAAAAGAAATAGAAGTGTACTCGTGACTGTCAGAGGAACTTACACAAATATTGTGTCAAAGAGGCCTAGAGAGAGCCAAAATGCAGTCACATGATGTAGAAGTCAAGTGATGGATCGATCACAAGTGCAGCACAAGTCCAGTCACAAGAAAATGGGGATACACAATAACAAAGGAATGCCTTGTCCCAGTTCATTGGAATAGCTTGTGACTTGGCTTAGGACTAGAGGACTTGTTATTGACTTGTGATGACTTGTGATTGACTTGTGATTGACTTGTGATGACTTGTGACTGACTTGTGACTGACTTGTGATGACTTGTGATTGACTTGTGACTGACTTGTGACTGACTTATGATTGACTCGTGATTGACTTGTGATGACTTATGTCTGACTTGTGATGACTGTGTCTGACTTATGACTTGTGATGACTTGTGATGACTTGTGATTGACTTGTGACTGACTTGTGATGACTTATGACTGACTTGGGACTGACTTGTGACTGACTTGTGATGACTTGTGACTGACTTGGGATTGGCTTGTGATGGACTTGTGATGACTTGTGATGACTTGTGATGACTTTTGATGACTTGTTGTCTACCTATCACAAGTACCTCAACGACAAATACTGCAAGAGAGTATAGCAGCATCAAGAAGAGAAGGTTACGATTGAGGGTAGCCATTCCTATCAATACAATATAACAAACGGAATGAATGAAAACAAACCTGTGTTACTGCTGTGTTCTTTGGGTAGTATGGCGTGCCCAGCATGGGATATGCCCCACACAGATGCTCTGCAACCACTAGCCTTGTACAATGTCTCCATGAAGACCTCGTAGAAATCAACAACTCCAGGGTTGCCTGAAAAATAATAACGTTTGAAAGAAAAAAGGTTATAAATACAAATCTAGGTCTAAAACTTGAAATGAACCATTCTGGAAAATGCTTCTTAATCTTTTAAACTCTGAAAGTGTTTAGAATCACAAGTTTGAAAGTTGCATTTTCCATAAAATTATGGTTGTCGAGACTAAACCTTACATTATTTACACTTAAGAAAGGACGTATTCTAGATAGCAATAGTATCAACTTTTTGTAAGTTGGAAGCGAAGATCCAGTAAGTTTAATACAGAAGGCATGCATTTACGTCGATGCTGACGGACAATGATTTTGGTTCACCTGGGATAACTAAAAACAGGACATCTAGAGCATTGACACTTGTTTGGTTGCCGGGGTTACGCTGCTCAACTTTCATGATACGAGTCGGGATGCCACGGACGCTGACGCAATCCGCCTTGCAGAAAACCTCATCCTTGCTCTTGGTTGCCATGGCAATTGGGGTCAGTGATGCTGACCGGTGATGAGATGGCTTGTACTTGCAACAAGTCTAAAAATCCTCAAAAACTGGATCTGTAGTGATGCTGTAGAACAAGGGTTTTCCTGAAAAGTTCACTAAATTTTGCAAATTATCCAGGGATAGCAGATGCCTAGCCTAGTACTAGTACCAATATTAAAAGACAATAATTGTTTCTATTTTGAAGAAATTTTCCCTTGAATGAATTTATTGACAGACATACAGTAGCCTAAATTTGACAAGTTTGAAAATGAATGCTTTATGTAGGCCTACCTAAAACTAAAATTAGTACAACCCGTCATCAGTGTCTAAAGCTGATAAAAAAAAATTCTATTATTTTTTTTAAAGTTTTCGTCCCAGATTTAACTAGGTGAAGTACAGTTAAAACAACTGTTTTGTACACGAATCCAAACAGGGGACCTCTCAGGAATTGTCCCCTATTGATCTTGGATGCAGAAATAAACTCACATACACCCCCCCCCCCCGTCCCCGTCCCCGCCCCCACGATGGTCGCTTTCACCGCAAAAAAATGGCGGCAGCGTAGCGGTTTTTGATCAAATAATTGTATTCTTACTCATATAAATACGATCGTCGACGCTGTCTGCTCCAGTCTGGGACAACAATAAGTCACAAAGACCTTAGTCAAATGTTCTGATGCCGAGGGACCTGGTACTATTACGTAATCTCTGTCTCAAGGCTACAAATTATTTCGGGTAAGTCACGTTACGATACGCGTGCCCAACGTGATGCAATATAGTCGGGTTCCTTGTATAATCTGTGATTGATAACGCCGTGAATTTGGGAAACCAGACTGAGATTAAGTAACATTTTTTTTAGACCGGCGAAATTTTGTTGTTGTCTGTGTTCCATCTGCGAATATTGTTCGGATTTTGGTGGGTTTTTTTGAGAAACAGTTGGCAAGATGTACACGGTTTGTCGAACATCACAGATGGCGATCAGTCTGGGAGCTGCACAGATTGCTTCTCGAGGAATTCAGGTAGGCCTAATACAACTAATTTTGTTTAAAATAGCTCCATCATTTGTCCATGGCCGGTCATCAGTGGTCATGATGGTGGTGCGTGCTGTCCGTACGGTACGGTGGCCGGCCATGCATGATGGATCATGGATGAATAAAATGTTTGGGGCATTGGGGGGGGGGGGGGGGGGGAATTGGTGTGTTTTGCAAGTTTGGTAAATAGGGGGTGTAATTGACTGCATTTAAAAGTTATATATAGATCTGAACTCCATTTTCTCTGGGGTTTTTTTTTTTTCAATTTGCTTTCTTACTTATTAAATCATGTTTTAAGCCTGAATTAATATTGCAAAATAAACAATTATAAAATTATTACTGCTCGAGTGAATTTGCATAAATTGATTAACAGTGTTGTTGGAAGAATAAAAGGCACATTGCCCCTTTTACCATCCCACAATGCTTGGTAGGCTTACTGTAGCTATTGTGCAATATCATTCAAGTGATATTTTCAATATAAATGTCTATTTCATATGTTATTTTTAAAACAAATATGCTCAATTTCTCAGACATGTTGCCGCAGCTTGAGCTGTCTGACCACCCTAGCTGGCAACCAGCAACAAACAACATCAGGGCCACATGCAGATTTGACATACTCCAGATGGGCGTACCTACGGAGAGGAACACAGAGACACATCGGCACAAGTCCACAAAGTCTGGTGAGAATGAGCTGAAATAAAACCGAGAGAAGGCTGCCAAGTTGACCTAGACCCGAGTATCTTGTTTGGGAACATTATTTCCCTACTCAGTGACTTACTCAGCCAGTGACTTAGTCAGTGACAGTCGTTTGGAGAGTCTGCCAGTCGGTGACTCAGTCAGTGTATCAGTTTATATGTAAGCCAGGGACTCTCACAGAGAAGTGGCTAAAGTCTTGAGCAGTTTTCTGAATTCCCTAGTAACCCAGATATATCTTCCTGTTAATCGCTTTTGGACAGGCTCTAGTCCGACGGAGCGCAGTAGCACTTCCCGACAGGAAACCAGGGCCTTTCAAACGTTTGATGGAACAAGCCGGCATCCCAGTGCAGATGCGCTACAACAGATTTGTAAGTTTTATTTCAAAACTCTTCAAACATCCAAAATATTGCCAAAATTTATGATTATAATAATTTAATATGGTAATAGAATATACAAGAGTACACGATTGTGCTAATTTATGGGAAAAAAAAGTTACTGTTGTTTTCTTATGTTGTTGTTTTCTTGTATTGTTGTTTACAGTTGCATTGTTGTTGTTTACTTTCAGAAAATAAGAGTTGCTGGCCTGAACCTCTACACATCGTGCGTTGACAATGTCGACTGCCAGCAATTTTTCAGAGGTAAGTTTTGCAAATGAGAAATTCCACTATTGTTTATTTTGAGTAACTTGTACTGCGCATGAAGCAACAGATATTTCATGACCATGACAAAAGAAACAACGTCAGCAAATCGACCCTCATTGAAAGTCATTTGCTTCCTGAAGTTGGAACAATTGTTGCGAAATATCCTGCCTAGGGACACGAGTTGCCAAACTTCGTTTAAATTCAACATTGTGAAGTCATGGCCCCTTAATAAGGAAATAAGTGTGTGCTTGGTGGGTTTTAAACACTATGTTTAAGACTGGTTGGAGTCTGGATGCTGATAAATATTATAATAAATATTATTATATAGACTAAAGACCATTTTGCAGGTCGGATTGCTTTTAACCCCAGAATGATACAACAGTCAACACCATGCAAACTTTGAGCGATTTTGTTGTTGACGTTGGTGTAGCATTTATCTGACATTCTTGTAAGCTTAACTTTTTCCCTGTTTTTTTTTTCAGCGTGTGGAATGCCAGACACTTTCTTCTCATGGTTTCTAGTCACAGAGCTTCACGTATGGTAAGATCTTGTTCCATCCAGAGAAGCTGATGCATGGAGTTTAGCAATGGCGCCCTCTATAGGTGTTACACAAGGCCAATAGTCTTGGGCTTTGCAGATTGTATCATTAAAGGCTCATCGGATTATCAAAAATCCTACTTGGATTAAGGATTGTACTGGTACTAAACACCCCGTTAAATTATTCCGTCTGGCTTGCTGTCATTTTGAAGAAATCGAGAAATGTAAATGATTTCCAACGATCACTCAGTTGACTGATTTTTGGAAATACAGAGTGCCATTACCAAAATTGTGTTTTGGACGAAATCGAAAAAGATGGACGAAAAAATCGCATTACATATCGCGTATTTTTGAACACATGGTCATTTGCGTCTTTCCGCGCAACAAAGTTGTTGCGACAAAATAGTGTGTGTGTAAATGGGCCTTTAAAGTACGACTGTTGGTTTCTATTGAAGGATGTGTTTGGTGCGTTTGAAGCAAGAAGGGCAGGAAGGCAAATACATGGTGCACTACCTGATCATGTCCATGTGGCATGATATACAAGAGAGAGGGCGAGTCATGGGGGTGAGTATTAGGGTGGGGGAGAGGGTAGGGGAGAGGGTGACAGAAGGGGTGGGGGAGGCATTGATTGAGCTGAAAGAAAGGAGAGAGGGCGGGTCATGGGGGTGAGTATTGGGGTGGGGGAGGGGGTAGGGGAGAGGGTGACGGAAGGGGTGGGGGAGGGCATTGGTTGAGCTGAAAGAAAGGAAATCCGTTGAACAATCTTGATGTACATCTTGCACAATGTCTAAAATGAGAAAAAAAAAATTAGTCAGACGAAGATCTATTGGTTAGAGTTTGTGACTTGAACAAAGGTCAGGGGTTCGAATCCAGCTGCTGGCCACATGTTGTATCCTTGGGCAAGCCACTTCACCCCCACTTGCCTCTCTCCACCCCTGGAGTATAAATGGGTACCGGCATTAGCTGGGGAGTAACCTGCGATGGACTGGCATCCCATCCAGGGGGAGTAGAAATATTCTCAGTCGTTTCATGCCACTGAAACCAGTGATTAACGCCGGCCTGATGGGCCACATTTGCTCATGACAGTCTTTACTTTACTTAAGACTTGCAGCATCATGGCATTTTCACTGATTTTTATAACTGCAAATACTAAAGCGTTGATCAATATTACAAGTAAATGTGGTTTTAACATTTTCTGTTTAATTTTAATTTCAAGGTTTTTTCTTCTTTAAATCCAGATTCCTTCAATCAAGATGAAGGAGAGTTTGAAAAAAATGGTTGAACAGTTCAACGCGGCTCTGTTTGGATATGACGAGGTGAGTTCAGTTTCAAAAAAACTTTTTACACTTTCACATCTTTGAAATGAAGTTTACTTCAACCTTTCTATGCAAACATACATTCTGTGTCAAGTTGTCCTTTCAGTCAATATCAATCAAACGACTGTTTTCAACAGTTAAGAGCTCCCAGCCCACATAAAGCAGGATTGACTGGCTGGGACTGTTTATGTAACTTGATATAGCTATGCTGTGACTGTAGGTGATTGATAAGCCAGCTGTGCCTACCACTTGCCTGTTTTTGTCGTTTGACTGAATTCGACTAGTCACAGTGTTTGCTAGAAATACAGATTGTTGGTGACTAGCCTGCTTATAAAGGCATGACAGAGGATTGGTTTTTGACTGTCTGTGACTGTTCAGATAGCAGGAGGGTTAATACAATTGGCCAGTGCGTAATTCAATGAGTTTATGCTCTTTTCCTCAAGGGTCTGCTATCCAATGACAGCGTTCTGGCTGCTGCCCTCTGGAGGAATCTCTTCGTCAGGCGCGACATAGAGCCGGCGCAGTTGGCAGACATGGTGGAGTACGTCAGGCAACAGGTCAGTAAGGCCAAAAAAAAAAAGTCTCCGGTTTCTGGTATGCGCGCGTCGCCGTAGCCATGCGCGTCGGCAAAATGAAAAAGTTTTTTTTTCAATACAAGATGATGTCTCAAAACCGCCAAACTCACTGGTTTGACTGTAATTCTGCTGCTGCGCAATTTCAACGTGTTTTTAGATGGGGTTATGATCGAGAGTAAGCTTTATGTGGCCTCTCTGGACTCCCATATATTTGCACAAAGTTTAGTCGGGCACCATTTGCAGTCATCAGCCGACATTTGAAGCCAAAAAAAAAAAAAATATGGTAAAAAAAAAAAAAGCCGCGTCGCCGCACCACTTTTGGGGCAAGCTCCATACCAGAAACCGGAGACTTTTTTTTTTTGGCCTAACCAAACATATTTTAATACGAAAGTAGAGCAACAAACTTGTTTTAGTTTTTTACAGTTGAACAAAGAAATTGACTGGAGCAGGGTATGAACCTGCAACCTCCGAAATGCCGTTTGGGTGCTCTGCCAACCCTGTGTTGGCTGTTTCCCGATTTTGTTTATGTCTTTGTTCAATGAGGTAAAATATTTGGGTTTGGCAACAAATCAACATATTTTACAGTTTGCAGAGTGCTTTCCATGAGTTTGCTGCTATTGCAGATTCGAGCCAGCCAGCCGACCCTTGCAAGCTCGGTGGTCGAGTGTGAGACATCTTCACTAGTAAGCAGGAGGTCGTGGGTTCGAGTCCCTTGTGAATTTTTCTCGAATCATTTAAAGTGCACAGCCAAAAAGTCTAGGTCAAGGGAAACTCTCGCATTCAAATTTGCAACCCTGTCACAAAATCCTGTTACGAAAATCATTAACTCTTTTGTGTTCCCTTTTAAATAATGCCATCCGCAAATTCGTTTTGGCCCACACAGGTACAGTATTTGGAAACGCTAGACACTGCCCAGCTACTCCAAGTCGGACGAATCAAATGGCTCCCGTTTAAAGGGATCGTACCGGACAAAACAACCCCGCTTCCAAAAGCTAGCAGCCTAGATGAAGAACTTGTGTTCCCCGAAGTCGACAAAATCGGCTCTTAGTAGGAAATGAGTTTTCCACTGAAAAGGTCAGGATTTTTTTAAGCATGTGATGAAATTATTGTCAAGATGGTGTTTTTTTCACACCAGTATTGCTTTGGATTTTAAGGTTTTTGAAGGTTCAAGAGTTGACGTGGGTTCATACTTTGTGAGAAAAATATCGACGTGGATTGTTGTATGAGGTGACTGCCGATTTATAGTCTGCATGACAGCGAATTTGTGGCAGTACTACAGATATTTGAACAGCGATTTCGCAAAAGGGGAATACATTTAAACCCTGTTTATCCCAACTAATGTTGTATGATGTCAAATTCACCCTTTTCGTGAGTTAAAAACCAACCCTAATGCAGAATGATGAAAATAGTCAGGTTCCTGCTTAGCCAGTGCCACACATTATAGCAATGGCAATCATGGCTTCAAGAAACAAGATCAAGATGGCTGCTGGTTTATCCAGAGGGAGGGGCTGCAGGTCTAGCTGGGGTGGGGCTAGTTGGGGGTCTGACCTGGCTGTGTGCCAATCAAAACCATGCTTTTCTATAATTGAAAACAAGTGATCACCTGATGTGTCATGTGACATGGAGCTTGGTCACCGTCAGAGATGCTATTTGATTTTCAGTTGAAATCAAGCCATCTTTGGGTTCATGTTCCAATGTACATCTTTCGAGTTCAATAAAAAAAAAAATGATAGTTAATTCCTGATCCTCGTTGAGCAATTCAAGTGGAAATATTACTCAAGTTCTCACGACCCAAGCTGTGTTTCGTCAATGATAAATACCTCATCGTCGTCACTGTAATTTTTAATCATCCTATCTTGCGTCGACACGTTGCTGATTACCCAAAAGCTGCATTGATGTATCGTTGACCGTAATTAGTGCAAAACACAAAAGGATCATTCAGTTGACATCTCATTAATATTCACAATCACATTAAATATGCGAGTCGGGCCAAGTTGTTCGTACTGATGCGAGAGGGGCTCATAATGTATTTCAGATAATGTTAACTTTTTTTCTTTCAAAGGCACATTAAATTTTTAAGGCACTTTTCCCAGACATACATACATAAGGTGCACATCGTTTCAGTTTTTAGCTCCACGAAGTGTGACCGAACAAATAAAATATTTATCGATAATTGTGCGAGCAAGTCGTTTTGGTGCATGAGTTCCCTGACCTAAAAATGAGAGTGCTAAATTGTCATTTTCAAGAACATATTAATGGGTTCATTGATGATTGAGTTGATAAGAAACAGATCAGAAAGAGACTGGGCGTAAAAATGCAAAATGATAAGGTAGCTTGTTAAATTCATGGTATTTCTCCCAAACTGCTTTTTGAGGAATTGCCTTTTATCGAACTGCATCAATATATTTCTTGGGAGTGTTAAAACAACAAGTGAGCTTAAAAATAAATGAATATTTTGTAACATTAAAAATTGATTAAGAAGTACCTACAACATTAATGTGATCAAGAAGAAAGTTAATAAAACATAATTATTGTAATGTAGTCGAAGGCCATAGAGTTCTTTAAGTTTATACATACATGTAACTAGTGTTTTTTTCCTAAACAAGTTAACACTGTTCTATGTACAGATATAATAAAAGGTTTTAAAAAATATAAATTTGCCGTTTTTAGTTAACCCTGTGTTTTGTCGTCGATTGGTCCTCTTATAATTGATAGGCGTACAATGTATATATTTGCAAACAGTCATCTGAGATTAATATATTTACAGAAAATGTATTGCTGAATACTGCAAAATCCTCCAACTGCCTCCATGTAAAACTGGCATACAGCCTCAATCCTGCAAAATCCTCTGTTATTTCTTGAATGTGGTCCCTGGAGGGGTGACCACTGCCTCAATCCTGCAAAATGCACTGACAATCACTGTCAATATGTTGAGGCAGAGCCAGTGACATCCTGGAGCAGTGCGGAGGATTTCAAGTATAATCTAGGCCTAAATTTATGCACGGCTGAGCATAAACAACACAAGGTCCGGCCCAAGACCTAGAAACAGTGCATCCTCTGAAGTCATTAACACACTTTTGCCATGTAACCTCAATCCTGCGAATTCCTCCATTTTGCAAAGAGTAGTTTGGAGGATTTGGGAAGGTTAGGGTTAATTAAGGCACTTAAAATTGACAATGAATGTTTTTTTTTATTTACACATTTTTCCCTTCAAACATAACGTATACCTCCTACCACAAAGAATCAGCAAATTGCATACCAGAGATGTTACAAATATTAAACAAATCTAAATCTCGGTTTTACCATAAAATATCTTACAAAACAACCCTTTAAAATGTTGTGAAAATGATTTTTACAATGTGCAATGTGGTTTGAGCACCAAATGTACAATTTTTTTAATTTTGTAGGTGGGGGCGGGTTGAGGTCATCCAATGAAAACGTCTATTCATTTGTACACTAGTTTTCATTGGTAGCTTTACGTCGTTTTCCAAACCCAGCTTCGGCTCCAGATCCGGGTCCAGCCCCATTGCCAACCTGCATGAATGGAGCCAGAGACGGAGCCGAAGCCGGGGTTTGGAAAACGCCCTTTGTGTTACCATTCAGCTCTCCAGACTCAAGAACCATAGAGTTTCAAGAAAATAGGTCTGGGAGCTAGAGATGCCAATTAAAAAAAAAATCCCGGATGTCCGTTTCACAACCCCTTAAATTTCATTTCACCGGTGAAGTTCCCAAAATAGCCACTCTCTGTGACGTTTAAGAGATAATCGATCATGTCATCAATCAGTGTCGGCTGGTTCCCTAGTGACGTGGGGTCGGATACCAGGGATGACCCCGTGACCTCGGGTGGTTGTGTCGTCACATCACTTTCTGGGATCACGAGGTATATCGTGAAGTCAAGCAGTGGTCTTGAAAAGCCAGAGATCGAACCGTTGTACCGTCTGTCGACAGAAAATAGAGAATGAAAAACATAAAACAACTCATAATTTTAGCATAGCAATAAAAAATACATTTTTGACAATTTGCAATTTTTGAAATTGATGCATTTGAAAGTCAAAGGATGTTAGTATTGTTAAAAGAACGAATTTCAGACTCGGTATCAACCATCTGCTTGAAAGTTTTTGAGAAGAAATAATTTTATTTGAATTTAATTCAAATTATATTGACATAATATTCGATTATGTCAATATCAGTTTCGAAATTCAAAGACGATTTCACGTACTGGATTCCGTCCACTGTGGTTGTCTCGTAGAGGTTATAAAATTCTTCGCTGCTTTGAACAGTTGCGTTCATCTGGAGAATAGACACAAGAAAAGTTCGCTGGGTTATTATTTTTTTATTTGTGGTAACTTTTAAAGTTAGTTTCTGTCGTTCCATTTAAAAAAAAAATAGGGGCATAAAGTGACTCTACAATTACTTTGAAATTTTAAACTCAAAAACCACAAAATTATTTAGCCAGTTAGTGCCAAAACTTACATGTACAGGGTGAGTAAAAAAAAAAACGGAACCCAAACCCCCAAAATTATATTTCATATTTAAAAAAATATGTACCACCCCCCCAAAAAACAGCTGGAAAGCCAATTTCATAAGCTACTTTTAGAGGAAAAATTCTAAAATTGCTCAATCCATTCAAAGAATATTACCATTTAAAAACAATGACCCTAAAACCTCTTTCGTCCAAAAATGTGATTTCAAGAATCGTCGTCACAATTGTCTTCAAACATCACCAGCAATAAAACCTCATTTGAAAAGTTAACAATATTCAACAAAGTCCTTTTGAAGGCCCGTCTTTTTAAAAAAGTGGATTTTATAAATCATATTGTTTGCCTATCCAGGGTTGTTAATAAAGATATTGTGTACTACAGTTTTTGACAGTTGTTGAAACAAGTATTCTGTGTCATTTTGTTTGTTGTTCCAAACAGTAAGAAAACACAATAAATGGCTTCTTTTTTTTTGGACGAAACAGATTTTAGGGTCATTGCGTTTAAATGGTGATATTCTTTGAACGGATTGAGCAATTTCAGTATTGTTTTCATCCTAAAGTAGCTTATGAAATTGGCTTTTCATTCAGTATTATTTTGGTGCTATTTATATAATGTAAATATGAAATATAATTTTGGGGGTTTGGGTTCCGCTTTTGTTTATTCGCCCTGTACATGCTAAAGTGTAATTCTTCATTGATATGAATTCTTTATGCAAAACTGACTGTTCAAAAGGAATTACATGTATTCGGCAATGCGTGTCATTAATTGAGCAATTGAAGAGAAATTGGCAGGAAAATCTGACACAAAATGGAGAATATGTATTCTAAGATTTTTGGTCTTACCGTGTAGATGAATTCCTCACTGAGTCGGCGGTACTCACTGGAACTGTTATCGGCGTACGTTGCCAAGTACGGCCGGTTTGTGATGTTGAAAATACCTTCAAGTGATGCTGTGAAAATAAGGCAAGAAAAGAGGAAATGTGTGTCACAATGTACTTCAAAACTGCGTTACGCTCTATAGAACAAAACATATTAAGGAACATTCAACAGTACCACAACCATTACCGATAAACAACGTTTTGAAATACACAACAAAACCAAAAAAATGCCAAAACAAACACCAAACCAATCCAAAAATAAAGACCATGATTTCGAGCTTACTTGTCGTTTTTGGTTGAACATCATTTCCACCTTGAAGAGAAAAAAAAGGAAAATATTAATTGTCAAAATGCTGCAGTCACTACCCGCACAAAAAGATTTTGTGCTGTCATCTTTTGTTACTGGAAAAGAGATTATTTCTATACATGCAGACAACATTTTCAAAAACTTACTGTTCAAGATGATGAAACCAACAATCAAAATGACAGCCAGAATAGACGTTGCCATGATAATCAGCATCGCCTTACATTGCACCGAATGCACGGCGCGGTTGTACCCGGCCGGCGGCGCCGGCCGTTGGTACTCCATGGGCTCCACGTCGTTCTTGAACCTGGGCGGTTGGGACGCGGCTTTCCTCGGCGGTGCCTTAGCGGACGCGGCGCGGTCGGAGCTGGCTGGGCTAGCGCTTCGAGAGCTCGGCTGTGCCTCGCAAGAGACCAGGGACGGCGTCCGGGCTGGTTTATCCGGGGTCCTGTTGACGTCTTCGTCATCTTCGTTGTCGATTTTGACGCCGCTGTCGTGGTCACTCTTGATATCCGGAGATGCGTCCCCGGGCTGAGGACTCACCGCGATGATGCGAGGATTAGCGTGGGGCTTCGCGACGCGCTCGCCCCGTGAGTCCTCCTCCTCCTCGCTGGAATCGAGCCCCTGAGGCAGCTTGATACTCGGACTTTCCTGTCCGATATTTGGGCTCTCTCCCTCGTCTGGGACTTCCCCCGTCAGTAAATCAGTGTCAAGATCTGCCTCGTCCGTAACTGCGGATGGACAGTCTGCTGACGGTGAGGGCGCACTTGCCGGCGAATCACTGCGAGGAATCTCTTCCAGTGCGATGCATTCATTAATCTAAATGTTAAACGTAATTTAGATGTACACTTTTAGCTTCAAATTCCCTGTTATGGAATACTGCTTTATGCCATTCCTATATAGTAACTGTGTCCCTTTAAGCGGGAACATTTGTGGGCGTGGCTAGCATATATTTTTCTGGGCGGCGCAATTGAAATAATGAAGACAAAAGTATACATGTACTTTGAGCATTTGAAATGTTTCAAATTCGCAATTAAACCCTGTGCAAAACATGATACCAGTGTCAAGACCCATTGGAAAAAATGCTGCAGTCATGCAGTAGTTTAAAATGTATTTACTGCCATCCACAATTCTGATTTCAGCATTAAGAAAATGAAAGGTGGATATCATTGTCACGTTCTAGAGTTTTCAAAGTTTAAAGGTGTTGATAGGCCTTTACAACGTTTTGCTTTTGCAATAATTTTTAGAATTGCATGGATTTGGGGGTTAGTATTTTATAGCAACTTTTGTTACGCTGACCTGTTTGAAGTTTTGTGTTCATGGATGCTGGAAAAAAACAAGGAAAAAATGCTGTTCATGTAGTCTGGTTCCCCGACCTTAATTCACACGACACAGAGCAATTTATAGACGTCGGAATTGTCAGGTCAGGGGGAACCAGACTAGCTGGCTTGCACCCGTTCACGGATATTGTATTAAACCGATTGCAACAAAATGTCGACTAACTAAATTTGGTAAATTGGGGGCCGTTTTTGAAAAAAGTCAGCCGACCATCGTTGGAATTGATACAAAAATTCCACTTTTCTTGAACATGACAGCATGTTCACAGGATGTTTGATGCGCCGAAGCACCTTGTAAACCATTATAAAGGTGCTACATAATGGGTCTCATATTTCTCATGTACTTCATTCATTTACCTGTCTCTAATATCAGACATAATTTCCAGCGCCTTGAGTACCTAATGGACCATTAGGGTTGGTAGATACGTGCGCTATATAAGACTTCGGTATTATTATTATTATTAGAATCATTCACTTACAGTCCGGTATATTTCATAATAATTTGGGTAGTTGTTTATGCTTGTAAATTTCGTATATTGCCTCTTACTATTTAAGTTACATCATGCATGTAAGTAGTAACGACGAGACATGTTTTTTTCCGTTACATTCCTGGCAACCATCCAAAATGTATTCAATTTTATTGCCTATAGACCCCCAGCTTTCCTTAAAAAAAAATAGAAATTGGCAATGTTCATCATAAATATGGGTTTCGTGAGAAGACAACTCAATAGGAAAGCTACAGCAATTAGTAACGCTTGAAACCAATCAAATTAGTTCGCGGCCAGAGCCTTCGTCGATTTCCGGCCAAAATATGAAGACAATAAACGACAAAACGAAGAGCCAAAAAAAAAAAAAAAAAATCGATCCTTCGTTTGGCGATCAAATTAAACGACCTCGCCGGATGTAGCGTTTATTGATGCGTTGCCATGGCAACTGAAAGCACGCAAATGGCGCGCCAGGGAAACGCGAGCCTTCGGAATGGACTGACATCCATAAATAATAGCTGAAAGCAATAATGGTCTCCACTTGAATGGCTTTTAGCGACAATACTAAATTAACGGCGCCCATTGCATCATTACAGTAATAGAATGTTACAGTAATAAAGGCCTTAAATACATCATGTATTATAATGGCAGGGGAAAAGGTTTTTGCAATTTTATTTAAAACTCTTATTTAATTATTAAAACCCCGCCCTAAGGAAGGAAAGACCAATAGGGGGTCTACTTACCTCGTTTTCGTCATCCATAGTTCTGGTCAACTCGCTGATTGATGAACAGCTAGTGAAGTCAAAAATGTCTCCAAACGTTTCAAGACGCTTGCCGCATCAAGCTGAAGTGATGACACTTGCCGGCTGTTTTCACATCTTTGAGAATAATTCTAGATTTTGTTTTCGTAAGTCTTGTGTTGAGACGTAAGCAGGCGGTCGTGGGCTCGACTCCCGACTGAGTGAATGTTTATGGCAATCCCTCGGATAACACTGAGTGTACGAACTTGCGTCGGTCGGTTATTGAATGCAGAATTAGGCCATGTTTTTACGTATTTATTTATCTGCAAGCCTCTTAAAATTAGGGTATAAAAAAACAAAGCTACTTGTAGCAATCACATCGCATTCAGTGGATCCGTTTCGCTCTGTCTAACTCGAGTTGTGATGCCGGTACGGTCCACGGAAGTTCAAGCCGGCTCAAGCCCCGTCCACTCCATTAAACACTTGTTGCACACCCACCCACGTCGTGTAGTTTGTGCCGTTGATACACGCGTGACGCGCGACTCGTGGTTATATTGCCACGAAGACACTGCACGGTTTAGTTATTGAGTTTCACGGCGCTCACTAATTGCATTGCCGGGGTTTTTTTCCCATCAAGGCGGGCATCAAGGTCGAGCGGACCGGGGCCTCCATGGAACGCGCTGATGCGGAAGAGTTATTATCCGACTACCATGGTAACGGTTTTCTTCGTTTACCAGAAAGACGCCAAGTCGGTTTAATTGCATGCCGCTCGTCGACGTCAGGGTCTACAGCTTGTTATTTGCTTCAAATGTCTTGTCATAAAAACATCCTTGAAGTTGACCCGAGTTATATTGTGGGTTTTTTAGGAGGTTAAAATTTGTTAAATGAAGTGTTTTGCTACTACGATTGTTTAGAGCGCACGATACGGTACAGGTTTATTAAAGTTTGGAGTTTTTGATATACATGTAATAACATGTATACATGTAATATACATGTAATATACATGTAATATACATGTAATATACATGTAATATACATGTAATATACATGTAATACCGGTGTATTACCGGTGGATGTAACATGGAACGACAAAAACTAATTAAAATTCAAAGGGAAAAAGCAAACTTTAAAACACTCCATGCTGAATAAAAATGTGATCCACACCGTTTAGTATATTTATTTATATGTATTTATTTTTTTAAACTATACGAACACCGGACATTGCGATGTCAATCCTTTCCTTCGAACATTGTTTTTGTAACTGATGCAAATTTCGGTTTCAGTAAGCCATTCCTTACACCGATTTGGCAGAAGTGCAGAATAATACCTAGGATTTAACAGGGTTCGAACCATCTACCAATACGTAACATTGTTGGCAATTCACGGAATGTTGCATTACGCGTTTAGCTTAGGTTGGGGGAAATACTAATAATACTGGATAATAAGTGTTAGTCTTTAAAATGATTAAAATACAATTATTAGTTTGCTCTTCCATTCTGAGTAAAGTAAACCGAAATTATTTGGACTACAACAGTTTATATTTCTTAATATTATTGCATAACCATGACAAATAACTTTTACAAAAACACATGACATAAAAAGTACTAAATTATCTCACCAATAATGGAACTCTTATTGCGATACAAACAAATTAAATTTTAACCATTCGCAGTGCTGCTTTTACATGTATTTAAGAATTCCTGCGTTTGTATTATCGTCCACTCAACCGACAGAACAAAGAGATCCTTATTCAGGAGAAATTTATTTTAATTACTGTTTCATTAATTTACTGTTTCTTACACTATTTCAGAATTTTTCTTGAGATTTAAAATTTACAAAAAAAAAATACATCTGTTACACGGGACCAATTTCACGGCGCTGCTAAGCACAAAAATGTGCTTAGCACAAAACAAGTCTGGCTTATAAAAGCAGGTTACCAGCCAAAACTCCATGTGATGTATACTGCTCTTGATTAGTATTGAGTTGTGGTTTGCTGTATATAGCATGAAAATCACGTGGAGTTTTGGCTGGTAAACTGCTTTTAAGCCAGACTTTTTTCGTGCTAAGCAATTTGTTTGCTTAGCAGCGCCGTGAAACATGAGGATGTCAGTAAGCGCGGTACAGTGACGTCAGAGATTACCCATATGGTGACCGCGCTCTCACATCATCTGTAATTAGGCGCGAAGATGAAGCCTACTCCGGCTTTGGTTGTCATGGTAGCGCTGTCATGAAATATGGAGAGGATCCCGCCATTTTTCTCGTCGTTATGTTAATTCGTTGTTTAGTACATTCAATTTGTGTGCAGTGTGCCCAACGTTTAATGTATAATTTATGGACTGAAAGTTACATTCATAAAAGCAATATCTATCGTCTGTATATCGAAATGAAAATTTTGGAAAATATTTAACATCTTCCTTTTTAAATGATTTTGAAGGGTTGTCATTCATTCCAACTCATGTCATTTGACAATCAATACACCAATATGTATTTCATAATATACAGACTTTAAGTTCCGAATATATGCATCTGTTGTTAATGAGACTTTGTACAAAAGGCGACAAAATTTTGCCAAAACCTTATGAAAAACACTTCTTATTTCTGGAACGAAAGTAAAAACTCTTAAAGACTTTGGTACTGAGTATTACAAAGTAAACACAGTTAAGGTTAAGTAAGGGGCGATGCTCATAACTTTACGTCAATATTACATTCTAATTTAATGTGTTGCTTGATTAACCATATTGCTTTTTTTTTTAAAAACCGTTGTCGCGAATTGTAATTTTAATGCAAGTTTTCCATTTGTTTTTTAAACCAAAGTAAAGGATTAGTATTAAGTACCGATTGTCGCTTAGCACCATTTGTTTACTTTTAGGGATGGGGTCCAGTGCAGAAGTTTGCCACTGCCGTAGGGATGGTCCCCAACCTCTCGCAAATTCCCGGGAAATCTCGCCCCATCACGGTGAAGAACGCGTCGCACTCGGCGAACACCCGCTCGCACAGGGCGCTACAAGGCGCCCTCCTGCGGCGGGGTTCGAACTCCGGGTAGGCCATCGCGCAGAAGATCAGGCGGGCCTCGTCGCTGCAGGACGCCAGGGGCGCCACCACGCGCCAGTCTGGCACCTTGGTGTCGGAAAAAGACTGGTTATAGGGCAGCAGGTCACGGCATCCGGGCTCGTCGATCTCAACCGGTACGTGAACGTCCAGTTCTTAAAGAGAGAACAAGAAGAAAATGAAAACTTGATAGACTGTTTGCATAGAGCGCCCTCACTGAGCATAGATCTTTGCTCCTGTACACAATCTATTACAAATTATAACGCCGACATCAGATGAAACGAAACGAAGCATTTTTGGTGCTGTGACCGTAAACATGATTCTGGTTCGGGACCGTTTTGGCGCTTCGGTTTACGCTGAAATGACGTCATTGATCCGACCCGACATGCAGTTGAATCGAGACTTGCGATCGGTTCACTAATACGTTTAAAAGATGGCGGAAAGATAAACAAGTTTTACCAGACGACGTTACCACAAAAGGGATTTAAAAAGTGGGTCTGCAGTCGGTTGGGCATGAGGAATTGATATCGCGTTCCCGGTCCCGCGGTGGGCTGCTCGACTCAACGCCATGTATGTTTACAAAGTGACGTAACGAACAATGTTTTGGTCCGGCGTTTTCGCGGTGCACTTGAAACATGTTTTACGCCCTGGCTGTGGCAGAAACATGTTCCAGTTCAAGGGCTGCCAAAAACGCGGCTCTGAAAACAAGTGCAAGTAAGCTAATACTCATAGTATCATGGATACCTAAAAGGTACGACTTTTTGGAACTTACTTGGTGTGTAAGAAGGTAGCGGCTCCGCAGTACCTGGGGGACAAATGTGAAAACGATTATTATTGGGTATAGGCCTAGTGAGAAAAAGACATCCGAGAACCGCACTAACCTTTTTGGCTTCAACAGTACTGTGCAATAACATCTGCATTTTGCGGACGCTATAGAAACGAATTGTTACTTACTTAGCTCACAATGTGTCCCCTGGTAACCGTCTTGGCATCCGCAGACGTACGATATGATGAACTCCGCATGGCCACGACACATTGCTCCGTTCTGGCATGGGTTCGGGCTGCACGGATCTACAGAGAAACAAAACAAGGCAGGCCCAGAGCTGGTCTCAGAGTACACCAAATTCAATTCAGCATCTTTGCATTAATTTAAGAGTGTACGGTTAAGTTCTAGTAAGTTTTCGTTACCAAGTTCTTACCAATATCACAGCGACGTCCGCCAAAACCTTCAGGGCAGCGGCAGTAAGCGCCATTGTTCATTTCGAAGCAGGATCCTCCATTTTGACACGAGAGGGCGCTGCACAGGCCTCCGTTGGGAGGAGCTAGAGAAGAAAAGATGGAATCTCAGAGAGTCCAAAGATACAAAATTATGTTGGGCTTTTTAAAAACTTTTTTGGTGAATCTAAGCGAGTTATTGTCCAACATACAAATTTTGCCTTCCCAAGTCTGTAATGCCATTATGTAATCACGAGTTGAAAAGACCCAAAGAATTTCAGAATGTAGAATAAATTCAACTGCAAACAGTTCATTCCAAAACGGGAACTGTTATGGCAAATTGTCCGCACTGTTAGATTGGAGATCTTTTGAGATGACATAAAAAAAAAGTGTAAAGAAGCAAGCGCAGTCTAAGGTCTGCATCACGTGTACACAAGGGTCCAATCAGATCATTAGTAGGTATGACTTTGCAAAGATTGTGTGGTATAATGGTTTAAGCATGACTCACCGTTAGTTTGATCCTGATTGGGCAACTTGAAGCAGATCGTTCCTGACTCCGACTCCGGTAGTGACTCGTTGCACAGCGCCCCCAGCGTCCTCGTCTCAACAGTGTCTCTGAGCGAGCCAACGAGAGCAAGACAAGCCGATCTGCACGGGAGGGTGGGACCTATCAGACTGCCGTCGCAAGAGGGCGCTAACAGGCTGCAGATGACCCGCCATGTCGTAAAATCACGGACCATTCCTGCCATGACTTCGTTGTTGAACTGACTCCAAATCTGAGATGTGTTGTGCCCGAGACCGAACCGATTTGGCGTTCGGGTGACGTTCGGAGACAAGCCCAACAGTACGCAGGTCTGGTATGGATTCGGGAAACACCCCTCCGTGACGTCATCGGTCATCTTGGGCGTGAGTGACACGGGCAGGGTACTCGACGACTGTTTTGTGACGAGACGGGTAGTCGACATGTCGGTGAACCTTGTGCTTCGTTTTCGACGAGTGGTTCCATTCATCGTTGTCGATAACGTAATCTCGGTTGTCATGACACCAGTTGAATTCGAATCTGTTCTTTGTTCACTGGTAACAGTAGTTGGGTTCGCAGTGGTCATCGTTTCACGTGTGACTAACGTTGTCATCTGATTCATAGCAAACGTATTTGTCACATCACTGGTACTCAGTGGGGCTGCACTGGTAGACGCTCTGGTCGTGCCTGTCTGGTCGCTGGTTGCCGGCATCATACTCGCTGTCGTCTGATCAGCTGTGGAGCTCATCTCCGTTGACTGGTAACCATCAGTCGTGATTGTGGTCTGGTCACGTGCCGTGGTCACATGACTCGGCGAGATTTGGATCGTCGACATCTGCGGCTGTCTGGTGGTAGGGGGCTCTTCGGTAACCGACTCAGATCCTGTAGAAGGCAGTAATATAATCGACCAATTATACTTCCAGATCAGTCGTTTACTGTGGTAAAACGGGGTGTTGAAATGCTGTTACCAGCACTTTACTCTGTTTCGAACATTAAGCAACATGTATCCCCTACCATAACTTTCCTATAACTTCGGATATAATGCTGTCATGGTCCTTACCATAAGATTACGGGCAATATGTGGTATGCATTATGTACATTGTGGCGAACCAAACCTAAATATGGTGCCATGACTGTGATGGTAATGTGCATCTCATATTTTTTTAAAGAGGTGATTCGTTGAGAAAGTGTCTTAGTTTTAAATAAAATATCTTAGGTTTACCAAACATCAGTGTCAATTTGATATTAGACACGTTGTAAGTTGTTTCGTCGATCATCACTGATCGAAGCTTCTTCCGGAGGAACTTCTTTGCCTCCTCGTAGACTCTTCTCCCAGACGTTTGATCTTCAGAAGGACGTGGTGTTTTCATCGGTTTCAATAGGACTGAGAAGACTACGATAACACTGCCGTTCCTAACCAAACATAATGTAATAAAATTGTCAAGAAAATGTGGAACTTTCAGATGTAGCTTTTTGGTATCTCTCTGACTTAAAACATATCTGTCTATTGGAAGAGGGAAGTATTTACGAAGTGGGTATGGTTCCAATAAGTTTGAGACTTTATGGTTCTTGTGATTTATGTGATTTCAAGCGCTCGGGACACAGTTTATACCAAATTATTCGCATTGGTTTCTAATTATTTTTTTACCTGAATTTAGAAACGCTGGTTGATCTATATACTCCACTGTAAGGACTTCTTTTAAAGGCTTCATCTATCTAGAAAAAAAAAATGAGACATCAAAATTATTGAATATAGTTAAACTTAATTGGCAACGATAATCATTGACACAGGAATGGTGGATTTTAAGATACTTTGAAAGCTGAAAAACTTACCGAGTTTATGAATTGTCTTTGAAGGGACTTGTAACTCTCCGATGTTGGGTCATCGTACGAGGAAGAAAATTGCAGGTTCTTGATTCTGTCTTCTCCTAACATCACCACTAGATAATTAAAGTAGAAAATAATAATCGAAAATGTGTCAGTTGACAATATTAATTTGTATTTGTTTTCAATCAATGAATAAGAATGACTTGGTGAATTTTATGTTATTTTCCTGTGAAACTTACCCCTTTGCATAGTGATGGTGGGTTTTCCAGATTCACCTTAAGTAAGAATTAGAGAAGAAACAAAATGCATATTAGTTAGATAAAATGAGTGCGACGGGACAGTTAATTCCCGTAGATGTTGGAGATTAATTCGTGGGTCTTTGGTATGCAAGAAGAACTATTTGGACCAGGGACACAACTGTGTTGTTCATATTGTACAATTTTAGTATTGTTTGTGTCTTGTTCATTTTTTTTTATCTTTCTGTAAAAAACACGACCTTTAAAAAGTTAGCGGACAATCATATCCAACACACTTTTTTTTCAATAATCGCCATAAGGTCGCGTCACGCTCACGCCCACTTCGCACGTGCGCGTTCTTAATAAAGACGCGCTTGGTATGCCGACAACCCTATTGGTCGAAGGAGCACTGACTGCGCGCGTACCACCTGGCGTAAGCGTGGCGCTACCTCGGCGAGGGATTCTTTTAGTTGCAGAAAAGTCTAGCCGGTGTAGCGTGAATATCCGACTCCATGAAATGTGGACTCATTGGTAGTACTGCGCACGCGTGAGTACGATACTATGCTATTTTTAGGATCGTTTCGGGAGAGTGACCTGTCACGTGCGAGGGATCAACCAATAATAGGGAAAAGGGGGTCCGATTTTCATAGGAGTCGGATTTTCATGTGACACCGGTTCAATTCGTAAGTGACTGCGTCATACACGCGTACGCACCACTGATTACTAGAGCCTATTGGCTAAACACGCCACTTTGTATTACTTCCAGGGCCAATGGTTCCAATGCTACTCTGTTGCAGTGGGCGTGGTTTTAAGTTGGGATGACGTCACACTTACGAACCGGATAGAAGGCAAAGAACAAATCTTCCAAACCTAGAATCTTGGAGATATCCTCGTATGTCATGAGTAGCACCAACCCCACCGCAACCAGGAGCAACATGACCGTAGCTATAGCCATGCTGCACAGGACCACAAACCGGGTCCTGCTACACCTCTGAGGCTCGTTTTCCTCGCCTTTCACGAACATGGTGTCCAGCTCCGCGTCGAATGACGCAAGCTTCATGCCGGAGTCCAGACTATTGCTTTCCACCGCCTCGTCCATGAGAACGACTGGTGCCGGACCCAACTCGTCCGCAGCCGGCCCCAGTTCGATTTCAATACTTTGTTGACCTTTATCAAGAACTGCCACCGAAGCGACATTTTGAAGCCCCGCTGGATCGTCTGGCTCCGGTGAACTCTTACTCTGGTCGGCGCCCGGCCTCGCCTCGGCTTCTTTTGAAAGACTCGTGGTGGTTGCGGTGTCGCCAGTTGAGGGCGCTAGTGGCTGTTGCGTTGCCGAAGTGCCGAGGGCGCCCTTCGGCTCTTCGGCTGGTTTCGGCGTCTCGTCTTTGTTGGCGCCTTGCACATCTGGTGTTGTTTCGTGAGTTTCGGCAATTACCGATAGAGGCGGACTAAAAGTAGAAAACTGCAAAAAATAGTGTTGACAAAGTGTAGTGTCTTAAGAATAACCATTTTGCATTCTGTGGTGTTCATGCCCAAACTTAAAAAATGACGACTACCCATAACGGACTTCACTTCAGCCAAAAAAGCTTCTGCCATGGAAAGAATGGATTTTAGGGGATCGGGAAGTTATAAAGTAGGCCTACAGTTTTTGAGAAAATACTGAACTCAGTAAATTTGAGTATAGCCTAATAACGAACTAGGGTTGCTTGTATTGATCTTCCACAACAGCTAAGGACTCGGAGCCAGTCTAGGTATTTTCTTAACAGATACACCTAGGTTCATTTTTACCTTAGTTGGGGTCGAGGACAGCTCTTTCTCTGGTGCCACACTATTGCTTTCCTCGTTCCCAGGGCTCCCATTAGCAGCAGCAACAGGAGCGACTGCTTGTTCCTTTTCGGCGGTACCGGCACTAATCGATTCTGCGTCTTTCGAAATCGGAGTGTCGGTATCGATAATGTCAGCCGTCGCCTCCGTACCAACAGTACTAGTACTTTGAGGCTGGTCGAAAGCCGACGACTGAGAAATAATAATAAAATAATAATAATTGGTGTTTTTAAGAAGTAAGTGGTTGTCGCTGGTCCTACCTGAATTTGGTCAACACTCAAATTTACTGGAAAAAATTCGGCTCAGCAGGAATGATTTATACAGGATGACCATTAAAGTCGTGCAAGGAGATCGCCTTTAATTTCTCAAAACTACTTAGCAAGAGAATTTCATCTTGATTGAGCATATCAATTATACTCTTGTGTATAATCAGTGAAAATGCCATGGAAATCCGTTCATGCAAACCAGAGATCTAACAGATTGTACAATGCTATTGGGATTTACACAGTTAGTGATATCAGTGCATCAGATTGTCATGGGCCTTTTTCACTCTGATGTAAATTAAGTTAACTGTGTAAATCCCATCCCATTGCAATGGGTGAAAAACCAAGATCTCTTGTTTGCGTGAATGAATTTCCATGTAATTTTTACCGAATATACAGAAGAGTACAATTCATATGCTCCATCAAGATGAAATACTAATGTTATTAAGTATTTCTTGAGAAATTAAAGGATATCTGCTTGCACAATTTCTTAGGGATGGGACACCCTGTTGTGTGCCCTTTATTTATTAATTTTTTCGGGGAGGATGGGCTATCCTTCCGGATGTTGGTGAATTTTTGGCAGCATTCGGAAATTATAAACTATTGAAACAGCCGCAGGAGAACATTGTTTTTCATACCTGAATAGGCGGAGGCGGGGGAGGCTCGGGTATATCGATGGCTGTTTCATGTATCACACTATTGCATTCCTTGGTTTCCCCAGCGCAACCCGAAGCATCCTTTGGCTGAACGACAAGGTTGTTATTCGATACCGTGTCCACTTTGGTATTCGGCGCTGCGGTATCGATACCATTAGGCGTAGCCTCCGTGCTTGCGTTGTTAAGCTTCGGTTTGCCAAATGTTGTCAACTGTAAAGAGATAATAACAAAGTGTGCTGAAAAAGCGCAGGAAAAAACACAATAAGAGAGAAAGCAGACCTAATAAATTAAGAATAAAGAGAAAGAAAGGAACCCCGTATGCTAAAATAAAAGAAACAAAAGCTTATGCAGAAACCACTCATTTGTTTTGTCTGGGGAATAAGTGCAATTTTGTTGACAGTTTTTGTGCTTTTGAAAAGGTCATGAGATTAAACAATCATAATAAATAAAAGTATTTTATTTCCCTTTATCAAAACACAACAAAGACACCAGCTTCATGTTGCTCAAATGACATGATTTTCCCACGCCTTAATCACAACAAAATCAGTGATGAAATATGGTGTATTAGTTTTGTGAGTTCCTTTTTCAAAAAAAAAAACAATCATTCTTTTGATCAGGAACAGGAAGTGTGAATTATTCTAGATACATAATAAAATAATACTAGTTGATTTCTCCCCAAACAATAAAAAGCCCTTAGTTCCGCATTGGTTTATTGTTCTGAGTCCCAATAGAAACATTCTTACTAAACTAAACAGGACATTGAATGTTATCAAGATTTGGATCAAGTAAAATAAGAACAATGCAATAACAAACTTAACGACTTGTATTTGTTCTGTAAACGATGTCTCGTGCGAACACGCCTTGTGTTTAAGTCATTAAGCATCTTTTTTGAGACAATGAATGGACAATTTCAAGTCAAGTTTTGTTGGTATTATCGATTCTTTGTTAACTTTTCTGACAACCGTGACCACAAAGTTTCACAAACATGTCACCACTTTTTTGTTGTCATTGAATTTAAAGGGCCCATGTAATGCCTTTTTTTTTTTAATGTTTAATGCCTTCCTTGAAAATGCACCTTTGTGTCTCATTTAACCTTATTTTCAATTTTTGTTTTGCCATTTTTCGAGGGTATTTTGGTGCCTTTTTTGTTTTTTATGCTAATGCAAATGTCCATATTCTTGAGTAAAAGTCTGATGTCATTTCAGGCAGAAACCTCTGTGCTACAGTTATTTCGGCACCAAAAGTTGCCAGATTTTGGATATTTTGCTGTCGTAAATTTTCTTTTTGTTGTTGTGATTCGTCGTTTTGTCAGTATACATGGCAGTGAGCCAATGAGCAAAGTTTTCTTACAAATATTTTCAAGGAGCAAATTTTTGGGTTCACAAATTTGACCAGAAAACCCCTAAACTGAATATTGTCTTCCTGAAATGATATCACAGTAACAGCGCCGCACTCAGTTGTCCGCAAAAGCATGGACTTTTGCATCGTGTAAAGAAGTGCACTTTTCAATAAAATATATCTAAAATGAATGTCAAATAGTTTTTATACATTTAAGAGGAGTAGAAAAGTGCACAAAATATGTCCTAAGAAAAATTCATGACATGGAACCTTTTATAACCTATAAAAGCGGTCCTCTAAATTTATATAACTTCTCACAAAACACTGTAAATTATGATCAATGATACTATGGGGTAAACCCCATTGAACTTCTACTCTGACAGCATTAACAAAGGAATTCCAGAAATGTTGAAAAGGCCAAGCATAGAACATTGCCAGTAAACGTCGCCCTAATCAGCTGGCAGACAAAATGGAAGATTCTACCCGTGACCTTGGGCCTATAAATTCAGGTTCGGTTGATGGTACCTTTAACCTTGATTCTCAAACCATTGTATCTTCCGCCAATATAAAAATGCCAAAAAAAACCCCGTTCAGTTGGTAACAAACAGGGCTGACCCGCATAATTAAACTTCAGACAATGTATTATTAAAGGGGCCATGGTATGCATTTCGCATCAAAACCCTACTGTGCAAATATGAACGCGTCTCAAGTGTACGAGATAATGGCACGACTTTTATGCCTTTGTTGCATTTTTCCAAATGCGTGTACATCGTTCCTACTATTTTTGACACCTGCGGGCGACTTTACTATGACGTCACTTAGTCTCAACTATCTTCTGAAGGCCAAGGAGGCCGTTTTCCTTGGCCATGAAGAACACAACACTGTGGAGGGTTACCAGCGAGATGTATCAATGGTCGCTGGTTCCCTCCTTAATCTCATCAAGTTTCGAAAATAATACTACCAATATTTTCACTTAGCGTCTGTAAAAATGTTGCCCCTCCCCCACAAAACAACCACCCACAAGGGACAATAGAGGAGCACAGTCTAAACATTTTAAACGACAACACATACCAGAGATCGAGATTAAAAAGAACTTAAAAGAGACACATAAACAAGCCGCCGGTGTTTATGTTTCATGTACGTGGGTACAAGCCCAAAAACTCACCAGGGAGTCATAAACGCTGCGACAAGTTCACCATATGAGTGGCTACATAATGGCGTTGACACTATACTTAACCCTCAAAATTCAACATAATGTGTTTGAAACAGTTTCTCAGTGTGACAAATTTTATGATTTTTCAAAACGAAACAGTGCATTGTGCTGGCTGTTTTTATATGTGATGTTATTCTAATATTTACTGTCGGGATTTTTGGAGTCTGGATACTATTGTTTCTGTGAGGCGTTTTCGTAAATATTGTTTACAAGTTTAAAGAGGCTATCTTGTTTAAGCCATTGAACAGCGCCCCTTGCGTTTGCTACTATATATTTTATTTCCTTTAAGCTTTTGAAGGGGTATCTGGGCTGTTTAACCCACGACCCAAAGATCGTTGGTGGAGAAGTTTTCAAATGTAGAGCAGACTTTGAATGTACAAGAGAAAGTTGGTGATTGGATGTCTTGAATCCTGAGAGTCAGGCAGGAAGCAAGACTAGCCGTCTTTTGCGCATGCGCCTAGGCGGACCAGTTCCAGTCACGTGATCAATGTTTACTGACTGAAAACTAAGGAGGCTATCTGTGTGTTTATTAAAACTATAGGTATGACCTTCAAACATTTGCGGTTACATAGAATCTGATCTTTCTATGTTTAGCCTACAAGAATATCTGTCAAGAATTCGAAACACTCATCAAGTTTTATTTAGAAAGTGAAAGTAAAACGTTATGACACACACAATGTATGTACAAAACAAGCAAGACTTTTAACACACACACCCTTCATAAAAACTTGATTCATTTCAACAATGTCGAGGTCCGAGTAAGTCAGATAAACATTTTCTTTCTTTTTTCTTTCAAAAATAGAAACTGTATCCGGGTTTGTGACCGCGCCATGTTCGCGCACTCAGCCCGCTGAGACACAAATCAACGGTAGCAGATGCCCCACATACTCAGCCTATGACAGCTGGAAACTCTGTGTGTTTTCCCGGGCCATTTTCGGTTCTTTCCCTGCTAGTGCTGGGATTAATGTTTGAGAAGGTGGGGTGTATAGTTAAAGTTTCATACTGGAGAAGTGGCACCAGACTGTTAAGTGTCTTGTTACAGGTGTGACCTAGGGTTTGAACCCAACTGGGGTCGGGGCAAGGATTAGGTGTTGAGCCCAACTGCGAATAGGTCATGTGTGATAATCTTTTGATTTATATAAACACCGTTGTGGAGAAAGTCTTGGCGCTGTACGCGATTGTCCTAGTACAGGTGGAAAATCACCTGTTGTTGATCGAGTGGATTCATGGTTGGTTAGCTGGTCGTGTTGTTTATTTGTTGGTTGAGCAGATATGCATTCAACAGTGGATCTTTAACAGTGGAGGACAATATGGTCCACGATTGGGTGAAGGTCCACAGTTGGAAATCGTTTAGAAAACCTATCTGGGCTCTTCCCAAGTGAATTGAACAACAAAGGACAATGAGGCCGGTCCATAATTGCATGAACGTCCTCAGTTTGAAATCATGTACAAAAGTAATGGAGGGTTCTTCCCAAGTGCGTTGAACAGTACAGGACTTCGGAGTCCTCGGTTGGAAATAATGTACAAAACTAGTAAGGGTTCTATTGAGCAATAGAGGACATCGGGGTCCACGATTGGATGACAGTTTGAAATCACGTAGGCCTATACAAGGCCAAGGAGGCTTCTTTCCAACTGAGGACGATTGGGTCCATGATTGAGTGAGGGACCACGGTTGTGTACAAAACGATGAGCGTTCTTCCCAAGTGGGTTGAACAATAAAGAGGTCACTAGGGACCATTATGTGATTCAAGTCCTCAGTTTGAAATCATGTACAGAACCAATGATTGTTCGTCCCAAGTTAGTTGAACAAGTCCCAAGTGACATTTAGCAATAAAGGACATAGGGTCATTGATTGGATGAAAGTCAACAGTTTGAAACCATGTACAAATCAACGAGGCTTCAATCCTTCACAAGTGACCTTGAACAATAGAGGATCAGGATGATAGGGTCCACGTTTGAGTGAAGGTCCACGGTTGGAAATCATGTTAAAAACCTCTGAGGGTTCCTCCCAAGTGAGTTAACCAATAGAGGACAATATGGTCCATAATGGGGGGAGGCTTGTAATTGGAGTTCGTGTACAAAACCAATTGCAACGGGGTCTTCCCACCAAAAATGTTAACGAGTATAAATAATAGGAGGAGTGGACAACACGATGTTCACGGTGCCTCTGGTGCTTGGTCGGTTTCTGTGTTGGTCCTATTGTTGGATTTCTGTGTTGCAGACTGATCCCTCATTGCCATGATATGCTGACACCTAGCATGTTTGTGAAGTTTCCACCGTTAGTAACCCGAAGCGCAAAAGCTCGGGGAGAAGTCCCGGGTCGAAATACTTACGTTCCGAGGGGAGGGGCACTATTCCCAATTTGTCACTCCACCAGGGTCGTACGACCCTGAGCTACGTGCCGTGTCAAACCACACGTTCCTAGGGACATCTGGGCATACTGGACGCATATGCGCCATGACAAGACTTTGATGTTTGAGTATTTGCGCTCTATTTCCTGAGTGATAGGAACATAAGTTTGCAGTATAGTTTAAAGGGAAAAACAACTGGAATATCAGGAACGAACGGATGTAGCACCATTTTGGAAGTGTTGGAATGATGAAATGAAGCCTGGGCGATATTTGTTATGCTCTAGGTTTTTATGTGGTTTTTTTTTTTGAAATACTTTAAAAACCAAGCCCGTATTAGTCACGTGATCAATTTAAAACAATAGACCTAAAAAAAAAAGCCCTATTTGTCAGGGTAGGAAGTGAAAAGTGTTTTTTTTTAATTCTAAAATGGAGTCGTCGTTTTCAAATATTATAATCACAACTGTAATATCAACAGTTAGGAGCGCGGGAAAATTCAATGCACCAATACCTGAGTTTCTCTTAAACCTGAATCCAAAACACGTAAGTAAAATCTGTCCCCATTGGTCAATCCCCAAGGCACATATAGTGACCCAGATAACTGTTACATGTTCCCAAAAACTCAGTCAGAACACGCTCGATGTACCCATCCATCATCGAGTAATTATTATGTCAATCTGCAGCAAACAGCCGTTGGCGTTGACAGACAAGAAAGTTAACCACAAACAGAAATGATACTTCAATATTACAGCAACCCCAATCACTTGGGTCGTATACATTTTCATTTTTGTATAATTTATGGAAGAACTCATGCCAAATGTACAACCCTACGTCCGGGTGGGAGTTTGAATAATAAAAACCAGCTAGTTCCTCATTTTTTATGCCTTAATCAACAAAGTTAGAGGACCTATCGGGGCCGATAAGCCAGGTGTCGTAGATCCAAACATTCCTGACGGGGCCTTTAGGGTGGTCCTTTGATGGTCTTTGGGATGGGGGTGGAGGTGGGGTGAGGTGGGGTGGGGTGGGGTAAGGGTGGGTTGGGATGGGGCGTGGTGGGGTCGAATATGGGGAAGGGGCCCATAGTAAGATCGATTTACGGAAAGGAATAGACGAGAGGAACTGAGAATTCATCGAGAACAATCCATGTTTGGCGTACTATGCATTTCCACAAGCAAAATATTGACCATTATCAAGTCTTGTATAAATCTCTCCCTATACTGAAATGAAACCACTTTCTTTTCACACGATCAAGGGGAAAACAGGCAATTTAGCTCATCTTATCTGTCAAGAATCGGGAAGTTTGTATATTTTTTTGACACTGGATACTTTGCCCAAAAGTGTGAGAACCGACAGTTTTCCGTGCGGTATGTTTATTTGAACTTTACTGACACCACACAGCGCGGACCTTGTAACAGCCATGTAAGGAGGTTGGGAGGTGCCATGCCAACTGATTACATTCTGAGATAAAAATGCAGGACCACAGCAAATTGGATGGCACCTTTAACACTCCGTACAAGAAATTAAAATATATTAAAAATATTATGTGGCCCGCTAGTACTCTACTGTATTTCATAAAAACAACATAGGGATACAGTACATGTTATTGACTAGTCACTGTTTAAAATTTCACTTCATTTGCATAGTTCTATTCACAAGTTATGATACATGTATTAATAAAAAAAAATCACAAAACTCGGCTGATAGACTACTTATCGTTCTACGAACTGACGAATACCCATTTAATACAACGAAACATGGCCGTTTTCCCACCCCCGTCAATAAACGAAAACTTGCAAAGGAAAACAGACAGATACTGCCATCAATATTTCAGAAAAAAATTACTCATATTCAAAACACAAAATCTGACAGCAAATGTTTTAGAATGCGTGTGTGTAATCTGTAATTCTCACTCAGCTCAAAAGCTTCCAATGGCATTATAAATGGACAGCTTTACCCCCAAAAAAGCTTCTTTAAGTAAAACATGCATAACTTCTGATAGAATGGATCAATTCGGTAAGTCTTTTTTTTTTCAGATGTGTGGAAGAACATGCTCTCTTAAAACATACTTCATTTGTGTGTTAAAGTTGATTGCTTTTTAAGAAAAAAAAAACATTAATCCAGGTCCTTCCTGTATATCGCAATGACGGGCTCAATACTTTCCTGAACTGAACCCAACTCCGGAACTCATATAGATTATATTCAGAGTTATTATTGCCCCATAAAAATATGGCAAGTATATAGACCGAGATATGATCAAGGAACACGTCTCATGTGAACTGTGGGTCTACGCACTCAGTGTAAATTGGATCATACATGCTGCGTATGGCGCCGTAGGCTATGGACCAGATTGTGTTGCATGTAAATTGTTGTACATGCCTAGGCTACATGTATTGTGTAGTTAGGGAAATGTGATTCCATCAAATAGGCTGATTCTGATAAAAAAAAATTCGGATGACAAAAATGCCGAACGAATGTGGCCCTTTCTGTGTCGATAAATACTTGTTAGTTTGCAAAGACTGGATATTAACACCAAAATGTCAATTATTAATGGTAATATCATACAGTCACGTCGTGGGAAATAATCACCCTATTAAGTAAATTCAAGCTCATAGCTAAAATGGGCAGAATGTTTCTAGCTTGCTCGAGGGAAGTTGTTAGAATTATTTGGAAAATAATCACTTGCAATTTTGGTTCAGATTTCACTCCAAAAAGAATCGACGCTGTAGAAGAAAAATATAAGCTACACTCAAAATCAACTCTTGGATTCTCATAGCCGATTTGTTATTATTATTTTGTTTCACTTTCTACAATTACTGTGCAAACATTTTTCCCTACGCTTTCCCGACTTACGACTTTATTGTTTCATGGACAGTGTATTACTTTCAGAAATACAAAGCACATTTCACGTGTGATCTCTATATGTGTGATCTCTACGTGGATATATAGGGTCATGTGTGACTGTCTTCCTATCCATGTTCAATCTTGGTACTTTGTAATTTACCATTTAAGTATCATTAAGAATGACTTCAAATGACTTTTAATTTGCTGGGTATATGTCATCTATTCATAATCACTCTTGGATGACGACTGCACTAAGGACTCAGGAGTGCATAAAAACATGGATGTCAGATGTAACCGGGACAGGAAAAAAGTGGACCACAATTTTAAAGAATGGCCTGTCTCTGTAAATAGTGGGACACTATGAACGCTGGCAAAGAAAATGTCTTACCTGAATGGGTTCCTCCATCGTTCTTCTAAAACTAAGACTCCCGAACTATCCTTGAAACAATCCCTCTGAACTTGAACGCGATGATAGTTAGCACCAAGCAACCAATCTCTCTACATCAGCTCCGTCACTAGCTGCCCTAGCTAGCAACGAGAATTCTTTTCAGGTCTTGAAGTGACCCCGACTAAATTTCGTCCCTCCGGGCTAGGCGAACTATTCGTCAAATGGTTGGTGAGAGAAAGAAAACTCGGCACAGATAGAGCAACGAAGTGATCCGTGGAGCAAGAATCATGCCAAAGACTGTCAACCTCGATCGAGCACAGGGGTCAATCTGAATAACGCGCGTGATCGAAGGTACGAGGTTGGTCGCCCTCCCACGCAGAATATGAATGCGCTGCTTTGATTGGCTCAAGATTTGTACTTTTGGGCATGATGTCATAAGTGCGTTCACCTCTATATAGAATAACATAGGATTGTTTCAAGATCTTATGGGGAAACGTAAGTTTAAACATTTTCTTAGTCACTGTTTTTATAAAGTGCTTCCTCGATTTAAAAATAATAAATATATTGTTAGAAGGCTATATCAACAGTGGGCGTTAACATAGTTACTATCTTGATTTACGACTTCCTCAATCATAGAGGGCGCTTCAAAATATGCAGTGAATTATAATTTCAACCGTGGCTTTGTTAAAGAGGAAACGCAAAGCACTGTGGGTACTACTGTGATCACTACGCACATGGACCTAAATTCTTTACCCACGTGATGATAATACGCGTACAGAATGATGACCCCGGGTTAAATGAAATCTATCTAAAAGAGAGCTGAAAGAAACCGCCGTCGTTGATGGCGCTCTTTGCCCTTCGTATAGGCCTGGGGTGCAGGGTCAACCCTGCATTTTTATGTCACTGCTATCACTTAATACAACAATTCTTTTCGAGCCATATTGTGGTCACAATGCAATTCAATCCGTATAGACTTCATTAACCCCCAAATGACTGTAATTACTGGTCGGTCCAAGGCTAATCCAAGTCAGTTCGTGTTTCAAGTTTAAAAATAATTATCAAGTATTTTATTTCTTCACGTGAAATTAAACAAATTAACTTCAAATATTCCGACGACAAGGCACATTCTTTAATTGGGTATTTTAATTGTTCATTACAGAAACAGGGATATTCTTTTTTGTTTTAATTTGCAGTAAGATAAAATTTGGTAACAAAAGTACCGAACCCTTCTCAGCATACGGTAAAATATAAATGATAATAATGATGGTATCGGATGTTACATCTCTGTCGTCACGTTCTACATGGAGCGCATGCGCAGATGTGGTCAGATACCACGCCCAGCTCAAACTGCTGTACTTAGAAGTAGCACCTCGGGTAGATTTTATCATTCCTTTGCTTCTGCCTGTAAGCAGCCAGACGCACCAAGAAGCTCGTTCATCTGATTCTCAAGACGCTGGGAAGATTCGATTTCAATCTGAACTCGGACCTCGGAGCAAGTATGTTACTCAACGTTTCATGTATTAATGATCTATCCTGGCAACTGGCCTAAGTATAAATTCAATATTGGTGAAATAGACAAATAGATACAAGATTTTCTTAAAATTGCCGAATTTGGCAATATATACAGACAACGCTAGCACCAGTATTGTAAGACCGTAAGGAAAAAACTGTGAATGACATTTCCCCTTCCGCTGTACATGCATTTAATTCTCATAACGATTTGGGGGTTGTTCGTTGCCACCGTATGGAAGCGGATGGCTCTTTTTAATCTGTTCGTGGTCTTTTCTTCTTTCTACATTTTCCGTTCTTTCCCTTTTTAAAATTAAAGATCTCTTTCAAGGATGAAGATCTTCGTCTTCAGTGTGTTTATCGTCTTGTGCCTGAGCTTGGTCTCTGCGGCACCTTCACATCCCGAAGGTAAATAACAAGGAACATTCTTCCATTGAAAACGGGTAAATAAGTAGAAAATCCTCTGCATACTAGGACATACACGGATGAAAAATTCATCATAAAAATGGATGTCTTACCTTCTCTCCTCATAGATGTGTACAAGGAGGAAGTCCAAAGGGCCAGAGTTGGTAAGTTATTAATTAGTGTATAATTCCTGCACTTGTTCGTTCGTACTAACCTCTCCACCCAGCATAGCTAGTCGTCATTAACAACAACGACAAAAGCGACAACAAAGACACAAGGGTGGATCCGGGGGATGGGGGCCATGCTCCCCCCAAACGAACTCAATTTTTTAAAAGTGATGTCGCAATAAAGGCAGGCACTGCGTACACACCGTCTATTCCAAAAAAGAAAATTGGTTAAAGTGGTCAGAAATAATGCCTCAGATCTCACCACAGAGCATCTAGAATCCAAAACTTTTTTTCGGGGCCCTTAAGCGAAACCCTTGCCGGGATTTTTTTAAAACCACTTTTTGGGGGACCAAAATTTGTTTGCTCTCCCAAAAAATTGTGTTCTGGATCCGCCCTTGCAACGACGACAACGACAACGACAACAGTCAGACAGTCTAGGTACAAAGGTGGCTGTAGGCTGGCCCTGGGACCAGCAAATCTAAAACAGCACTTTGTCTAATTTTTCTTCCTTGCATCTTCACCCCCTACCCCCCCCCCCATATAATTTCGAAAAAAAAGTGCTCCGTCAAACTTAGCATCAGTACAACAAAATACTTTTTTTTTAATTATTTTTTTTACACAGTATTCTGCACCAGCCACAGCCAATGCACTCTTCCTGGTGCAAAATGCCTCTTTCACAAAGGCTACCCTGGGAAGTGCTACCCTCCAGCGATTGGATAACCCTTGAACTTTGAACCTTGAACTTGGAGAACAACGATACTCCGGTGTTGGCGGGTTTAAATTCGGTGTTTTGAGTTAAATCGTATGTCGTAGGTAAATTATCACTTTCATAATAAATAAGGAGGGCATTGTCGTCTGCATTTTATTGGGTGATTGGGCTCAACCCCATCCCCGTTTTAAAATGTGTTTACGGTATTAACTGTATAACGTCAAACCTGACCCCAAGGTGTGCGTATTACTCTGACGTCATGATGACGAAGGAATGGTTCGTGGCTACATGTAGCACCCAACAAAATATTATTATTTCGCACAGTGTAGTCACGAACTACGGAACAATAGTCTTTCGTTTGCTCTGAGCAATGCATTATTATGCCCATGCAAATTTAAAAAACCCATAAAACGTTTATTTTTAGAAGATGAGCATAATGTTGAATAAACTCCAAGGACGTACGTTAGAGGCTCCGTCAAACTCGTCCATTGAATATGTTGTTTCTATTTTTTCAGTAGCCATACGTTTTATGTGCAGCCCCAGAAACGCGCTTCAAATATGTCCTGCATATAATTATTTGTCGAGAACATGACATATTTTATGTAGATGAAGTCAATGGCAGCAGCCAACGAACGAAGGCTAGGCAACTTCAATATGTTAACATTATCATTCCAGTTCTAGAATTTAGATTTAGACCGATTGTTCAACTGTTAATTCTGGTTATGAATTTGTCAATTTTCTATCTCTATTATGCATGATTCAGTACTGGTTTTAGTTTAATCAATATGGTGATTTGAAGGGAAAAAACACGTTGGAAATAAAATTACGGTAATCCAGATAAGTTGACTACTATAGTTTGGGAAACATAATTTCTAAAATTTTGCTTTTCTTTTGGCGAGATAATTTATCGCTACAATAAACCCGGCTTGTGTATTTGAACAACACAACACACAATACGAACAAAGGAAAAGGAGATATGAACGTTACAATTATCTGTTCTTAATGATCACCCCCGTTCAATCCTGCTAAGCCATGCCCCTTTATACGTCCCAACTTGTTTGTGTTTGGCTGATGTGTTATTACCCCCCCCCCCCCTTAGGAAGCACAAATAGTCCCTGTTCTGAAACTTCTCACCGGCCAATGCCTAATATCAAAATTAAATCGATCACTCTCCATGGTTACCGGTGATCGATGAATATTGATTCCAGAAGAGCAAAATTAACACGTCATCCTTATCACAAAGTTGTGAAATAGCGCCCTCTTGCGATGACCAAATACTATTTCTTTGAGACTGGCCCCGTCAAAAAGCGTGGCTACTTATTATAGGTTAATCATGATACCAGTCTAGGTCCCAGTCTCAGTGCTGTCGCGCTGTCATTCGTCCAAGTTTTCATCATGGAGTTTCGCACGACAAGCGTGATGTCTCTACTTTTGCCGGTATTCCTTTCCGTTGTTTTGATGTCCTGCGTCTCGGCAGACAATGACGATCACGGTGAGGTCAAGAACGAATACAATGAGTTGATGTTCAATCATGCCATCGGGAAATCGGCGCATTTCATCATGTTTTTCGCTCCTTGGTAAGCTTCGAAATACATACTCAACTTTATTGTGGGGCGACTTGAACACATCATATACATTTACTGCGATAGAATAGAGGTAAAGTCGCCCCAGTTTGACTTAGGCCGACACAAATTTAATGACATTTTTACAAATTCACTGTATTTTGAATTTTTGTCTTATAATTTGAACCGATGTTGATTGTGGTTTCAAAAGTCACTCTGAATTATGGTTTGGGTAAAATTTTGTCAAATTTTGTTTGGCAGTTGACTCAAAAAGCAGTTGAATTGAAATATTTCCTGAGTGGGACTTTATTTAATATTTTTTATGCAGTGCCATTACTGCCAGCAGTGTGGCCATCCTTATGGCAGCCATATGATATAATGGATTTCAACTGCTATCGTTACGGCATGGCAGTCAACTGTCTGGTTCCCTGACCTTGTATTCAACGTCAGGATCTTTGGCTATACATGCTATAGTATTGGGAACCAGACTATCAACCGACATGACTGAATGGTTCTTGGATTATATTTCCCTATAAAAAAAAAATCCTCTAAAGCCACGGAATACAACGAAGAAAATGCAATCTACTAAAGTAAAGAACACTATTAAAAGAAAAAAAAATTGTAATTTTTGAGTTAAAACTCAAATCATTATTTAGATAATAAGAAAAAAAAAGAAACTGCAGCAAATGCCTGACATTAATGTGTGTGTTTATTTGTAACAAGATTGCCAAGAATCAACTTTCACTGCAGTGATAGACTTGTTTGGCCTGGTTGAATAAAGTATTAAAAAAAATTCCTTTTAACTGGCAAAATGTACACCTGTGGTTCAGCTGTGTGCAAACGTCAATAAATCAAAGCGTATAAGGCAAAGTGAAAGCCAATCAGTTGCTATGGTTATCTTGGCGTCTGTGGTATTTTATTGATCCATAAATGAAATCGTGAACAGCGCATCTGTCTCAAAAAGTCAGAGCAAACAGGAGTAAAGTGTATGCGCATAATTAAATTTGTATCGGTGCATACTTCATACAATCATTACTACATGTATATTGAAAAAGGTTTCAGACTTCTGCAGATATGTGAAATGTTATTAATCTTGCTTCAGGACTTAAAACTATGTAATAAAAAAATGTTTAAAAGTTTAAAAAAGAAAAAGGACACATTGTTCATATTTTTATTTCTATTGATTTTTTTATTTGCATTTCATTTGCATTTTATTTGAAATATGCTCAGCCTTTGGCTGTCCAATCAGATGATGACATGCAGGCATTATTTGCATATATGTAAATTGCAAGTCCACGTGTAACTCCAGATTTGAGCTAAGAGCAGTTGTAGTAATATGTAAAACCTCTGTTGGGAAGTGGGTTAGCAATTTTGGGAAAGGGGCTCTTCCTAAATATTTAATCGTTGTCAGATATCCTAGGTGAGCTGGCATTGAAATCTTAATCATTATCAAGGTACTAGACAAAAACTGTTTTCCTGTTCACTTATGGCACAATTTGTTTTTTTAATTTGAAGGTTTTTTTTTAAAGTTTGAATAACTCTGTAATAAATTATTGAGGATTTTGATTTAAAGATTATATTATTTCTGAATCTGAATGGAATTATCCCCAAAAATATCCTGTCGTGTTTCCATTAACTTTATGCTGCTGATTTTGTGTTTGTTCATTCTAGGTGTGGACATTGCAAGAAGTTAGCGCCAGTATGGGATCAACTTGCTGAGCGTTTTAATACAGATGAATCTGTGCCAGCCACTTATGCAAAGGTATCGATTTTTTTCTTTCAGTTTCTGTGACGAAGAAGCTCAATTAAATATTGGACTAAATTCCTTCATTTTGGGTTGAACAAAGAGTATTGAGTGATGTTATTTTCCATTCTGTGAATGCGGTATCCATCCCTGTATTTCAGTTCTCCCAATTCCATTCTATTGACAATTCCCTTAAGATTTTCCTCACATTTCTCCACAATTCTCCAAGATGAGACACAAACTGGGCAAAAATTAACCAGCACTGCTGATCTTAAGCCATTACCTACTGTGCATAAGACATTATGAAACCTCGTGACTTTGCATTGCAAACCTTTCTTTAATTGCATACATTTACATAATTTTGGCAGTTTTTCACCCCTGTAAATTCTTTCTTAGTACGGTATGCTGCTTTTTCTTTTCCACTTTCCAGTACTGTTGTAGAAGACAAAAAGTTTCAGAAAGAGCAAAATAATCTCCATCATTTAATTTGTTTTCATTTTGGATAATTTTCCTAAATAGGTTGACTGTATCAAGGAGACCAAGGTTTGCCACGAGAACGATGTCAAGGGATACCCAACTCTCAAGTTCTTCAACCCAGGCAAGCAGCCGGCCAAATACACCGGCAAACGAGACTTTGAAAATCTGGAGAGGTTCATGCTTGAACAACTTGACAAGAAGAAGGTGAAATAATTATGCGAATGGACTTGAAACATAACGACATAACACTTTGTTTTCTTGTGCACTTCCTTATGAGAACGACGTGGCACTCATTTCCAGTAAAAAGTGTCAACAAAGCATGACATCATTCATTTTGACTTTTAGTTTTAGGAGAGATTTTATTCCAGTTGTGAAGTGAAAATTTTCTCAGACCATCTGCAAGTTGATGTTCTACACATGTTACAAGTTTGAAGTTGATCAGAATTATAAAGAGTCCAAAGTGCGGTCCAGAATGAAAACATGTACAAAATGTGAAAGAAAAAGGAAAAAAATAATCGCAACGAAAATAAGAGCTGTTCTTAACTGAAATATGAAACAGCCAAAAAACTTCCGTACAGAAACTAGAAATGTTTCCAATTTTTGGCTTTTTAGGAGAGTGTTCCCCAACCTCCGGAGGCCAAACATGGACTCTACGAGCTGACGGAAGACAACTTCAAGGGGCACATTACCGAGGGTGACCACTTTGTCGAATTTTACGCCCCCTGGTGCGGACACTGCAAGAGATTGGCGGAGCCATGGCAACAGCTCGCAGAAGGGTTCTCACACAACGAAGCCATCACGATAGCAAAGGTGGTTGATTCCTCTTCAGATTTCAAAAACCAAAAATTAAAAAGACCAAAACTGTGTCGTGTAGATGTATGTTGAATTATGAAAAGAGGCATTGCAATTTTGACGCCAAATTTCATCCCCGACAGATTGACTGTACAGCACATAGACAGGTCTGCAGGGAACACAACGTAAACAACTTCCCAACACTCAAGTACTTCAGGGACGGCAAGGAGGTGAGTCCGCTGCAGACACCCCCCCCCCCCCCCCTCCAACCCAGCCAGCCACTTCTTAAATCAGGGGAAAGCTTGAAAATGAGCTTTCATTTTTCCAGTCGGGGAAAACTCAAGAGAATTTGGGAAAACACACACAAACAAGGGAAGAGTCTGAAGCTCCACCCATTCAAGAGTTGAAAAATAACATCAACGAATCTGATTGGTTAACAGATTGACACCTACAAAGGTGGGCGTGACCACAAATCCCTGAAGGAGTATGTCACCAGCAAGATGGCTCCGCCCAGCACCGAAGCCCCGCCCACTCAAGACATCAAGAAGGAAGAAAAGAAAGTGGAGGAGAAGAAGATAATGGACGGGCCGGCGGGGCAGACTGAGCCTCGGGAATCTAAGGTACCCATTGTCGGTATTTGTTTATGCAGAGAGGAGTCTGGGTGTTGTACAAATTTTGGACACCTTACTCTGACTTTGGACGCATTGATTTATCAATTATTTCCAGTTGTAGTCAAGTCTATAACAGGTCCTCTAAGTCCTCACAAATCCATTACAAGTCCTCACAAATCCACCACAAGTCCTTACAAGTCCACTACAAGTCCTCACAAGTCCACCACAAGTCCTTACAAGTCCAGACAAGTCCCCCAAGTTGTCACAAATCCATCGCAAGTCCCCACAAGTCCTTTAAGTCCTCACAAATCCATTACAAGTCCTCACTAGTCCACCACAAGTCCTTACAAGTCAAGACAAGTCCCCCAAATTGTCACAAATCCACTGCAAGTCCCCACAAGTCCTCTAGGTCCTCACAAATCCATCACAAGTCCTCACAAGACCCAGCAAGTCTCCTAAGTCCACACAAGTTCTGAATACCCCACAAACTCACAAAACTCCTGGCTAATTTTAAATTTTCCTTTCAGGTCGTCATATTAACTGAAGATAGTTTTCCAGAGGGCATCTCGAAAGGCCTCACATTTGTCAAATTCTTCGCACCTTGGTAAGTCCAAGTTATAAAATGCGTCCTCCCTCCTTTGCTCTGCATTAAGAAGTAAAACAAGTTAGAGGATGGCCACAGTTTCTTCTAAGGCCGCATCCAAATCTCTCGTCTAGGGTTATGGCTAGGTCCTTGTCCATGGCAACTATGTGAGAACAAACCGACAATAGACATAGCCGTAGCTCTGGAGGCCCGTTTCAGACATGGCCTAACTCTGAACACCCCTGAGGAACACTGCCCTCTTGTGATTAATTTTTGACCGTGACCCCTCTTCATAACCTCCTTCATTCCAAACTTTACCGTCGCCCTCCTGTATCCCTCTAGTGATTCATTTCAGATGAATGATGATGATGACCACTATGTTTTAAAAGGTTTTTGTAGGATTGAGGAAGGTAGAGCCCAGCCTCTGTTTACTTTACACTGGGCTTAATGCACCTTGAAACTTGGCAGGTACAAAGAGTGTGCCATTGGGTTCCTGCACAGTGGAGGATTTTGAAGGATTCAGGAAGGCTCTTAGCAAAACTGCTTGTAGAGTTAGAAATGAATGTCTGGTTTCCTGTCCTCTTTTTGCAGGTGTGGTCACTGCAAGAAACTAGCTCCCACCTTTGAAGACTTGGCTCGGAAAGTCGAGGACAAGCCAGGCCTTACAGCGGCCAAGGTGGATTGCACGGTGCACAAAACCACCTGTAGTAAACATGAGGTAAATAACACCTGTTCAAGACTTATTTTCAGAGTCGTGCCAAACCAAATAGTATAAGGAGCTACTTGGGTTGCCCCAAATAGGTATTGGATTTAGACAGGTGATCTCCATGTATTTATTTTCTGTCGACTGGACTCTGGAGATATTCCAGACTGCAACAGTCAATTCAGTGACTGAGATAATGTTTATTCCCCTGGATGGGATGCCAGTCCCTTGCAGGTTATTCCGCAGCTAATGCCGGTACCCATTTATACTCCTGGGTGGAGAGAGGCAAGATGGGTGAAGTGGCTTGCCCAAGGACACAACATGTGGTCAGCAGCTGGAATTGAACCTAAGACCCCTGATTTGTCATGAATCCTGACTAAAGCCCTGTGTACCTTGAGGCAACCTGATAAAGTGGCTTCCCAAGGGACACAAGTGACCTGAAGCTGGATTCGAACCGCGAACCCTTTAAGCATGAAATAGAAACCCTAATCAAATCCCCTGATAATAATAAATAATTTATGCATATATGCGCATCGCAATTATTATCCCTGTTCATCAGGAATGAGACCCTGCAGCAGCTCAAGATCATCGCAATCTGGTCTCTACCTTCACAGGTACCCATTTATACTCCTGGGAGGAAAGAGTCAATCGTAGTAAAGTGTCTTGCCCAAGACCACAAGCACCATGTTCCCCGTCAGGATTCGAACCATGTACCACGACACACCAGTCGAACAACGTAACCATTGGACCACAGCACTCTTGTGGTCAACAAAATATGATTGTCAAAAAGTGAAACTCCATTTTTCCTCTTTTTTTTATTTACAGGTTAAAGGTTACCCCACCCTGATGTTATTTAAGAATGGCAATTTTGTGGAGAAATACAGCGGAAGTCGCTCTCTGGACGATATGTATTCCTACATGCTCCGTAAACTCAAAGAATCGCAGAAGGAGGAGTTGTAAGACATCCTTCACAGTCGCTAATCATGGTTTTATTCTTAAAAGTAGTGGCCAGATATTTTTCTCTTGTGAAAAGATGCAACTGAATGTGAGAGTGATAAAATCAAATGTCCAAAATTAAAGGCTGAAGTCACTTTAATAGCCCATTCAAAATCAATTTGCCAACTTAACCAGTTCAAGTCGGAGGACGTGTATACACGCAAAGGTTTTGCAATACATGTAATTGGAACAGATGATAGATAAACACGCAAGGAGAGAGGCCGGAAATATCTGTCAGCGACCCACTCGCAAGCGAGGCAGGAAATATCAGGGTGTGCTACCTGCAGATGATGGCCTGAAACCGCGGCATCAATCTTTATGAAAAACAATTCTGCGCATGGGTCCGGTCGATGTCAAAATAATCCCGGCACAAACTGGTTAAATTTGCACAACAGAAAATACCGAAGTGAAAATGTTCATGTGATCAAGTTTGCTGTGGGGAAAAAAAATTACTGTTGATAGTATTAAACAGCTTCCATCTGAAGTAAGCTTCTTATCTTTTACCAAACACAATTTGTTGGCCTAAAGGCACAATTTGTAAGTCGTAATTTGTCAAGCATTACTCAAACTTGTATAAGGTTTTTACCTTTTGATAGATATGTGCACATATTTTCAAGTGTTTATAATCAAAATATTGCATTTTATGGAAGGAATGTTGCATCCTGTCTTCTTTTTTTCAATATAATCCCAATGAAGGTAAATCGTGGCAACAATTTTGAAAGGACATGAATCTGGGACTGAGAAACATTTCCACTTATGTCGGAAAATACTTTGAAAATGCACTCAACTCTCCATAGACTTTGTACACAACCAAAGTGGCGTCTGGATATTACATTCTTTCCATTTCATTTTTGGCACTGATTTGTACTTCAGCTTGCCAAGTTTAGTTCTTGAAAGTTGTATTAAAGTGCAATAACTCAAAACTAAGTAACAATTGCGCCCTTATAACATTCATTTTCATCGTTTCAGTTGTATCTTTTGGGACTTTTAAAGTTTGAAGATTAGTTTAGGTGTATTTTTTTTTAGATTTGATTTATTTCAGAATCCAAAAATAATATTTTGTAATAATTATGATTATTCAGATTTTCGTTTCCACAAGTGCCTTACCAAGATCTTGTTTAATACATACATGGTGTGCAAGATTTTGTCTAGTTTTATAAGAGGTTTTTACTCTTTTTTGGGAAAGGTTATTCGTCATAGAAGTTTCAATTTTAAACATTCCAATATTTCTTGAAACCCGTCAATACAGCGCACAAGGATGGACATCATGCTTGTTTCTAAGTATCAAAACAAAACTGTACTCTGTCATATTTCAAGGTCGACTCATGTTATTGTATTTTTAGGAGCAGACAGTACATATTATTGCAGTTTTGTAAGGAAACGTCAATACATTCTAGAAAATAAGCTCGTTCCTTTTCCAAGAAACAAATTATGAGTTATAAAATATTGAAAACAGTACTCACCGTTACAATTGTTTTCACAAATATGAATTGGATCGAACTACATTTTCATGATCACATTTTTGTGTGCACTTGTAATTTTAACAGAGTATATATCTCCTTTTACATTTCCAAATACTTGGTGTTTCATATGCTCTAAAAAGTATTGTTCATGTACTTAAAAAGTATGATTATATCTGAACTTGTGATAATCTAAATCACAAGGAATATATACACCATATTATTTGTCAAAAACATTTATACTTTTACACTGTTTACAAATATTTTCCTAGTCTGTTTAGTCTGTCTATTACACATCAGAAAAATAAATTTACAGCAATCAGATAGAATCAGAGCAAGCTAAAATGAGTATTTTTGTTGGTCTTCACTTTGTTACTACATTATTGTGTTATTTATTTTAATAAGGGTCCCAAGTAAAAAAAACAACAAATGACAAAAAATCAAAAATGTAAAAAGCTTCACAAGTTGACTACATGTTTAATATTAAGATAAAGTTTTAAGACATTTTTTTCGTTGACGAGGAAAAGAATTACTTAGTTGTTGCATCCGTATTTCGCTCGAGGTAAAAGTACACGAGTCTTTTAATTTTTAAAATCGATAAATAGTGGCCCTTTGAAGTGAAAAAGGGAGGTATTTCTTGATTAGATGTGCATTTGAATTAATTTTGATTTGATGGTAAAGCAAGAGATCACTAATTTGTCTTCCTTTGAACAGTTGAAATGGGTTGTTGGTCTTGTCTAATATTTACATTAGGCCATAAAAAAAGTGTCCGGTTTCTGGTATGGAGCTTGCCCAAAAAGTGGTGCGGCGACGCGGCTTTTTTCTTTTTTTTTACCTGATTTTTTGCTTCAAATGTCGGCTGATGACTGCAAATGGTTCCCAACTAAACTTAGTGCAAATATATGGGAGTCCAGAGAGGCCACATAAAGCTTATTCACGACCATAACCCCACCTAAAAACACGTTAAAATTGTGAAGCAGCAGAATTCCATCAAACCAGTGAGTTTGGCGGTTTTGAGACATCATCTTTCACTGAAAAAAAAAACTTTTTCATTTTGCCGACGCGCATGGCTACGGCGACGCGCGCGCATACCAGAAACCGGAGACTTTTTTTTTTTGGCCTTACATAAATGATCCAACTTGCTGCATCCGAATCGCCGATTTCCACTAACATTTTTCTCTCAAAGAAACTTGAAGCTTTCGTCGTTGAAATCGAGATTTTGGAGTTGGATATCGCCTCGTGTGGCTCCTGCAGAAAAAAAAAGTGAATTTCATGTGAGCCATCATTTTTTTTATAAACAATACGAAAATACTACTGGTTTTGTCAATGACCTGAAATAACAAATGTTTAATGTTGCGCATGCGCTCAGTCCACACGCGGATTGCGCGCGGCAAATAAAAACGTAAACAAACATGGCCGACAGAAAAGTATGGATCGACTTTTGCAGTAAAAGATGTTTCACCAAATCAAGTTTCTAGCGCTTCGTGGAATATACAACCAAATAGGAATGGAAGCAGTTACGTTTAGGCTAAACTGTGAAAGGTATGAAAGTGTGGAGTGACCGACTTTAGGATAATAAATGTGATTTTCCTTGACGGGGCAAAAGCACGTGCGAAGTGCAAATTGTAAACACACGTACACGTACGTACACGTGCATGTTGCCCACGAAAAGCGTGGACCAACGGACGTGCAGTATAACACTACAACAACACAACTTGAAGTCCGTCCGTGCAAGAGAATTTTGCTGGAAGACTGGGAAATGCAGTACGTGGCTTTCATTTGGGATCAACATCTTGGATTTGGAATAATTTTGGAGACGGAACAGGGCCCAAGAAGTCAAGAATTCAAGGTGAGTACATTAAATTAAGTTCTCAAATGTTGGGAGAGTTTAATACTAATAATAGGCCTAATTATTTTTCGCTGGATTAGAAATTTTATACAAAAATATAAAATAATTTTTTGAATTTGTCCACATGAATATTCGCCTCTATAGACGCCTAGTGTTTTTATTCAGTGTTGTAGTACCAGGATATGAACCTTCATGCGAAAAAAAGTTGGGGAAAAAAACATTTACAATCTCGTAGACAAGTCTTGAAAAAATTGCTTCATCGAATCGGAATGGCAGAGCTAGACGAATGGGGGCGCTATTCATTTTTACCTGCATTTGGTGCCGGTAGTGGCCTCATCGCGGGTCGGTTCCCGTATGGATAGGGAATCAACGGAATAACCTACGGTTAAAAGAAAACATATATTGAACATTCAAGTTTGAAATATTTTGAATCGTATTTATAATGGTTTGAATGTCAGTTAAATTATGTCAACAGTAATTGACATTTTCCAATGTCATTGCAAATATCATAGAGCCTATAACATATACCGAGCCGCACCAGCACTTTGTCTGGCACTTTTAAAAAAAAAAAACAATCCCTTCAAATCTACATTCTCCAACCATCTACCCTTAGCCTCTCCCAACCCCCGTAAAAAAACACCCCCAAAGAAAACCCTAAAGCCAAATGAACCCCACTCCCCCAAAAATACCCCACCCAAAAACCCACGAAAATCCAAAATGACACCCCCCCCCAAAAAAAAATCAAAACCAAAGCTTGAAAGAACCCATCAAACTAGACATAAAAAAACCTTAAATAAAACAAAACACCACAACTAAAAAGCACACATAAAGAAATAAACAAACAACAAAAAACCTTTAAAAAAAAACAATTTAAACACCACAACTAAAAAGCACGCATAAAGAAATAAACAAACAAACAAACAAACAAAAACAAGTCAAAGACTAAACAATAGAAGAGAAAACAGGAAAATCACACATTCCGACCCACCTGCTCTTTGGACTTGGCTACTTTAGTATTGAGACTCACGCTAACGATAGCTGCCGTTAGAGCAAGGAAGAAGAACACCAAACCCGTGGCTGAGAGCAGATTGTTAAAGGTCAAGCAAAGAGCCTAAAAAAATTGAAAGGGAAAAGGAGTATGAATTTGATATATATTATGAAAATTTTTCACTTTGAAAGTCAGGCATAGAGGCAAGCAAGGAAAGGGAAACAACAGTTGATGTGTTAAAAAAAATATGTAAATTTAAAAACAAAAAGTTCACTTATAAGTTTAAAACTGCAAGAATAGTTTCACGCGAAGATTAATACTAAATCGCACTTAACCCGAAGTTGGCAGAATATATGTGTTTATTACCTGTAGTTGTCGTTCAGTAGACCAGTTTTTTGTGTCAGAATTTTGGGTTTTTTTAATTAATGTAAAACCTCGTGTTTTTCATTTATTAAGCAGTTACAATTTTTGAAGTCTTTTCTTAAGGGGAGTCTTATTTCAACTTAAATAAATAAATAAACACATTTTTGAGGGTGGACAGAATCAATCAATATGAAATATACAATAATTAAATCCAGAAGATTTTACGCAACATGAAGCGTCTTGAAAAAAAAAATCTTACCGGACAGGTTTTGGTCGCATCTGCGCATGTCGTCAATTCCTGAAGAACCGACAGAGTGTGGATGGTAAGGAGCGCCGTGCCGGACAAAATATTGAGAATAGACATCATGTGATAGCAGGAGAGCTGAAAATATGGAAACATAATTAATGACAAAACAAGGGAAACATTATACCTGTTATTGGTATCTTTGGGAGACTGGCTGTCATCATTAGTTATACCTTAGGGAGACACCGGGCATTAGGGAGACATTTTAATGTCTCTCTAATGCCACAGCTCCTATTTAGAGGCAAAATGTTAATGTTGCAAACAGGCTAGATCGCCGATTGCTCGTGGTCCAAAACATAAATACGTGTACATGTATACCGAAATTTGTGGGGTAGGATATAAATTGGGGTTAGCTGACATTAAAAATGGAAAAAAATATTGTGCACAGGTTTATGGGAATGTCTCCCAAATGACCAATTTTCCGCAATAATAATCCATGCATTTAATTATAATATTGAAAGAGATGAATTACAGTTATAAGTGAATAAATAGTTATATATGGGCCTGTCTAGAGTAAATAAAAAATGGCAACGCCAGCTGCTTAATTGTTGAATAATTATTAATTTCTCAGAATGGAGGCCTATAAGTAAGCCATGATTGCATTCGTGGGTAATTAGCTCTGCGGCTATCTAAAAAAAAACCAAATAACCCAAAATGGTCTTTTCCCCAGATAAAACAGTCGTATAGCTTGCAGAAATCTGTTTAGATAATTTTCGGTGTAATCGTGTATTTTGGACTTCCCTTTGCCGCATTGTAGTCGATATCATTAACGTGGTATCTCCCATGACTCTATTGAAATAGATCTGAAGTGGTGCCAGGTTACAGAATGTTTGATTTTCGTTGGATAAATAAAACGTGCCTGAGTAACACACAGTGTGTATACCAATCAATTGGCCTAAGGTTCTCATCTTTAACCTGGAAACGCGGGCATGAAGCATAAATTCATAATTTCTAACAATATTGTTGTCTATAGATATCAAGTACACACCCTTCCCCTCTAAAACCTGGGCAACCGGTACCGGTACTTTACTCTGTTCATATCAATGAGTCAGTGTAACAGATTGACGCCTAAGGTACAAGTAATGCAAACGGGTAGGGTGTTGACTAACCAGTGGTGTTGACTATTTAACACCAGTGTTGAAAAAGTAACACCACTGTTACAAATGTAACACCAGTGGTGTTACTCCCATTCTTCATGATTCCGAGTGCATGAGTTGTTCTCTACTCGTACACAAAGACAATATGCTGTAAACCAAACACTGCAGCCATGTTTTGTAAAGTTTTATTGTTGGCTGGTTAATTAAAATGTTGTTATTGTACAGGACTTACCGGGCACTGTTCTTTATTAGCTCCGGCGTATATTCCCATCACGCCTGACAGCAAAACCTTTAAAAACAGGGAAGAAAAGTACTCCAGTCTCATGAACGGGCTTTTTTCTAAAGATTTTTTTTATGAAGTTGGGAACTGATGATATTTTAATGCCGGCTGCTTGTTTGTGGTGACAATGGATAGATCAGGACTCTATTATTAAAATCCATGCCACACCGGGATCCTGTGACAAAGACACATGCTATTTTGGGAGGGTCGGGCATATGCTCTTGACTTATGCACTGCACTTGTGGCTCGGTGGCCGTGGGTTAATAAAAAAATAAAAATTAAAAATAAAAATAAAAAATTAAAAAAATATATATATTTTTTAATGCAGGCTTCTATAGACGTTAGAAAACAGCGTGAAGATACTTCATTCTTCTTTTTTTCATATAAAATAATATACCATCTGTTTAGCCGGGTCATACTGTATGCACCTTCAATTTGTCATTGTTAAAGATTGAATGTCATTGCTTAATTATCTTGTAACAGTTATCCTGCATTGGTATTCGTGCATGAGAACCAGATGCATTTATATCACAGAGCGGTCCATTTTTATCTTACTTTCTTCCCAAGGAATTCAAATTTGAATTCAACCTTTTATTAGATACTATAGGTTTTCCCGGCTATTTTAACACTTGTATCACACGAATTCCCTATATCGATAAGTCCAAAGATTGGGCACATTTTTAATCGTAACGTTTTAAGTCACCAGAGACGAAATGTAACGACAAGAACATTAAAACGAATGACAAAAAACGAATTTCCTTTTTCAATTCAACGCCGATTGCTTCACGAGACGAATTTCAAAGATTTTGGACGAATCAGAATGCTAACAATTTGAATTATACTGAACCTTAAATGAAATCTAGTGGTGGCTTTTTGAAATTCAAATTGAGAATTGAGCTTGGCGATGTTCGGGGACGAAATTTAAGTATCGATATAGGGAATCGTGTGATACAAGTGTTAAAATAGCCGGGAAAACCTATATTGTGAGAGGGTTTTGTACATTAAATGAAATGAAAATATTGAAATCTCACCATTGCTCCCACCCATATTCCAGCTGCGATGTACCCATAATGACACTTGTACAGAAAAGCTGCCACGCCCAACGCAACACACGGCATCGCCATCAGGAACTGAGCCACGCCCAGTATCTTGACGGCGTCTGCCATGGCATCAATGACCCCACTCAGGTGGCCCTGCCGCTGCCCTGAATGTGGCATCATGACGAACACCGGCGGCTGGCCGCGGGGTAGGGCGTCGACGTTCATGATTGTCTCTGAACTTGCTACTAGCTCTTGGAACTTGTTGCTATCCTTGGAACTTGTTGCTATCCTTGGAACTTGTCGCTATCTCTTGGAACTTGTTGCTATCCTTAGAACTTGTTGGTATCTGTTGGAACTTGTTGTCATCCCTTGGAACTGATATCTCTTGAACTTGCCAATCCTCGGATCTTTTTACTGTAATTTTGAACTTACTATCGCTTGGAACTTCTTACTATCTCTTGGAACTTCTTACTATCTCTTGAAACTTATCTCTTGGACCTTAGTATCTCTTGGAACCGCTTGCTATTTCTTGAAAGTCACTATCTCTTTGAACTTACTATCTTTTGGAACTTGCAACTTCTTGCTATCTCTTGAATCTTGTTACTATCTCTTGGTACTTGTTACTAACGCTTGAGTTTTTTCCTGAACTTGTGGTTTGGATCCCATTTATAGTTCAAGCGCTATAGGTTCCAGTTTTTAATGAAGTTCAGGTGTTGGCAATAACGTATGAATGATCTTGTGGATTTGCTATAAAAGTGGTGGTGGACATCAATATATTTCCTGTAGTGATGTGTTACCTGTTAGAAAATAATTAAAACAAGTTACCAACTTTGTTATGTCTTCATTATAACAGCAAAATGTAGATGAGACTTAAAGGTTTGCATGGTGGACTTGATCATTGAAGGGGAGGTTTGCGGTAACACCATGTGAATGATATCTCTTTGTGAGTTGTGTGGTTCTGAGAAAGAACCAGTTTGTTTAACTCGACGTTTTGAACTGTAGGCGCTGTTCGTCATCAGGAGACAAAAAAATGTAGCTAAAAAAATGTTATATGAGAGGGCCAAATTCCCGCCAATAATAAATCCTTTGTTCAAGTTTTGAAATTTCTTGGGGTTTTAGTTTGGGACCTCTGTCCTAGTTTCTTCCAAGTTCCAACCATTAGATAGTATTCGATGTTGCAACTATCCCACTAGGAAAAACGTTGACCATAGAACAATATTTTCATACACCAAATTCACCGCGAAGAGAAACGTTGTTTCTATATTTGGAGTATTATACAAAGTGCAATACGCTAGCTCTCGTCATTTTTGAGAGCAGTGAAGAATGGATTTAATATTTCAATACCTCATATCTAGAAATATTGAAACCTACCTTTTCATTTTAAAACTGTGAAGTCGTCATCTCATCGTCATATAGTACAGTCCAGCACGTGGAAACCGAAAAAGACTCCCTTTTTCATTTTATGTTCAGTAGTTTTCCGACTCGGTGAAGAATGAAGTGAATAATATCAGAAAATTACCCCCTCGGCGATTGTTGATGATAGAAGAAATTTAGTTAATGATTTAATGGAATTGCACGAAATGCTATGACAACGTTTGCTTACGTGATAACAATAATATGGTACCATTCGAGTACTGTTTCATGTCGTAGATTGTTCAAAAATCTGTTTGGACAATGCTTGCTAGATTTATAACTTTTTAGAAACAGGTTGGCTCGAGTTTTTGCGGTAGTTTTGTTTGTTTTATATTAAGGTGAATCAAAGTAACTGTAGCTCCTTGAAAGTAGTGTTGCGACGACTTCAATATGAAAATTTGAAAATGATTCAAATTGCATGCAACAGCCGCCTGGTGTCGTCTATTCCACTAATGGTGTTTTTCAATCCAAAGTCCAGTTTGCGTTCGTCGCTTAGGACGTGATTTGGTAGTCATTGATTGTTCAGTTGTGCATAATTGATATTCTTAATGTGCCTGTGTAGCCTAATTTGTATGTTGACGACAACCTTTGATAACCTCTGAATTCGTGGTCGGCGGGTAATTCTGCAGGTTGAGGGTTCAAGTCCAGCCTGGGGTTATGGTGCGTGTGCCCTTGGGCAAGGCATTTTCTCACTCATTGCTTCTCCCCACCCAGGAGTAAAGTTAGTACTTGTGAGGGCAGAGATGGTTATTGTGGTTGATTTAGCTGCTTAGCGCCGAAATGGCAGCATCGAGCTGTATACTCCCCAGGAAGCTGAGATTTGGAATGTTTTATTGGCCCAATTAATAAGCAGGGTGATAATGATGTAGCGCAGTTGGGCACCAATACTGGTGGATACGTGCGCCTAAATACGTGCGCCTAAATACCTAAAATTAGCATTATTATAACCATCCTACTTACAACCTTCACCTAGAATGGAATATTGATCAGATTGAGCTATTTATCAATTAACCTAGTTCATTGACTTTAAAGCTGAAATACTCGTAAACATTACTCGTAAAACAATCATTACCATTCATTCTGGAGTTATATTTATTCAGACTATTTTATTAATATCTTTCCTGTTTGCCATTTGTCTACCAAGCATCTTCCTTTACATCTCAAGCAACCCAAAGGGGCAACATTATGGTCCTTATTAACACAGATGCGTACGTCTGTACTCAACCCAAACTTAAGACCCATAGTTTTCCTCCAAGAACTGTATCAACATGACGTCGACAATCGGAGAGAATTTTGGTGGAATTTTTGTCCGTCTTAGTCCTCCCCAGACCCCTCTTTGCAATCAAAACCAGATTCCTCCATATTTTCCTCCAGGAACTGTATCAACCTGACGTCGACCTTGTGGTTCATAATCTGGAGGGAAATTTGGTGGAATTTTTGTCCGTCTTGTTCATTATCCCCAGACCCCTAGCTCTTTGCAATCAAAACCAGATTGATGAAAAAAAAAATTCTTAGTGGCAGATCAATTTTCAGAAGATTAAAAAATGGCACGAGACAACAATGGGTCACAAAACTGCAAAAGTTGAAGCTTGATTTATATACAAATTAAATTACAACTCTATATTACAAATCCGCGCTTACGCTACTTCGCCGCATACAAAATAATTTCAGGATATTTTTTGGAAGATGTAAAACGTTCTTAGAATGTTTTTGGCCGCCTTCTCTTCTTTTCCTTCTTTTTTCCATACCCAAGAAAGTTCACCATCGTCTGGGCTGTCTCACGTTCGGCTTTGGTCACACGACTGAAGTCTAGCGCCCTCAGTTGGGGAATCTTGGTCAGGACATAGTGACGGTACCCTCGCTCACTGTCCACTGGGTTGCCATGGAGAGTCAAGCTCATCAACTTCGGCAAGCACGCCAGTTTCTCGACCTCTTTAAGATCCTCCACGCCGTTGCCATGGAGATACAGTATCTTCAAATTGGGGAATTTCAGTATGACGTCATCCACGTTGACCAAGTAGTTGAAGGAAAGGTCAAGCCAGGTCAACTCCTGGGCGTCGCTGATCAGTGACGTCACGAAGCCCTCGAATCCGTTCCAATCTTGGATCAGGTTGTTGTTAAGTTTGAGAGACACGCATGCGTACTTTCCTTCGTCGGTTTTGCGCAGACTCTTGGAGTTGTTGCGTGGTTCTTCCGCCCACTCTGATAGGTCCATGGTGAGCGTGCCGATGTGTTTGAATGACAGGTCGAGGGGCGGGGCTGTGAAACGAGCCTCTGAGTTGGCGTCGATGACTGGGGTCACTGACCTGGGCAGCTTCTTGTGCGGACGTCGGGGAAGTTGGGCGTAAAATGACGTCATGGTGACGCACCGGAATTTAGAAACTCTTCGATGCCACAGTTGAGGTAACCTGCAATGCAAGTAATGAAACGAAGATCAATTGTCATCAAAAAGTATTTTGTTAACTATATCAAAATGTATACCAGATGGAACATTGTCACGGTATCAGCCAGTGTTGAAAATAATGTGTACAATTAAAGGGAATATACATCATTTGCTTTTGCTGTAATTTTCAGAAATGGATGGAATTGGGGGGTTGGAAATATAAAGCAAATATAGTTACACTGACTTTTTGGAGGTTTTGGGTTCGAAAATGCTATAAAAACCAAGAAAAATGATCATTTTCCTGTAGTCGGGTTCCCTGACTCCATATAAGAAGAAACAGAGCAGTTTACATACATTGGGGAATTGTAAGGTCAGGGAACCAGTCTAGCTGGCTCGTACCCGTTCATAGGTTTGTAATCGATTGCAAACAAGTGCAATGGTCAATTGGGGCCAGTATTTGAAAAAAAAGCCAGTTGTTTCCAACGCTGATCGGCCGATCAGCGTTGGAAATTGATACAAAAATACCACTTTTCTTGAAAATGACAGTATACCAGGCGCCATAATTTTACAGGATGCTTTAGACTGTCATTTACCAACATCCTATTAAGGTATTTCGCAAAAACTTGGTAGTTTTATTTTTCGATGTTTGCAAATGTTGTATATTCCCTTTAAGGATCTTATCGTAGTGAAATACATCAGAAATATAGCAGAATAATGTTTCATGCTTCCATCGTCAACAGAGGGCGACATTCGTGGATTTCAGAATGGCACATTTCGGAGCTAGTAAACTAAGTGTGTAGTTTATCATCAAAACGATAACACAATTTGATGTCCGTAATGCTTGCTAGCCACCTAGCCTACTTGCCATGAGGCGTTTGATCATTTGCGCCGTATCTTCAAGGCCATGAAGCTAATTCGTGAACTATTCCATAACAGTGACTACGATCGATAAATCTTTAATCGAACACGAGATCCCTCCTCGATTGTACATCATTCAGAAGCTGAGTATTTGTGTCTATCCTCTGGCTATAATCTCTTTGGCACACACGCCCATTGCAACCGAAGATATGATCGATTCTACTTGTCATTGTTGCTGAGTAAGGCGGTTGTTTGTTGCGTAGTGATGATAAAAAGTGATCCCAGATCACGGTGGTCTCTTTTTGCTTTATTACTACCATACTGTTTTGGAATTCTGTTGAAAAACTGTTGAAAAACTCTGTCACAATGCTTACCTTTTTTATGTTTATTGCTGCACCAGACCTGATCAGCTATCAGCCATGATGAAACCGCACTTGCTGCAATAAATGATATAAAATATAGTTAGTTTAAAGTCTTTTTTTTCACTTTGGTTCAAACTCCCGGCTGAAAAATTGTCGAACTAGAATAAGAAAGGTTAGAAAAAGGTTGAGTTAAATGTACCAGACGAAAGAAAGCTGACAATAACCTATAAGCTGTCACATCACAGCTGTGTCCAGAAAAAATCTTTAAAACGTAAGAGTGTTAGGTGGCACCTCTCAAGTACTAGTGCGCCGCTTTTGCTCCTTAACAGACTAATGGTATTAGCTGAGAAGTGCGACCGGTCTTTTACACCGTGTTTTGATGAGGTTGCTAAGCCGTCCACTTGCAATCACTGCCCCTGCTCAAATCCGCCCTCGGGCCGCTAGAGACACACCTGCTTCCGAGAATTCCAGAAAATTGGAAGATCACTTGTCACTATAGGAGTCCTTTTTCTCTTCTTAATTGCATTTTGCTCTTAAAATCCTCTTAAGAAACACCCCAAGTCGACCAAGTGCACTCGGCAAACATGCTCATAAAAGTGTTTGAATACAACATTATGTGCTAGAGTGCACCCTACGGCTGTTGCTTATAGGTCTTCTCACCGTCTGGTTAACTACATGCACTTGCTAGACGGCTGATGCATGACTGAACTCAATTCATTTGAGTACAACATTATGTGAAAACCTGCGGCTGTTCTTTCTGTCTATAAGCCATTACATACTAATTGACGGCTGATGAATGACTGAATTGAAGCATCCTACATCGCCGGTACCGTATGGAAGCTCCATAAGCAGAACGAAACGTACTTCGCCAATTTGCCTCTCCAAACAGTCAGAATAGGAGCCAAAAAAATATGCATATTTATATTCCCCATTCATAAACGAGAGATCACACATGCACCTGAGCATCCATCTCCATACTTGACACACAATTCCACTTGATTTCTGAACCAATCATCCAATGAAAAACGACCGAAGAGCAACTGGCGACCTAACACCTGTAACACCCCCCGTCCCCACAGGTGTACCTCTCGCTATGAACCCTCAACTCACCAACAAAAGCTACCGGTAGATTTGCCATATCATCGGCCTCTCAACCGCCAACACCTGCCGTACATCGATACAACAAGTACCCATCATTGTTGCCAAGTGCTCCACTAACGGGTGCTCCAAATTCAATTATAGATTTCTATTTTGTAACTGGAGGGTCTATATCCAGCCTCAATTTTGCAGATGAGTAAATCCAAGGATATCCACAGAAGGGATTAAGTCAGATTTACTAATCCTGTCGACTGGTTGGATCTTCTTGGTTTTATTTTGGTGAGCACTTTGTTGGATTCGGTCCAGGAGTCCGCTTATTGGCCTTAGCAACAGCGTTTGACGGTTGAGTTTGCCTGTATAGAACAGTGGCAAGGCTCGTAATGTGAACATAACACCAGTCAATGAGGAACGTTTGTGCTAGGCGCAATGTATTGATAGTCCTATTTTACGACATATATTCGAAAGTTATTAGAAGACGTTGTATTATGCAAATACTGTCACCACAGTGCAAGACATTTGAGTGATTGAAATCTTTGATAAATGTTTGTTAGATGATGTTATATTATGAGTCTTATTTGACCAACAGTACATTATCAAATGAGTACCGGAAAACAGAAATGTGACCCTCCAGCGCAAAATCAGTCATTTGGACCAAGTTTTGAAAGCAGATTTTGGATTCCTTGGAAAGCACGTGAATAAATGTACAGAATAATGTAAACCAAATCGGACAAAATCGGAGGGAGTTATAGGTATTTTCCGTTCCCAATATTCGGGCTTCGGAAAATTTTACACATCGAAAAACTTGTAGTTAAGGTTTCCCAAATGAACTCCTTTGAAAATGTACAAATAAACCTCATTGAAAGTGAAATATATTCATTATTCTAGCTTCTAAATCTGAATTTCGATATTTTGTGCATGCACAGTGTATTATAGGCTGTATCTCAAAATACGGACGTCCGACTTCCGATGGGTTTTGTGCTGATCGGATCACAAATATATTATAAGTTTTAAAAGAATATTGGGGGGAAATGAATGTACTGAAGTTGTTAGTATTTTTGTAAAGTATTTAGTACTTTGAAATTGTATGATTCGAAATATGTCATGTTTGCCTTTGAATGTAATTGGATGCATATGGTGACCAACATTCATGTTTTCTCAGAACATCTATAGAAATGTTGGCGAATTGTTCTTTGGATCCCCAGCAGTTCAGCGACCAGATTGGAATGTTCAACTTTGATATCAATAAAACAATGTGCGTATGTCAGAATAGGTCGTATATGCCTGGTGCTAAATCACGTGAATGTCCAAAACCCAAGTGACAGTTTTCCGAGACCCAGACAAGCAAACTCAATCTTGTGCATTCTTCTCGACTTTCAGGATCGGTGAAAGACGCCAGTGTTTGTCCCGTCGCTAAGGTCGGGACCTGGTTGCTAGGCAGTCACGTAGATCGGTAATAAAACACGCAGGTCGGAAAAAAAATCCACATTATTTTTCTGTGATTGGATAAGTATTTGTATCGCGCGGTGCGTCATAATTGGTAAATAAAGTCATCGTGTTTACAGTATATCCATGTGGTTATTGAAACAGTCACAGACAAACGAAAGAAATGGACAAACAGACAGACATTTGTATTGCACAGTAAGAATAAACAATCGAACATGTTAGCAATCCAAAATGTATTCTTGTAATTATTTAAATAATTTGTAGCAACACTACAAAGAAAATAATAATCTGGCAAGAATGTGCACCTTATTGTCAGTTTCCCTTTTTATTGATTTCGTGATCTGAAAAAAAAAACCACTAATTTTTGTTGGTTTTCAGTGACGTAGTCTGAGCGTCAAATATCCAAATCAATAATGGTAATTTCCGTTTCAACGCGAATGGGAAGACTTTAATATTAACAGGTGAATAATATTCACCTGTTAAATATTTGATTCAGTCGCATGGTAAGTCAGTTATTTATTGCTACAATCCTTTTGTTTAGTTTCCTCTGTCATTTATCTGATCATAAAGTCGTAGTCCGGCTTTCCAATCAAAACAGGTGTTTTCCTATAGTGAGTGAAAGAACTCATTGTTTTTCCTGGCATAGAGTTATGTTGATAGAGCTTTGAAAATAATGGAGAAAAAAATACAAAAATCACACCTGCTTGCACTTATCAAATCGAAACAAAAATATCTATTTCTCTTAGTTAAGTTATCTAAAAACAACATAAAGGTAGAGCCAGCGTAATGAAATGTCCACGTTATGGATCACAGAATTAAAAACTAAGCATGCATTTTCTTTGTTTTTACATAAATGGTGTGATATGCGGAACAAATTATGTAAAAATACCGTATGCAAACAGTTTGAGACACTTACGTGACACATCGAGTCCTGTGATCAAATAAAATGCATCTAAAAGAATCTCAAACCCTGCAAAGCTTCAGGTTACTCCTCTGCATTTTTAAGTCAAATCCCACAAAGCTCGACTACTCAGTCATAAAAACTGTTTTCCTTGTCCAAGATTTGTTTTGCAGATTATGGACAAAAATCCGTGAACCTACCTCACGATTTTCTGACATAAATCATCGGCATGACAAACTCAGTCGTGACGGACAACACAACTTGAGTGTCTGTCTGGCAATTTATTCTCCTCTTATTTACTATCAAAAACTTTGTCACTCGATTTATCACTCGTTTTGATGAACAAAAAAGAAGGTTATCTCAAACCGGACGGAACGATAACCTCTTTATTGAAATGATTTTGTTCCTTAGACCACGACAAAGCAATGTGCAAATAGCGGAGTTGAAAGACAAGTGTTGACATAATACTTGCTGTGATAAATTCTTTGCCTATTATTTCATATATAATGGGGATAGTCAGGGAAATAATAAATGTGAGACATAATGACGCACTTGTTGTGCTTTATACTCCCCTTCTGCCGTTTTGTGTGTGCGCGATTGTTGTACGATGTATGTAGGGTTTATATTTTATGGACCGCTAATTCATTAATGTTGTACAACTTCGACATTTAACAAGGCTCTCTTGAAGAATAAAGAGGTAAAATGATCAAAGGGTTAGATAGAACATTTAAGCAAGTTTGATAGATTGTGTGATTGACTCTTTCCTTCCTGATTTAATCCCCAAAAAAGCTCAGTGATTTTTGCTCAAGAAATGTTACATTCTACGAAATTGTCTCAAAATGTAGTCTTTATTTCAGGACACTAATGAATTAGAGATAAATTCTGACGTTCTCACATTCACAATTCCGCTTCACTGCCATGTCATTATAGCGAAGGAAATATCTCTGTCTGAAAAAAATGGAAAAAGTATGGTTTTCACGTTAGTGGATGGTCGTTGGGTAGGCGTTGCTAGGCTGTACACGCCCTTCAAGTGACAAACCTCCCCGCGCCGAGAAGAGATCGTAACAAAATCCTCTGTTGATATCATATATTATTATTATTTTCTCTATTTGAAATGAATACAAGCAGGAAAATTGCCTACCTGACACAACAATTTCTGCTGTTTGGTACAGAAGAGTTAATGACTCACCTAAATGTCTTCTCTCATAGTCAGCGAAGCAGATCTCGTCTTGTTTCAAATGCCGTGGTTTCTTAGCTCACGGACCTGCTGATCAAAGTATTTCTCGAGATGATTCCACAATGCGCCTGCACCCGCTCCAACGAGCCTTCTGTTTATGAGTTCACCCGTCCACTGTGTCGATGTCAAAGCTGGGGACAAGTTATCAACGCCCGTGCGTGAACGGGTGTCAGGGACCGTATCAGAATACTCAAAACTTATTATGGAAGTAGCGTGGGACACATGCGAACATAGGTTGTTATGAGGTTGGCATTTTTGGAAATAAGTGATCTGCAGAGATTTGTCTTTTTACCATACGTGTTTTTAAAGCGATTGGGAAAATGCCAATGAAACTCAGTGCATTGACGTACGTCTTGGTAAATATGAACTAGAGACGTCATAAGTAGGGATAAGAATAAGAAGGAGAAGCATTATATTCGAATACCATCCCTTCTTTAGTTTACCTATTAGCCTGAAGTGGACCTACTAACGAACAAAACACTTTCAATCGGTGAAAGTGTTGGTCAGTGTTATGGGCCTCGAGATGAACTCTCAACCAATCTCCACTTCTCAGAACCTCTCTCGTCTCTGTTTTGCAAATATTAGTGTTTGGGATCTGTCCTCACAGAAAACTTGTCAATGTTTGCACGCGAGAGCTGGGAGGGTGTACAGAGGTTGATGGACATGATATTATACAAATAGCCATTGTGGCTGAGGACAATGATGTTATGCCCATGAACAAATTGTCCAGATGATGCTTACTTGTGTTGTCAACAGTGCCAGAGGCATCATCACCAATACTTCTTATTGATAAACTTCAAACAGTTTTTATCGCTAGAAAGTGTTGACATACATGTATCTTATCCGACCGCGATTTCAAGTCTTTATGTTTACAAGACAAAGTAAACATCTCGGCAAACTTTATAATCAGCGACCTCCAATGTTTGTTAGAGCTTGTTACTCCTGTCACTGCCATTTAGAGTTATCTTTTTTTCTTCTTTTTTTCCTTTTTACCAAGTGGTAGATAGTAATAATTTAGTAATTGTAATGTTACTTTAGCAGCTATGCAATTGTTAATATTTTCTATAAGAAAGTGAAGACACGGAAATTGGTAAATATTTAAAGACATACAGGATAGGAAAATCCTCGTTATTTTGATGATGTTTGGCCTTGGATACGGGATGACATTTCTACGCTTTGTTGACAAGTAAGAAGCTGTTAAAGATTTTGACGTTTGGATGTCAGTGAAAATATTTGTCTAACATCCGTCACTGGCACGATAATGGATGGGTACACACTCACAGAGACAGACAAACAAACATAAATCGAAAGAAATGACCGTTTAAGTGTCGAGGAAATGAAACAAATCAGTCGTGAATCGGTTATTGCTGGGAAGAGGGTTCGGTCCGAAGGAAAGATAGGAACATGGATCAAATGAAAGGTAATTATAAATAATGATGATATCATATCAAGAGATACCACACCATTTACAGACAATACTTAGACAAAGTAACAAGAATGTTAAGTGACATTTTCTGACGTACATTATTATATATGGATTGTATTTTCAAGACTATTATGCAAGAAACTAAGTAGGCCTACTTGTAATCATTTCGGAATTTTTTTTTTTTAAGGAGCGTTTTTTCTCCATTTACAGCGATTTCAATTTCGTGAAATAATTTCATTTGTCTTAAATGAATAAAAGACTTTATAGTGGAAATTTAGGAAATGTTATTTAGTTTTTCAGTACGATGACCTGTTTTCAACTGGCAATAAGTTTGCTGCTAGCTTAAGCTTGCAAAGTTGCTTCGAATTACAAGCGAGTACAATTTATTTCTCTAAATTTTAGTGATATAATTGATTAATCAAAACAATTATCCATTTCCCAATCAGAGCCAGATTTCCTGGAATGTCTCCAGAGAGTTGCCGCCAAGTTGAAGCGAAACGAGTGGAAGTTCCTCGCCGTCCGCCTCGGCCTATCCAAGGCAGACGTCGACGACATTGCCCGAGCGCACCCGGGCAACTATTCCCGCCAAAAGACTGAGATGTTGCTGCTATGGAAACGGAACTATAGGGAGTACGCGACGGCGGATAGGCTCGTGCGCGCGCTCGGAGAAATGGGTGGGAAGGGTGGTCAGAAAAGACAAGAAGACAAACCAGGTTCTGAAGGTAAGAGATACTTTAAGTCAGTCATCTTATGTTTATAAGAACTATATCATATCGCATTTTTACGTTGTTAATTTAATCGACAGTAAGTCCTTTTGAATTTGTGTTAATATTTATTCGATTTTTGTATTTACTTTTATAGTAAAACCGTTCCATTCCGAATCATCAGTTCAACAAAGGCAAATAACGCCAAGAGAAAACCAGTCAAGAATGCGGGATAGTTCTCAGAGTTTCTTGTCATCAGCCGTGCAGATACGGGGCCTGCCTCTTCCGATACAAGAGAGACAAGTGTCGCCTAGAAATCTGTGGCGATCAGGTTGGTTGAAATTTCAAATCTCATATTTCGTCGGGTCAGTGTTGGTTAGTCCTAGAAATTGAAATTAATTTCGTTAACAGTCAGCTACAACGCAGTTGGATCACAAAACTCCTCTTATTATTACATATATAATTTCCTTTCTTTGAATCTAACATATTGATGCTCCAAAGATGATAATTATTTTGTATCTCTATGAAGGCACCATGTCGTTTCCTGGACGGTATGCGTCCTCCCGTCAGAGTAATGAGTCAAGATGGAGGAGGGCAGTCTCAGCCACGCCCCCAAAACAAGGTAAGCCAACAAAAAAGTAAATAATATTTAATTCTTATTTCAGTAACACGATAGCAAAGTTTTATTTGAATCAAATCAAGGAGAAATCATGCGATTTTTTATTTACAGGAATTAATATTGAGGTTTAAGTGAGAGTTGGTATTTAATCAAACAGATTACTTAATTGGAAATTGGAAATTTGTGTGAAGAAAAATTGTAGTTAAAATAGATGTGTATTTATTTTTTCTTGTAGGCAAAATTACCATTGAAGTTGATATACAGAATATCTCCGTTCCTCAAAAAAACCTTCCCTTACTGCGTAAAAATCCTGAAAAGTCTGCTGTAAAAAAGAAAGTTCAGGTAGTTGAGCTTCCCCCAACCATTGAGAAAATCAGCAGTGTAACGGACGCATCGACAGGGGCGGAACCTGTTCCAAAAGATGCAAGAGGTGTTAAACAGCGTAGAGTAAGATGTAGATGCTCCATTCATCGAAGCAAAGACGAAACTGATAGTGATGAGGAAGAAGTCGAAACCAAAGACCCCTTTGACAATCTCCTCAAGAGCCTCCAAGATCCCTTCTTCCGACGACTCACGGGAGGCTCTGCAGAGCTCGACACAGCTGTCGACCAACTGGAAAAGATGAAAGGCCTCTTTGTCGACGAAGCCAAACTCAAATGCATCTTGTTCACCTGCAGAATCACAGATATTGACGGCTTGGAAAGAATATGGGAAGAATACCAAAATGGCGGCCTGGTAGCCATGTTGCAGACTTCACTGGTGACGGACCAATCACTGGCGTCCGTCGGCGCATGCGGAATCACGCTGGCGGTTCGAATGTGCCAAATCGAGTACCAAAGGTGCAAGGATGTTGTATTAGGCGAGTGTTGTAAAGAAAGAGGTGATGAGCGGTACAAAGCCAAGGAACCTGACTAATCTTGTTCTTAACACGCTGTTTCTAAAACTTGGCAGTAGCAAGAGAGACCCAGAATCAAATGCGTGTTTCGCCACACCAGCTACCGTAGGAAGGTCAAATACTTGTCTTCATTTGCAGCAGGGTCCTTCCATTCACGCTTAAAACAGACAAGCAAACCAAGCATTGAAATGAGAAGCACTTTATTAATGATTGGTGTGACTTTATTCTCATTCAGAAAGGACAAACAAATTATCTCAATGAATAACCGACCACAAGTACGTATATAAATAAATAGACACGCATCTTTTAACAACAGAGAAAAAAAATGGTTTCGTTTAAAGTTGACATTCTAGACAGTGTTAAGGCACTACTAGGCATACGAATCGTCACATGATTGCAATATGAAATGTAAATAAGTGGTCACTGACAATTTGTCCCAAACATAAAGCAGACATGATAAATACAAATATTGATGACGTAATGAATACAAAGAGTTTTGTGTTAAGTAAAGTGCGTATACATGTGTATGGTTTTCTCAAATGTTACACAGCTTTAGCAATTAAATAATTTCAAAGAATATGTTACACGAAGTGAGACTGATCCATTTTATGCATATGCAATTTCAAGGCACTTTTAATAAACAAAGAACGAGACTAAATGCGTTGACACTTGACTATTTGCATAATAGGCTCAGTGTCACATGGCATGTCACTACACAAAGTGATTAAAGGCCTAACTGGTGAAAACCATCTTTGCGCACTTCGACATTTTAATGGATCGATCCGGTAAGCCCCGCCCACTGCTCACGTGAGGATCAATACATGCGCGTCTATTAAAACGCCACACTGCGTGTTCTAGACGCGCGCGTCGTATGCAAGCGCACGCCTGTCGGACATTAATCAAGGCTGTGATTGGTCAAAACATCATAGGGTGGGGCCTAGCGGATCGGTCCATCGCAGCAAGGAAGAGCACGCTTTCTGCCTACGGCTCTTCGCTGGTGACAGCTTATACATTGCACACTAAGTAGCGCACGGGAACCAGCGACATATAACCTACACGTTCACTTTGGCCTCTAAAGGATCTGTATGTAATTTTCGCCGTATCTAGTGCTCCTGAACAAAATGTATAAAATACACACAAACTACTTACAGATGCTGTGCACAGAAACGCAATTTTGAAAACACATAGACAGGTGTTTCGATATCTATTTTGTAAAAAATAAAAATGATTTTAAAAGGTACAGTATATATAGATCAATATTTTAGTTTTCAAAACAGACAATGCAGCAAGAGATGAAACACAATATATGACACAAGTGGAAACGTCACAAAAACCAGTGAGTAATATAGCTGAGGGGTTTTTTTTCTCGGAATGTTTTTTCCTCAGCTTGAATTGTTAAGTGAAACTGAATATTTTTTTACTCCTTGAATTTGGTCATTCTGTATTGGAAAAGAAACGTATCAGTCAATTTAGAGTTGAGCATAAAATACTCTAAATGCCAACTTCCAATGTCAAAGGTTAATGATTCTGAAGATTTATGTCCATATTTACATAATAACGCAAGACTGATATACAATCAAATTTTAATGTAATAATTTCAACGATATGATAAGGAATTGCACAGTTCAGGTGTTATTGCAAAGGTGGCGATATATATATACTCAATGTAATCTTATATTCACACTGTACACATTTTACATTAGAAAAGGAATATGTCTATAACTTATTTGTACAATACCATCAAAATACTTTTCTTTTTTGTGAAAGTTTTTTTGATGTGTTCTGGGCTCTTGTACGTTCTAAGCTTAAGACTATCTGCAATCGGAAAGGGTAGATAAACGAAGATATGTCACGTAAGAAACGTCTCACGTGACTTTACGTTTCAAACAAGTCACGTGACATTACATTGCATCGTGGGAACTTTTCTTTGTTTAATATTTACACTGAAACTTGCCCGCTAATAACTTTATATTCAGCATTATGTACACCGTGTTCAGGCAGAACAAAATCGTCATATAATTCACATTTCTCCCCTTTAAAAATCGTCAAGATTGTGTCCTTATCTCATCTAGTTCATTGTTAACTGTCATTCAATCTAAAAGTAAATTGAGGTTCACTGTCCATTTCTAATAATTATTGATGGCCACTATATAACTTTCTATTCATCCAGTTCTATTCAACTACTTCTTGAATGGTCTATGTACGCTATTTCAACAGGATTTAAAATTTAGGAGTACATGCATAAAACCTCTTTTTGATTTCTAAATCACAACTTGGAGTGAATACGAGATACATCAATGAACTCTGCAAAATGGTCCACAAACTCCTGATGAAAAAAGGCACAAACTACGGTTTACTTCCGATTCGTGTGATTGGAAAAGAAAAAAAATGCATAGGGCTATTGTATAAAGCATCGTGCTCAACATCAGTTTCCGTGAGAATCTCTTTTCCGTAATGTACTGCCTACTTTTGGTTATGCTGAAAGGCATTGATGGTGCCCTATACTACCATATTTGGTTATACGACCATATTTGGCAGCACGTCAGCCTTCTCCTCCTTGCCGATGAGGTAAAAGGTCAGGAGTTCACCTTTGCCCTTGACCTTGACGTACCCCCTCTGTTGAAACTTGAAGCCGAATCTCTTCAGTACCTTCATTGTTTCCTCGATCACCTGAGAGTGCGAAATGGTGTCAGTTAGGTATATTTTAGGTAGTTTAATTGATAGCGCTGTTGTACGAAAATACCTTCTAGAGACAGAAGTCATTGACCTTTTGTACAACACGGTATAAGTACTATTAAAACAAGTTTAAAAGATTACGAAAAAATCTGAAAACTTGGCTCAGACACAGCATTCGTCATCTACAAACACTAGCTAGGGCGTCATAAGGCCGATTTTAAAGCGCCCTCTCTTGGCAATACAGGCCACGAACCTTAAAATAATCATACTCGCTAACTTTCGTAAACAAAATGTTAACGTTTACTTTCACTGTACGTTTTACAGATTTGTAAACATATTTTTTCTGTCTGATGTCTGCACTGTAAAAACAGATTGTTGAACATAACCAATCATTGTTTGAAATAACCAATTAACGATTGGTTATTATGTGTCCAACCAATCGGTTGGTTGGACACATATTAACAATTGTTGGATATTGGATATTTCAACCCATGATGGGTTATGTTAACCAATATTGTGAAACGACTACTGTCAAGAAATTTACCTTGATCGTGACAATTTGTGTATCATTTTCTATTACCTGTATATTTCCAGCTTTTCCAGTACTTTCCATTCGACTTGCTACATTGACCGTGTTCCCCCAGATATCGTAATGGGGCTTCCTAGCGCCGATCACCCCAGCGAGTACTGGTCCGTGGTTGATACCTGTGATAAAGTCCCAAATACACGATTAACCTCAGTAGTTTTTGTGTCTTGTGGTATAAATGTTATCATATTTGTCATTTGGATGGGAGCCAGTCAGTATTAACGAAGTTGCAATAGTCTCAATCATCTTGTCTGTCGATCAAACAGGAGTATTGACCAATTAGGTCACGACATTTGGTCAGGTGACCACAATAGCTCGGACAAACTCAGTCATTAGCGTGTGAGAAATGAATACAAACTGAAGGTGGGCGGGGCTATTATGGCCAAATCCAGAACGGCAAAAAACGATATTTTTGCCTGGTCGAACGGGACCCGAATGTTGACAGCAGTTCGGCAATTTAGGATATTTTACTCAGTCAATCTGTCAGTCAGTGGCTCATTCAGTCAGATGGCAACATACTAGACCTTTTAGGTCCAGTAAATATAGTGGCTAAGACTTATGCAGTTTTCTGAATTCCCAAATTACCCTGGGTTTTAGAGCATTAGTGATACTAAGTCAATCAATCACTCAGTCAGTCATTCAGTGACTTAGACAATACCAGTCAGTGACTCAGTCAATAGACTTCAGCCCTTCGAGTCTAGCAACAACAGGTTATGATTGTTGTTTTTTTCTCACCAACTTTCATGATGAAATTGTTGAATGATTGCTGGTTGATAGTGTCCAGGGTGTCTCTAAGAGCGAAGGCAAAGTTGACCAGGTCGGCCAGGTGCTGCCATCTCTCCTGTTCCCCCTCGTAGATGATCTTCTCTGGCTCGGCAACCATCCCGGACGACGCCATGTAGGTGCTGGAGATGGTCTTGATCTTGCAGATGCTTCGGAAACGCACGGCTTTCAAGAGCTGGGAAAATCAGGGAAAAGGGAAGTTGAAATGAGGACATCTTGACGACCTAGCCCTAACCTTTTTTCCATTATTCACAATGTACAATTGTGCAATGTACTCATCGTCCAACACTCACACGTCGTCTCTATACCCGTCGCTTACCGTGTCAAAATCGCTGATGATCTCATTCAAAAACCTCAGGCACTCTGTTCCCTGGTTATTGATGGCGTCTTCGCTGTAGAACTCGGAGAAGTTTGGAATAGAGGCGAACATGACACCTACTTCAGGGTAATCCTGGGCGTATAGATCCTGAAAATTACAGTCGGAGGAAAATGTTCTCATGATGCAAACAGGTGTATCTTATTTCTGTTTTCGTTACTTGTTCACAGACATTAAATTTGGTTATGTAAGAACATTGTGTACACTCACATTTTGGGCTTAACTATAAACATTGTGTAGCCACTGTGAACTGAACTGAGAAATATGTTTGCTTGTCCAAAGGGGCCAGCCCAGTGCTCTATTTGTTCCTATTTGACCGTCATTGTAAATTACACTTGCTTAAGCCTCGCTCGGCCAAATTGATTGACTCGGATGACTACCTAGACCCCTTAAAAAAACTAATCTTTGACCAGCTTCGCTGTGCTTGTTCTACACAACCTCCGAGGACAGACACACAAAGGGAGATTAACAGATCCTTTCAGTCCTCGGGAGTTTGGTCTTTCATTCAAAACGGTCCCCTGTAGTAGGTTTGTGTGCTTAGTCTATGGGAGAGTGTTACATTACAGGGACAAAAGAAAACACAAAGCATTGTCTTCTGGAGTATAGTAAAACAAGAGTGCCTAGTATTGTTACTTAATATCCATATTTTGATGGTAGTTGCACTACTTCTGTGCACTTTTGAATTCATGAGTGAGGTTGTAACTGAAATGTATACACTCTCTGTGTTTCAGTGTCATGACCTTTTAAAGTCGTGTGTCAGGACAATTCTCACATGGGCACCATTCCAACGTGGGACATTTAAACACTCACCTCGTCTTTACGTTTACTCTGCAAGAAGTGCTTGGCTACGTGAATGGGCATGATGTTTAGAACCAGTTGCTCGTTGCGTATCCGCAATTTGCCCACCTCTTCCTTTTGCTTTCGTGCTTCGTACTTCCAGAAAAACAGTAGCCTATTCGTTGTTTCTAACTGCAAAAAGAATTTTGTTTGGTAATTCAGAATTTAAAATTTGGACTCTGTGAGATACTTGCTCATTCATTGTATTGCGCATTTCTTGTCTCAGTCGCTAAAGAGCCTTCGATAGTCGTTAAAGATGCTTGCTTGATACAGCTGATGTGTTTTTGTAAAAGACGACAAAAATGACTCACAAATCTGTTGTAGAAAATGAGTGCGGCTCCAGCAGCTAGCAGCTGGTAGGTAATAATGTATCGACTGGGTAAATCATTGTAGTAGTCTTTCTCTTCCTGTCCTTCTTTTGCCAATAGCCTGAAAGACGAAAGAAAGAAATCTAATTTTAATGGTGCAACATTTATGTGTAAACAATTGACTCAATGCAGAAACAGTAGATTGCCTTATGTGACCTACTCATGAGAGCTATAGACCGCTTGCAGATGCGTTCGATAATCGACGCGCGAAGGCGCGCGACGCCATGTTTTGGGACAGGCGTATATCTATCCATGCACATTTTGTCCCATAACATGGCGTCGTGCACCTTCGCGCGTCAATTATCGATCGCGTCTGCAAGCGGTCTATTGAAGGACAAAATCACGCGCACATACCGGTTCGCGCGCGTGTATGACGCGAAAACGCGTGACTGACTCCTTTTGTGCGCGCTTATGACGCGGAGACGCTCATCTGTCACCTTTTTGACAGCCTCGACTCCATGGGCGCGTGCGCGTTCCTTCGCGCAAGGCATGATGGGAAACAACATGGCGCAGCAAGATCTCGTACCCATGGGAACGAGGTTGCCTTTTTGGGTGTGCTTATGGCGCGGAGACGCGCAACTTTCACCTGTTTGTGCGCGCGCATTGCGCACGCGATATAAACGCACGTGAACGTGGACGCGCAGTAGCAGTGGCACTTAAGTGTCCTTCAATAACTGCTGAGCTTTACATTGTTAAGTTGGAGGCAAACTTATGCGAGGATTCACCGATAGTCCATTTTCGTATCGCAATTTTAGATTGTTTACTCACTCGGCTTGCTCCTTATTGTACTCGTCGTATCGGACAAACAGGTCATTGTAGAATAACAGATTTAGTAGAGCGTACGCTGAACCAATGATCACAATCAGTAGCATCTTAACGAACTGTGTCACTTGTATCATCACTGTGATGGCCACCTGGTAAACAGGAGAAATCAAATATTCGCTGAGTTGGGTTATGGTTTTCCCAATCCCACGGCTTCAACCCCATGCAGCTTCGGCTTGTAGAGGTCTTTTTGCCATGGGTCTTTTGACTTGGGTATATACTTTGTCTTAACAGAGGCTACGCTTTGATACGGGAATATCACATGTAAATCGAGTTGAAAGTCTTCCTGTTAGGTTTGGACAATGAGATTCCTGACCAAACCGATTCAAAGCCACTGACGAGGCCATGGTTTGGGGAATGGCCATGGAAGCTTGTTGATGCTCTTATACTCGGTTCGTTTGCGCAATCTTTTTCGTAAGGACTAACTGATCAAATGACTAACCAGCACAAGTATTCCCGAGTAGGTGTAGTACCGTAGGTAGATACACGAGGGATTCTGGGTGTCGAGTTCTGTAATTGGGTTTTTTGTATTCTCACAAACAACCTGTGGAATGAAATGAAGCGTACTAAATTATAACGAATCAAAACAATAAAAGCGGCCTGACGTTCGGATCTTAACGAGACCTTCTTCGTACAAGAAACAAACATGTAGCGTAGAGTGGTGAATTTCTATACTCTCGAGGACAGTGGTTTGTGTTTCCATCTGTACCTGTGATACAATGTAGTGCACTCTCCTCAGACTAAACACATAACTGTACGATCGAGGACCGTTTTCAACAAAGGACCCAACTCTCGAGGACTGAAAGGATCTTTTGTTCTCCCGTTGTGATCTATCCTCGATCATAAAGCCATACAAGAGCTCAAAAGCATGCAAGGTTGGAAGGAGAAAACACGAAGGGGGGGGGGGGGTAATAGGGGAGAGACCCATGAGGGTGAAGATCAAAGCTAGGAATGTAATAAAAGTACGAGCAAAGGACGGATTAAGTAGGAAACAGACCAAAAGGAATTGATATTTAAGGGACATAGCAATGTGGGTGAAGATCACATGGGAATGCCGTAGAGGGACGAACAAATTATAATGAATAACATTTGCGGCCAAAACCATAGAGTTGTTATCTTTAACCGGTTGGATAATTACATTAAGAATGTATTATTGTAACAAAACTGAAATTTTTGCCATATTGCAATAATATTATTGAGCGGACATCGTCACTGTTATATTTCAAGCTGTTATCACTGCTACTATAATCTTTCTTAGGATGCAAGATGCATTAGTGTAATATATACCGCCCTCTGTCGTTCTTACCATGTCCACAATGTCTGACGCTGCCACGGTAACGGCGACGCACGTGACTATCAGCGTCCGCGCCACGTACGTGCTCTCCATCCAGCTGGCCACGCTAATGAGCACATCCGGGTATCTTTTTCTGAAGCTGGTTGCCATCGACGTGTAGAATATCAGAAGGACCAGAAAGATGCCGACGCCAAAAGTTACGTAACTTGTCGTTGTTCTTAAGAGGGGAAAACAGAAAAGCACCGCATAAGACTACAAGAGGGCTCGTTTGGGTTGCATATGAGCTAAACAAGGTACACACAATGTGTAGTCTGAAATCTCCAAAAGATGCCTTACCCTGGCCCTCACCGTCGCATCATGTCATTAATCATTCCATATGCAAGTCCAGAGAATTACTTCATTAGGGAAAGCTGCGCCGTTTGCAGGAGGATATAGTGACTGACAACTACCGTCTCGAAGATGCTTACATTTTGACTAAATAAGTTCCCGTATATCTATACTGATCTGCCTAAACATGAGTTTAGATGACATTCTTTGTAGTGCCAATGCTTGCTTTTACAACTGTTTTATAATAGTGACATTAAAAAAAAATCGTCTTTACAGCACGTATCAAGAACTTCGTTTGTTCCAAACGCTATACACCTGTTCAATAGGTATGTGAATAGGTAATTATTGATATTACTGTCTAAAGAGCCGTCAATTCTTTTTCAATATGTCATTTTTATGGTGTTGTGTGCTATGTTGACTTAAGAATTTGTAATGCAATGTATCGTGGTCTTCTCAGTTTATACTGTATTGTATTGGTTTATTTTTTTGTGAGTTATAGTGATCTGTGTATATTGTACTATGTATTGGTTTGATGGTTTTATGTAATGTCATTGTTCAGAAATGCCAGTGGAAGCTGAATTTCTATACTTTTTAGTGTGCACAATAAACTTGAATTTGAAATTTGAAAATCGCCTGGAGTTGAATTTGAATCTCCACCCTCCGAAACGTTGTTTGAATTTTCTTTTATGGATGACTCACCTCGGTAACACTGCCAGCTGTACGCAGAAGCCGAAGATCATGATGATGACCGCGCAGCCCATACCGACCGGACTCTGTCGCTCCTTCTCCCGATGAAACGTCTCCTCTAAATTCTTGTCTTGGAACCAGAGGGTCAACCGCCGCATGCCGCTCGTCTTCTCTCTGTGTTCAAAACGAAGATGGCAGATCAATATAATCCATGCATTACAGGGAGCTATGAGCCAAGTAATAGCTGTGTGCACGGCCTGCTGAGGGCGCACTAACAAATAATCACTTCGCTGGTCCCTCGACGGTTTAATGGTTCATTTTCCATTATAGTGAGTACAGGGAAATGTTAATGTTGCCAACACTGAGTTGAAAATAACCCGTGTACAACACCAGAAAGCCAAAGATGACGTCAGGAGGAAATCTAAATTTAGTGCACTGACTTAAAACATGGTTTCATTTGTGGAGATGTTGGTTTCGATCCATTGTTTATCGTTCATAAACCCTACTGTTAAAATAATGTAAGGCGTTCATTTCTGGGGGGTTTTAACACCAACTTCTTTCATGTTTGGTGCGTGACAGGTGTTGACATTAGCTTGTTTGAAGCCACTGGCTATGCATGTTATTACGTTTTTATACTTACGCGTCTGTTTCTCTTTCCACCAGCGCCTCGTACAGTTTGCGGTTGGTAATTCCTTCATCAGGTCTGGATTCCGTTGCTCCCTCCGCTTCAAAGGTGACTGTCTTGCCGTTTGCGTTCTCAGCCTGAAATTATGAGGCAAATTAAACCAATGGATGTGCGAGACGGTGATACTAATGTAAATAAGCTGCTGTGAGCATTAATGTTGTTTGAGATGTGTAACATTGCAGATTTATGTAGCTAGGTAGATGCTACTACATGATATCACTAAAGACGGGTTTTATCAAGTCATACCAATATTGCATTCGTGGAAACTGAATAGATGAACTTATCTAAGCTTACGACAACGTCGCTACGTGGGCGTCAGGCATTAACAAGACAGGGTGCACTGTAACCTCATAATGAGATGATGTGAAGAACACTATGTTGGTTGAAGTGCTCTTTTCAAATGATCTACGTATCTATGTCTTACCAGCGACACGAGTCTTGATGGCGCCAAAATTGTCCTTCATGGTCGGCGCTCTTTCTTATTTTCAACGTTAATGCACTACTCTGATGAGAAATTAAGCTATCTCTTTGTGTCATTTTTTATCTTCTTTTTTTTTCCCGTGAAGGAATGGCACGGGCTGTGTACTTTACCTTTTCATCACTTTCTTCTTCCTCTGATTTCTTGGTCGTCGATGCGTCATCTGAGAGAATGATGGAGTTGAAGGCAGCCGCTTTCTGTAAAAATGCACCAAAACAACCCATGCAAGTTATTAACATCGACAACAATTAAGCAGAGTTTCGAAAGAAGAGTTCGAGGCAATCGTTTCATAAGTTTGAGGGATTTGAGGGACCACCTCGGTCGCACAAAAAAATGTATCTTGTACTTTGTGATAGGACGTTTCTTTATTAACAACCTACGACAAAGGTTTTGTCTGTAGCGGCTCAGTATTGGTCGTGCACACTGAGGACTTTGCACTGGCCTCTTTGGCTTGTACCCCTTTCTGTTCCTCTCATTTGACACGTTTTCCAACCGAGGACCTATTTCCATCGACCGAGGGCCTACGTATTTTGTTCTGCGTCCTCGGTGTATACAATAAAGGTGTAAGTCTTGGATTTCTGTGCTCACAAAGGCAGAGTATCAAGCCATTCCGAAACTAGCATTCCGAGCTACGGCTATACGTATGTTATCAACGTATTCCAACCATGGAGGAAGGAACACAAACTTCATGTTCCAACGAAATTGTAATTATCGAAGATCTCTAGATGATAGTCCTATACAAGATCTTCAGCTAGGCCCATCACAGGCATTATGGAACATTTTCTTCCTTACCTGTACACTGTCCTTGTTAACCTTAATGAGGTACGTCTTGATGCCCCGGTCCTTGATGTAATCGTCTCGCGTCTCCCCCTCGCCTGGCTCGATCTCAAACTCACCGTTGAGAAACTCGAAGGTGTCCTGGGAGATGTGCACGCGACTGCGAGTGGGAACGAGGAGAGATTGATTAATGTAAATTGTGATATCATGTGAAGGGTTCGTGGTGGTGTTTTGTAAGTGCGGCTGAAATGTTGATGAAGATTATGACTGGTCTAAGAGAACCAATCTTCGCGAGGCCCCGCCCTCTAACGGCACCGGCTCCGCCCATCCCCGCCCTTACTGGCCACGCCCCTGCACCCCGATCTCGACACTTGGTCATCATTTCACTAGTGAAAATCGCTCGCAATCTAATGCGACCAACAAGGACAGAACAAAATATCTGTAAAAAATAAACCACATAGGTCGACTAATAAGCCCCTCTGGGATTGTAAGAGCGGTCGAAGTAGGCGTTGTGTTACCTTCCTAGCTGGACATATTGATTTGATTCCGAGCTCGCCTATTGCACACATGAGGTTGTTTATTAATCCCTTTTTAATGGTGATTTTTTTTTTGAACTTATAATTAGATCCCCTGGGTTTTCCACCCACACCCATCATTTTCTGCCCATAAGAATCATGTATCTATAGTTATGATGATCTCAATACAAGAGTTCTTGGAATCCCTCAAATTATCTTATTTTTATAGCAAAGAAAATAGGATTGAGAAGAGAAACAGTTGAAGTTGAATGTGTCCTCTTTCTTTTTGGGTGACTGAGGTGTCTTTAGCGAAGAAAATCAGTTGGAATACTAAGCTGTGACTACTTCTTGTCTTTAGCAGCAATATCTGTGCTCATGAGCTCCGTGAAGTCGGAGGTTGCAGACATGAGCTCAGCACAAGATTTGATTACGGAAGATTTAACACATCAAGTCTGGGCCATCACCTGCCGCTGCCGTGGCCGCTCAACGGTAATGCCAGCGTGTCAATAAACCTGGACCGAAGGTTTTTACCCAGAATGCCAAGTCAAGCATCTAAATCCACTCAACCCGGAAATTACAATCAATAGTCCTGCTGAGCATTGTCTAACGTGCCGAGATTACCTCCGTGCCGAGATTACCACCGTGACGACTTTGCGCTCGCGCAGTTGGGCTTGCACGCGCAGGTTTTCGCGCACGCATGAACTAAGCCGGCTGATGCGAACAAATCCAGCACGAGGCAAGTTTAAGCACATGATCCGCCGCTATTACGTGTTTTTTTCCTCAATTCTTGTCCTTTCCAAATGGGTGAGAATTTACTGAAATGAAGCGCGACTTTCCAAGGCCATGAGGAAATGTCCGGTCACAGTTTCTGGAGAAAATGATTCTGAATAAGGCAGACATTTTTGCTTCTGTTGTTTTGTATTTTCAGTACAGAAATTCAGATATTTCTGTAAATACGGCGTTCGGGAATTTTTTTTTAAAACTAATTTCAGCGAAATAAAAAAAAGACATTAGTCTTATTGATTACCAAGCTGATGGTTTCTGCTATTCTAGGCCTTGTGTTCTGACTTCTGACATTACTGTTGTGTTCTCGGACACCTTCCATTCTATTTGAGGATTTTTCATTTCCCGATGACAACAAATTTCCTTGCAATTTGGAACCGCTCGCCCACGCGGATTCGTTCAAGGAAATGACTATGTGTCAGCACACATGTAGCCACTTTACTCGGACGAAAATTGGATCGTACCATTATCAAGACGAGACTCTTGCATCTAGGAAATGAAGATTTCTACTTCGTCAAAAGACCTTCTGATTTTCAGGCAATGTCCATTAAAATAATTGAACGTAGAGTCGAGTGGTTTTGTCCGTAATTTTATCCCATTTCTTGTTGGTTCTTATTTCTCTGCGATGAAAGATTTTAATCAAGAACTAACTTCGGAAAATTGCCATATTAAAAGGTTTAGAAAAAAAGTAACCGTTCGTATTGAGGTTCTGATGTTGTGTATTGATTAAATGACATGAGTAAAACATGGGTAGACTACAAAACTGCTTTGGTTAATATAGTTTTGAAAAAAACTTATTAAGCAGAAAAAAAATTTAAACCAGCTTTGAACATTCGAGACGTTGGGTAACACAAATTCAGTTACTGTTTGTAAGGTATTTTTTTTCTTTAAAATAACAAAATTCAGAGCGATGCCTGCATATGCATATCTCATGAATATTCCCGCCAGACTCCATGCAAATGGCCAGCACCCACTGTATGTGATTGGCCAGTACCACACCAGTACTCATACGTCAATATATAATATTTATGATCTCATGAATATTCAACTCACCCCGGTATCCCGCCAGACTCCATGTGATTGGCCAGCACCACGGCAGTGCTCCACACGTCAAACTGCCACCTCTGTTGACCCATGACCCCGGCCAGCACGGCGCCTGTGTGGATGCCAACGCGCATGTCCACGCCAGACTGCGTCTTTTCCCTCACAGCGCTGTATAACCGAGTTACAGTGAAAATAAAATTGGTAAATTTAATTTGTTGCCAATTTGCAGGGCAACAACACGGTAATTTACCGGCGGTTCAGTAAACAACGATCTGTCTTCGTATAGAAAAAAATCGATGGAACAAGAAGTATTTTCTAAAAGGCAAAAGTAGCAGACGTCCCTCTTGCGTTCATTATGTGGAATAGTGTACCTTAAACCAGTTTGATGGGACTATGGCACCTAACAGAAAATTTGATATATCTGCGCATCAATTAGTTGTCCCAAATTAATTACCATTCAATTGAAAACACCCGAAATAACTCGCTGTTATTTCAAAGTCAGTGTGTTTGTTTGTCCCGATATCCTTGAAATCGCTGCCTGGAATTTTCAATTAATGAAGTTGCCGACCATAGTGCATTATTATTCACTCAATAATCTTAAAATTCTGAAAAGTTTGAAACTCAAAATAACAAAACTAAAAAAGACTTACCCGACGACCCAAAATTCGAAGCCATTACCTTGTCATCACGCTCGCGCACAGGTGCTACGTACGCGCGCACTCAGCGCTCCTTTGACCAAGAGGGTTTTCGTATTACACGTCTATGTACCCTCGAGGTGCATAGATGTGCACTAGTGACCTCATTGCTAGTCAATATGTGCATACTATTTCACTTATACACCATGCCTGTGTTACTACGCTCATTCGCTGGTGGAACGCGCGCACCTATAGTGCCTCTTGGCAGGAAATGGTTTTCATATTACACGTCTGTGCACCTTCGGAGTGCATAGATGCATGTTCTATGAACCTGATTGCCAGTCAATAGTTGTATATATTTTCACTTACGCTATAGCTACCACCATGTCTAGTCCCATCTGCACACAGCAGGCAGCATGATCAGGTCGCTGCTCAGGCACGCCGCATATGCAGTAGTAGCAATCGCCTAAGATCTTTATCCTCAACTGGTGGTGTCTCTGAAAACAAAAACAAAAACCTCCAAAGGTTCAGTTTTGTTATTTCCTTCCCAAAAAGCCGAACTTTTAGAAGATCTTTCCTTTTGCTAGAACCCTTCTAAAGTGTCTTTAAAAAAATCTACCACTTTCCCGCTTAAAGAGTTCAAGGGGCGTTGGGTCCCGTGCAAACTATAAGTGGCTCGGCTCCTTAATCTTACAGAATCCAACAAAAAACCTACAGTTGGATTTTAAAAGATCTGAGGAGAGTTGAGGTTATTATTAGAGACTACTCATCGGACGTATAGCAATCCACCAGCACTCCATTATTATAATTCAGAGTGCACCATTGTCGTCCGTAAAACAACGAACAGAAAAACAAACTGTACGAGGATTAATGAGGCCTCGGTCTAATGGGTAATGGCATTCTTGGGGATCCGGGACGTCCCAGTTTCAAATTAGCGATATATCTTTTAGAGGCTGCTAGCAAAAGCCCAATATATTAGAAAAACGCTTGCCTAATGGTACAAGCAAATTTTTTCTATGGGCTCTCTGCAAAGTGAGCATCCTTCTACCTGATGAATCAGGCGCGAAATTACACCATCGATCTAACTTGAATTTACGAAGTCAGCAATCTGCAGAAAGCTGGAGTAATTCCTGCATCCACTCCTGAGCTTTCACTGCAGGCGTTACGTGTCCTCGCTCGGTCCATTGGATGATCTCGTTTGGTTCGTATAATGTCCGCGTTTAGTTCGCTCTATGTCATCGTTTTTGTTCGTTAGACACATTACCATAAAATCAATATACTCTATGCAAGTGATGCAGAATAATATTTTCAATTCGGATAAAATGACACGGCACTCTTACCTCGGCAAGTTTGTCGAAATTTGCGAATAAGGCATTAAGCGTCTTGACCAGTTCCTTGGCTGACATCTTTGAAGACATGGCCGTAAAGCCAACAATATCAGCAAAGAGGATGCTGGAAAAAATGAGGAGGTATAAAGAATAAACGAATGAATATATAATTATTTTATGAATATATGACAGTGTTAAAATCGAGTCCACAACAACTCCATTACGAATCCTTCCATTCACATATACAAGTCTTCATAAGTCCAGTCACAAGTAACTGGGTGATTAACAGATAGAAAGAAATGCCTACAATCATGTTCAATTCATTTAAATAGCTTGAAGGGCAAATCCAAATGTTGAATTTACATCACATCGACTCAAATTCCATCTTATGAATGGTTTGGTTTCCAGTACCCGCTGCTATATCAGATTCGAACCAGCCAGCCGACCCAGGCAAGCTCCGTGGTCGAGTGGTAAGACGTCTGCTCAAGGAAGCAGGAGGTCGTGGGTTCGAGTCCCACCCGAGTGTTTTTTCCCTCAATCATTTGGGACAACACTGAGTTAAATTGTCAGTGTTTTTAAAAATACGTCTGTGAAGGGCCAAACCAAATATTGAATTTGAATACCTTGTAAAATTCATTTGATTTAAGACAGGACTGGACTGCAACACCGATATATGACTGTATGACTGAGTTAATATTTGAAATGTGAATATATGAATATGTAATAAAAGAAAACATGAATAATGATTAATGTATTAATACATTTGAAAAATTATATAAATATATAAATATAGAGATAACTAACATGACTATACACATTTTTTGTAGCTCAGTTTGATATTGTAAAGATACATGATGTTGACGCTGCAGTATTCGTGTGCTTTCAAGGGCATGGGTTACGTAGAACGCAAAACGTCTTATTGTAATCGTAATGCAATTGTGAAAGCAAGATACTCGTCGCCATTATCCCGAGGAGAAATTAAATTAATTTGAGGACTGCAGATTAAGCGAGCAGTCAAAGTGAGCCATCAGCTTGTATGACGCAGTTCTATAATTATAAATGATTTTTTTTATATAAAAATGACAAACATAGCATTGCTTAGACTTCTGTTGAGAGAATGGCAAAATAAATTCGTTGTCTAGCCGTAGAGAAAAGAAATTGAGAGTTGTCTGATCTTTATGTGAATATGAAGCATTCCCATTGCCTCCCGGTATCACATAAAGGTTACAATTCTCTTTGAGGAAAATACTGGTGAAAGTACGTTCACTTTATCATGTTCATGTCTTACTTAATCTTTATGATATCATCGATCATCTCTTTAATGTTGGTGTTGATATATTTCTTTACTAGACTTTTCATCACCCCACTTTAAAAGGCTATGGTAAAAAATATGGTAAAAAATGGCCGGTCGCATACCCTGAAGAGAAATCCCTGTAACAGTCACTGATATTTGTGTCCGTCTCCATGAAGGACGGTCTTCAAAATGAAGACGCATGTGTTTCCATTTCAAGTCAGTGACACGATCCGTTCTTCCCACAGCGACTTGGGGCACTTAGACGGAAACACAGCTGAACACGGCACAAAGGTTGTCTTATAACAGCCCCCCTCCCCCCGCCTCGCTGAAGGCAAAATATGAAATGTCAATAAACGAACCCAACTGACCCTTTTTAAACTGACGAAAGCCTCAAAGATCAAAAAAAAAAGAAGGGGAAAAAAACCACACGATTGACAACCCGACGAGCACATGGGTTAAATTGCTTTTCTCGCACCGGTGCATTTTAATTATTTTGGGGCGCGAATTCGATTGACTTTGAGTTGACCTTGCCAAAATATCGATGACTTTTTTTTGGTACTTGACTATTGTTCCATGCAAGCCTTTGATTTTTGACGAAAAAAAGATAAATATTAAAAAAATTCAGCGACAACGGCAATAAATCCGAGTGGTATTACAATTAGGGAAACATCCTTCCACATGGAACCTTCTTGATATAGTTATTTAATTTTCCAATTGTTCGTGGAAAATTGTTTTGAGTTACCGATAAATGTGATATTGTTTTACGTCACTAGGCAGAATTTGACGTATGGATTATGATTTTTATAAAATATATTTTGCATGAGCTGCCAATAATTTATTCTGTAGACTGAAACGATTCGTTTTTCCAACCACTAACCGCGATAACTAGACCAACATCACAATTGATTAAATCATCAGGAAATTGATTTCATTAGCAGAGTGGAAAGCATGCCCATCTGATCTCAAGATAAACAAGATTAACGTAACTGACCATCAAGGGCACGTGACATTTTCTTGATTCATTATATGGCCATATTTTCAATGTTAATTGTATATATCTCAGTTGTTCGTCATCGATCTATTTAAATTATCTTTTATTAACAGAGTAAATGTATGCTTGGGGGTGTTATTATCAGCATCCAGTTCCAATTGGTCTTAAACAGAATGTTTAATACCGACCAAGCACATATTTATTTCCATTCTTAACGCAGACAAAGAAAGCACTTTCGAAGAACGTGAGTTTCTGTTTCTGTATGTATTAAATATGTGTTCATCCAGTATCAAATAAAGTTCTACACCAGTTTGAATAGATGAACAGGAATGTTTGAAGTAACTAACCTTTACATGCCTCTCCTTCAAAAGCATTGAAAATATCAATGGTATAATGCAAAAGAATTCAATTCAAGCTGTTTCGTTATAACCGGACGTGTGGATGTTGATTTTGCCTTAATTGTTATTCATAAGGTAGAAGGCATCCGAAGAAAAAAGACATACATGTACGTTAGCATACAAAAACAACTACTGGTTTTCAGAAAACCTTGAAGCATTTGCTAAAATTAGAAAAATGTCTCGAGAGGCCACATTTTCACCACACAACAATGAAATGTTACTCAAGTTGGATTCCCCATCGATCTCAACACCATTAAGGCAGAAGTAATATGGATGTTTAATTGTCTTCTACTCACGCTACCAAGCTTTCAATTCCACAATGAATTCATTACAAAAAAGCCTGCCCTGTCTTCCACGATAAGATGTCTGTTGTGTCTTCCTCCCCTCTTAAGATTAATTGACATTTTAGAATTCTCTTGCTTGACAGACTCCAACAGGACACTTAGACGGCTGGTTGATGTTTTCGAAGGCTTCCCTTTGCGTGGGGTCTGAAATGAAAGCTCTCCCAAATCGGCAGACTTGTTTTCTTTTTCGTGAAGGGGTGAGCGTTTAAGGTGGTAAAATCGACGTGTGGTCGATGCTACTGCACCTGTCTCGGCTCCCGGAGTCATATGAGATCAGGGTATAGTCCCATCACCTCGGCAGTATTCTGTAAAGCTGGTAAGCAAAATATAATGCTTAGCTGACTCATGTGCTAAGCATAATTCAGCGTAAAATACTCGTATATTCACTCCCTAACAGTTCGGCTGTAGCCTACATGTTATTGCTAAGAAAATAAGTTCTGCTTTAGCAAGTTTCTTTGGTTAGCTCCGTTCAATTGGACCCTAGGTAAAATTGCAAGAAAGTTCTAAGCAAATGTAGGCGCTTAACGAGATATCTTCGAGAACCACTCATTCGTAATACAAACTGTATGGCATTTAGGCTGGTGGCCTATGTTTTGCCCTGCAGTTATTTTCCGTGCTTGGTGAAATTCTGATTTCAAACAGAACATGCAATTGGCAAATAGTTTTTTTAAGTTTGGGCTGACAAACTAGGACTGCTAATGACCAAGACTGCCGATGGATTTTTTTTTTTAACTAAAAGAGGTAGTAACGCACAGTAATCACCCAGCGTACAAATACTTTATCATTTGTAAGTGCAGATATGACTTGTGTTTAATTCTTAAAGTACATATCGAATTACAAGTGCACCAATTCTTCTGAGCATCATTTTTCAGCATGCATGCAGTTCCTTGTGGAATGAAGCTTGCTATTCTGTTTTCTTGCCCAACATTTTTGGTGATATCCAACAAATGCTACTGATGAGTTCAAATAGATGTCAATGTAACCATGAGGGTGCATTTAACATGTTGCTACGTTATCTGAACATGCGTGTCTGTGGTTATTAGGTTGCTGTGATTGCTCATTCCTTGGTATATTTCTATCACTTCACCTTTGGACAGCAGCAGAAACTGCGTCTGAACGACTTGGCTACGGCTGAAATTACATATGCACCTATGGAAGCGGCAGAAGCCACTGCCCACAGACCCGTGTGCTGCGGCCGGCCGCAGCCACGTTATTTTGACACGGCCCATGACTCATTCTGAAGTTGTCAAGCGAGGCTTGTTAATAAACTAGAATCTAGGCCATCTGGGTTTATTTATGGTGGCAGTAAAATCAATTTTGGTGCAACCTCTTTGGTAAGAGTGTGCGCAGTTCCAGAAGAATGTTGTTCATTTTGCTCAGACCTGTCAAATAATGAGGTTGTCATGCTTGACTGACGTACAGCATTCTTACTTAATTGTTTGTTCTTCTTACGCCTGCTTATGTACAATACTCAACATCTAATACCATATACCACACAACATGATTTCTACAACATATACCACTTAGATATATTCTATAATAGATACCACTTAATCAGAAATACAATACTATATACATAGATACAACACCTATTAAATACAATTTTTCGTTGACAGCACAATGAGTTTTTGGTTAAATTGCTGAAGATAAATTGCTTGTCTAAGTGTTTGATTTCTCTCTAAATTCCGTCACTTCTGCGCGCGCTGTTCTTATTGGTGTCATTTGCAGCTTGTTTTCACTTATTTATGCTAATGCATAAATACTCTGTAAAGGGTCGAAACGTCAGGTCTCTAAAATTAATGATGTTCAGGTCAGTTCCGCTTATGAGTAGTTTGTGGTAGCTTTTCAGTTCTCATGTTTACTCGCTTCTTTGTGTTCTTTGCGTTGAATGCGTGAGCAGTGCTCTTGTAGGGAATGTTTACCATCAGGCTCCGGTTTGCACAGGTTTCCAAGGTAACACATAGAAGGAGACAATCAGCGAGAGGCAATTTACCTCCGAGCTCATTGTCAACCATGTTGTGGATAGGCTAGATAGATGCAAGGCGTCTTCTTATTCCCTCTGCCTCATGTTCCTCTGTGCGTGTTCTTATCAACTTGCATAATAAGAGGCTGTTAATGTAATTACTTTGACGAATGAACCACTTGTGAGCATGCGCAACATTTAGCTGTGGTCCATGCCATGTCATATCGTACTATCCACACAACACTTACATGTACTTTTAGACGTCGTCATGTTGATAAATACTTAAGGTGTATTGCAAGGTGTCTGGTAAGGTGAAGATTGTGTTGGTTTTTCTTCAATGTGTACTTTAAGGCGACAAACAAAATGAGAATCCATAAGGTGGAACCGCGCTCACGTGCATTTCGCACCTGTTCTCCGGTTCGTACGTGCGACGTCATTTCAACTTAAACCACGCCCACTACACATGGAATAGTATTTGAATCAGTGGAACAAGAAGTGGTAAAAAGTGGCGTGTTTAGCCAATGGGCGCTAGTAACGGTGGTGCATGCGCGTGTATGACGCAGTCACTTACGAACCGTCTTAAAGTCGAGACGCACGCGCTGTTTTGTAACCCTATTGGTCGAATGAATGTTGAGCGCGCGTACCACCGGCGTACGCGAGCGTGGTACCACCTGTTCTGCCCTTATTTGGTATACCTAGACTCCTTACCTGACGTTTTCGTGCCTCTGGATGTAGATTCTGTTGAATTGTCCTTTGTTAACTGTGCCCATGTCTTCCATCATGTCGTCAGCAACGTGTTTGGGAAGTACAGACAGCAAAAGCTCTTCCTGATATGGAGAAAAATATGAAGAGAAAACATTAACATAACTCTTGAGATAATTTGAGATAATTCAAGAAACCAAGTCCAAAAAGTAATGACCAAGTCTGTCTTTCTTTTATATCACAAAATAATCTGTTTGGATTGCATTGCATTGCTATAACACACGACATCGGTAATATTTTTCACCATCGCACAAACATATGGCGCTTCTTTCTTCTGTCCTTTCCTTTCTTCTGTCCTTTCCTTTCTTCTTCTCTCTTTCTTTTGATTTAATTTGTAGCACAAATTTCCTGCAGGCATAAATAGATTACATCTGGCAAAAATATTGTATGGAGGACTCCGGTATATCATTCGTTGACTTCAAAGGCATTGCAATGGCTAACACATCGCACTGGAAAATATGCGATTTATTCAAATCTAACATTATGTATTGTAAATGTATTGTTATAATTTGTAATTTTAACTTTTCATAAAAAAAACTCTTTTTAAAATTAATTTGTCCATTTAATATTCGTTTTTCATCTGTACATTGACACACAAGTCAACTGTAATAATTATAGTAATCCTTTGATTTTAAATATTTTCTTCCTTTTTTTAATAACCAACCCTCTCTTTCCTTCGATTGAATAATTGATTTAATCTTCGTTTTTGTCTTCTCAGTTGACTCGGAAAGTCAAATCTCTCAGTTGATTTCCAGTGAATCTTGTTATTTTCTCAGGATCCTCGACCATCATTGTTCAAGTTGAATACCTTTACAGACTGTTGATTCTTATCTTCAAGGTAGTGATTGACTCGAGATACGATACTTTAAGAATCATCCCTTGCATGCCAAAGAAGTAAATTCTCTCTTTGATTGCAGCATGGTGCGTCTCTCATCCATTCAAAGCCTATCAATTTCCTTTGTGTACACCAACCGCCCATCATTAGATTGCCTTGATGGCTTTTGAATGTAAAATCCATCCACTTTCTACGTCGAATGCAAATTAATTGAAAACGAAGAAGTCTACAGCTGATTGTGTATAGCCGTAACATTGCCATAACATTTTAACAGTTTCTTATGGCGTTTGTTTCTTACTCTTCCATAATTAATAATGTTACTTGATAATGTTACCTGATCTCAGGTTGGTTTTGTATAGTAAAAAGGTAAACGTTTACTTCGAATTTTGTTTTCACTACACTTGGTATAAACCATGTCTTTCCAACTTTACATACTATCATTTTCGGATTTTATATTTATTTAATGCAGTCTCTGTGGCCGTCTTCGACCAAGCTTACAGCCAGGTCTTCGAACCCTTTAGCAGACACAAGGTTTCTGATTGTAATTTTGTGGCAGGTTGGGGAAATTCTACTAGGAGAAAAAAAATTTCGTCACGGAATTCATATTATCAAGCAGTGTGTTGTCGTTCCAGGCTTGGGGGAAAATTCGCAAGCTTTCTCGGTTGGGAATCGAACCCAGACCCGTCCAAGCAACTCGCAACCCTGCGTGATACTTAAAGGTCCATCCATGCCGACCTCTCGTTCAGCGTTCGGCATTATGCATTCTTGTTCGCTCAAACGTTCGCAAGTGTTTTGGCTGAGACGTTTTGATCTCTCTTCAACCGAGTGTGGATGAATTTATCCGGCGGTTGTTGCACTCTTTTTCCTCAGGAGAAAAAAAACCTCAAGGACTTTTGCTAGTTCGTCATTGGCAAGGCACGTATCACGACGAGCGATCTTTACAAAACCGTCCCTCATCCGTTGTTGACTCTCGATCAGAAACCTTACCCTTGTCACCGATAAGGTCAGCAGACACTTTGCTAACGGGCTTTACATACAGTAGTAATAGTAATAGAAATCTGCGGACACGATCCTGCGATTTCTTGGTCAAATGTAGTGTAAAAATGGATCCACGGATACAGTGTTAATGGGCGGAGAATCTTCCGTCTTCGTGTTTCTTATAATTTCCGCGGAACGCAATGACGCCGGGAATTTATTTCTCTCCATCAATGTACGCAGCTCGCCACGCAATAATTGCGGAATTGCAATTTATTGGAATCTAAATACGGACCGCGTATTCAACAGAAGTAAAAAGAAATATCTCAAGATAGAAATTTAATATAATTTTAGAGGAGCGCAGAAGACGCAAATTGCTTACGCAAGAAAGTCGGCTTTCAGTGCTAGCGGTATCTTTGGTTAATGCAAGTCTAAATTGTTTTGTCTCCGTATTTTTAACAGTGGAGTCGAATGAAATCAGGTGGTCACAATCACTTTTTTTTTTTAAATAATGTCTTATTTTTCTCGTGAATTTAAAAATTACCCGTTCAGAATACCACGGCTTTATCCTTCAGAAACTGATGTACCACGTTTTTTTAGAGAAATAAAAAGGATCCTCTATTTTGGAGCTTGGTTCGACCTTTAAAGGTAATTATTGATCAATAAGTTTCCTCAATATCACTCACTTTAGTCGGCAATAAGTCATGACATTGGCATCACGAGACAGTAACTTCACTATATTACGTTTGATATGCACTCATATAGCCGTAAAAACAAATTTTCTTTGTAAAACGACACCTGTATGTTTACTTTCCTTTGCAATTACCAACTTTATCCAAACGTGAGTGACCTCACGATCGCTTCTTTAATTCCCTCTGCCATCGAAATATATAAATAATTTTAAAAACATAACAAAAAACACGTGAAAGGAAATATACAGATCCGGCCCTGGTAATAGTAAACACCGTGACTGACGAAGTTAATCAGAAGCGGAACAATATACGCAATGCATGCAGTGCCTTTTGTGTCTGTAATTAAGTTCCCTGTCAGTCGATCGTCTAAAAGTCACGTAGGATCTACCTGTTTGTCTTTGTTGCATCGGTTCTGTTTTTTTTTGATATAACGTTGTTCTTTATTGGATGGATCTCGCCGGGCCATTAATCCGACAGCCACAATAATAGGTGCCGTTAAATTAGCTGGCACACTCGAGGGCGGGTGGAGGTCGTACGCGTTGTTGAATCTGAGATGCGCGCGTACATTTGCATGTTGCAAACACCTGGGGGTTGGTTAGAGAAGCACGCGGAGCGCGCGCCGTCGATCTGCACGCGCGCGCTTCATCACCTAATAATGCTCAAGAACGGTGAATAAATCCCCTTCATCTGATTGGTGGGTCGTTGATCACGTGTCATTGAATTATTTCTCCCAACACACGGCGCGGCCGCACTGCGCGCCAAAAATTGAAGTTCCATTCCACGATAAAGAGAATTTCATTATATGGCCACTCTTTTGGCGGCTCTGATCAAATCACATGACGAGGATTTATTCAGGTGTTGTATAATGAATGTTTCGCATTCGTTCAATGCAAAGGATAATTTCACTCGGTGACAGCTGTCGCATGTTCTATTCCACTCGGCTTCGCCTCGGTCACCTCATGAAATTATTCTTACCATTGCACTCACAAACATTCATTATTTGTATACCATTCTATCTTGTGAAAACAAAGCAATATATATTGATTTTTTTTATGTGAAAGGCAGAGCTGTTTCGACACTTGTTCCCCTGTACTTTGAAATTGTTATCGCAAAACCATGTTTGATATTTTGCGTCTCTTGTCAATCTTTAACGAATTTCATACAATTCATAAAATATCTATCCATAAAATAAATAACACGGATGTTTACTTTCAAGAGAATGATAAAACCTAGCTCATTGCTAATAAAAAGGAAAAGGTATGCACCAAATGGAGAGGAAATTATTCTCATCATCATAATGCCATTGAATAATTTACCTGTTGTGTGCTTTGTTCTTGCAGCGTGAGCTTGATCTCTAGAGCCGCCTTGGTTTCCACGAACGCTCGCCTCTGCTTCCGATCAGCCATCAGGAACACGATACAGCCCACGATCATTGAGCATGCGTACATCATCAAGTTGGCTGCAAGCTGCGGGGGGTAAGTGGAAGACAAGGGAAAGATTACCATGGTAACGCATTTGGCAATGAGGCGTGAAACCCTTAGCAACAGGTTGACTCTGGATTCCACGATTCGTCCTTGGTATAAAATGGCATTTAGTATTCTGGAGCGGTGGTACGTCAGGCACGCATTTAGACCAACTTGATCTTGCACAGGGATGTATTCTGCGTGCCCTAAGAGGCAAATAGATAACATGTAGCTTGTACTGGCGGGTTAGTATCGTCACTGATATTGTGTTAATGACCACCGTCATAATTTTGTTTCATTATTAAACTTCGAAAATGAACATCAGTCGATTCAAGAGCAAAATGTTCACATTGATTATTATGTAACCACTAACATGTGAAATATGCAACTGTGCAATACTCTCGCATTTTGGTGGTAGCATTAGTCGTCAAAACAATCATAAAGAGACGGGTTGAGTGAATGAACTTTTTTTCTATAGCGAGGATGGGATGATTTTAATATCCGTTACCAGATCGATTCCAACATCTTGTCTTTTACAGATGCAATCATTAAAATGATCTTAAAACAAAGGTCGGTTTCGTTAATTGCAATGTCCAGTTGAAAATGTAGTTGTCTTATATATCTTTTCAACGCTTTGATTCCAATATCCTAAATTAATCCCGAATCAAATGAACAGCACATCTCGTCACTTTAAAAACGTTGGCCTAATTTTGTCTTCATTTTTCCCCATCTTTCCCGGACTGTTTATGGTCCTGCCCACGAAAAGTGCAATTAATCTCTATCGAGAAGACAGCAAAGCATCACTGTTTGCAGCCGTCCATTAGACAGAAAGACATAAATGGAAAGTCAACAACTTTCCAAGCTCCGTGATTATTGCTCTGCACATCGCTGTCATGCCTGCTGATGCATAATACGTTAAGCTACCACTCAGTGTAATGGTCCTTACAGCATCATGAAAAACCTCTTTGGCTAAAGACAGGTGTTTTAGTTGGTACCTGGCATTAAGCACCATCGTAGAGATGTTGAGGATTATGTTTAGTTGTGAGGATTGGTAAACATTTCATGCAAATATCTCTTAGTTTTCATATTGGCAAGGCGACATTTAACAGCTGGGTTGAGAGGAGTAATTGAGGAAAATGCCTTACTCAAGGGCACAACACGCATGGACACGGCGGGGCTCGAACCCACAATCTCACGATCATGAATCCTATGATCCACCGCTAGACCACAGTCCAGGGCCCATAAGCACTTTTGAGGACACTTCGCAGAGCAGGACTCTCTTAAACCTCATGTCTATCGTGCTTACGGAGAGATTGCAATCAGTTTAGGTTTTGTTTCTTTCTTTAGATGGATAACATCATTAACGTCAATATCAGACTCAAAATGAAATTGAAAAACACTACTGACAGAAGACTGGATTAGCGTCTATTATGAATTGTTGTCTAGAGCAGTGAGGAGAAAAGGTACAACCGCTTAACAGTGATTCGTAGTCTCGCATCAGCCTTTGGTACGTTCCTGACGGGAAAACAAGATTTCCTTTCTGAACGGTTACTGACCGAGGTAATCCTTGTCAGATTTGAAAAAATATACTTAAGTAGAAGGTCGTAAATTCTTCCTGGATTTCAGCTGTTGACAGACAGTTTTCAACACACTCAGCATTTGCCTTTTAAGCCTTACACGTGTGTCATTTGTTTTTAAGATGGGTTTTGCCCTACGTGTTTTGCAAACACTGGATACTCAGTGTTGGCCGAGTGCCTGTGAGGGAAAAAAAAATACTCGAATGGGACTCTAACCCACGACCTCCTGTTTACTAGAGCAGACGTCTTACCAATCGACAACCGATAAATTGCCGGGATCTTTTTGTAGCTCTGTTTTGCAAGGATAAGTATGCGTATATGCACCATAATTATACGAATTGCCTATTAGTAAAAGAGTGACTCTTTCTAAAAAAGCGTTACTATTTCTCTGAACCCCTTCCCCCTGTTCTAAGAAGAATAAGAGGGGTGATTATTCGACGTTTCGGGCAGTATGCTCTTAACGTCACAACGGGAACGCCTACACTTTTGAGAGGGAGACCATTGTATAGATAGGAGGGGATTCAATGAGGACTCTACTGTGAAATTTTGAAGTGCCTAGTAACTTTTTCGAGATGGTTGAGCCAAACCTTTTCGGAGATAAAATATATTTTTGGTACTTTTTTTTTATCGAGCTCTCCGATCTAAAACGTCCGTATCCTTAAGCTCCGGAGATGCATTTCCGGCCTTAATGTGCTTCCGGCTGAGGTACATTAAGTAATTACTGTATGGACCGATAGGGATGTCTGACTGGCATTTGCAGACCGAGGTAGAATAAACAAGACCTGTTCTTCTGTCACTCGCAATTACTGTACTGTGACTATAGCCGAGAAAAACAACCTCCAAACCGAATGCTATTTCATATTTTTGCTCTTCAGATAATACACCTGTCACAACGTATTTGGTTTGTGTGTTTGATTGATTGATTGGTTAGTTGGTTCTTGCGTCTTCTTTGTACCTATCTCATTGACTGACTTACACAAAGTCTTGTGACTTGGTTTCTTTACGAGGTTTGTTTAGTCTTGTTTTCATTTTTTTTTTCGTGTCTGGTTCCTAGTCACCAACACGTACCATGTCTATGATCCAACGTCCCTCAGCCAGCCTCATGTTTGGTTCCCTGACTTTATTGGTTAGTACAGTCATTGTTGAAAGGGCCCAAATGTACTGATGTATTTTTTTTTAAATACAATCCTTGAAAATGCACCTTTGTGTCCCATTTAACCTTATTTTCAATTTTCATTGTGCCATTTTCAAGGGTAGTTTGGTTCCTTGAAATGCGAATTTCCATATTCTTTAGCAAAAGTGTGATGTCAGTTTATACAGAACCTTCAATGTCACTGCAATTTCGGCACCAATAGTTGCCAGCATTTGGGATATTTTGCTGTCGTACATTTTCTTGCCGGGTGATTCGTTGTTTCAGTATAGGACAGTAAGCAATGAGCAAACCTTTCTCACAAGTGTTTTCAATGAGCAAAGTTTTGGGTTCACAATTTGAAAAGAAAATCACTAATTTATAAGCAACAGCGCTCTCAGTTGTCAGCAAATAATAAACAATTTAAAATGCTTAAAAAAAAAAATCAAATTGACCAAAAAGGGTCGTCAAATAGTTGTCATACATTCAAGAGGTGTAGAAAGTTGCACAAAATATGTTCCCAAGTAAAATTCATGTCGTGGTTCCTTTAACAGAAATTCATGTGCCATCATTTATTACTTATTACCAGATGTAAGATATAACCACTGCCATCGATGTTATATGGCGTCAGTTTGCGAGAGTGGCTCCATGCAACACAATGCCACACAGCGTCAATATCAATTGTCAATTTCTCCAAATGAAATTATTTTTTTTTAAGAAGGGGACTGCCTTGCCTTTACATCACGCAATGTTTTAAATGGGGCTGTGCCACAATGGCATCGTATTCGATTGAATCTGCCCATTGTTGGAGACTTGAAGAGTCGGGAAGCCATTCTCATTAATCTGGGTTTTTATTGCCGAAGAGAAGTGATTACATTATGTGACGTCAGGACAATATATTGTTTCATTGGACGGTGGATTTTGATTTCTTTTTGTCCAGTCCGGACATCGAAACACGCGCAATTAAGAATCGTTCTCATTCAAACCTATGACAGAAAAATCAAATCACGCCCATCGAAAAATCGTCCAACCGCACATACACTGCTTGCGTAAGTGCACAATGGCCGATCCTGCTGATGAAAACTGACAGGAAACGGGAGTACTCGTCCCTTGTTTTGTGCATTAGACTCGTCCAAGGTAGAATCAACAAGAAATACCACCGGTCCTGCCACTTTAAATTGCTCGACCTATCTTCTCTGAGAGCCGCCAATTAGATTACGATCTTAAAGGGGCAGTCGGCGTTAATAGTCCAGACCTGAGATATTTTCTCTACAAACAGAAAAGTCCATTATTGTATTCTCTGACGCATAACTACTGACATACCTCGGATGGGGACCTTTCAGGGAGGTGGTAAATGGATGTTTGCAAGCAGATCACTGGTTTGTGTCCTTGAGGAATCTACTTTATCGCAAGTATTTCTGGCAAACTGAAGTTTTTCCTTGGTTTTTGGTTTTATTTTCTACTGCAACAACGCACAGCTACATGATGAATCTGATGTCATCAAAAAGGAACTCGTTTGCTCTACAAAATGTGTCATTGTAAAAAAAAAACTCAAATTTTTCCCTTCTAAATCTTATTTCTTTTGTTTTCTTTTTCTTAAAACCTTTTTTGGCAACAGTTCGCCTTTATGATGCGACACTACTTATTAAGGAGGGTTTAGTCAATCTGTTGGTTTATTCTTTATCCATAGTGCACACATACAGCGCTTCATGTTTAATCTTTCCGTATATTTGATACGTTTTGTAGTTTTGAAATAAATAAATCATTAAATGAAATAAAAACCGAACCCGTACCTATGATATCTTTATAAGTAGACTATGTTCGTGGACACGCCCAATCGGGGAAATTCTGGATCTTGCACGATTCAATCAATTCCCTTGACTGCTTTTAATAATATTCTCCGTCCCTTTTGACATGACAGATTTGGCAATGGATAAATCATAAGGCTCCGAGTACCTCGAAGATGATAGCGTGATAAATGGGTCGTCTCATGGGGCAGGGAGGCTAGATTTATTAGGCGGAGTAGGTGGGTGATTTCGACGCAAGCTCCGGGAATTTATCAAATGCGAGGGGGCATTGCGAGACAGAACTACCGGGGAGGAAAACACTTTGGAAAGAACAGATTATTGATTGGTGGGATTTGTGCAAATGAGTTTTCAAAAAATGTGAAATCTTAAAGGTATCAGAAGCTAGCCGATCATACGGTAAACTTGTCATCAGATACAACAACCTGTATGCCGAATCGGCCTTTACCAAACACCTTTGATATTCCCCTAAAAGTCAAAATGCTCTTCTTC